GAAATTGTAAAATTGAGTAGGTTAAATGGAGGAATTTATAGATGTAATCAAAGGAACAACGTCAGATTTGCAGCAATTTTATCTCGTTTTCATAAAATTTTTGGCATATCGTCTTGTACAATACCATTATGCATGAGATATAGAAATCTTACTTTACGGATAAATTGATAAGATTTATACCCTTCTGTCTAGATAACTGCATAAGCAATGAAACACGTTTCATACCATGTTTTGGACAAAACCGATTCCATAATGGGAAATTTACGTGTATCATTGAACAATACGCGTTACGTTGGTGTAAACATGTTCAATATGATGTATACAGAAGAATAAAAATATCACTGAACACAATAACGGGATATTTCCCGTAATTATGATCTAGCTAACGATATTTCGACACTGTCACAGCAATCTACTTGGGATAATTGATATAATCATGGTAAATATGCCGCGTATTATAATGTGTACAACGGTGAAAAGTTTGAAAATTTTATTATGTTTTGGAAACGCGGTGCCACCGAGTAAGCTATTGGAAATTACTTTTTGTTGTATTTATTATCAAACATTCCAATTTCATTAATAATAAATCGTCATATCATGTCACATATTATGTTTATTTTATTTGAAACAAACGGACCGCTTCCTTCCGTTGTACGAGTCTTCCTTATGTTAATGATTTCTTATTTATGAATAATTATTTAATTTCTGAATATTGCTAGATGAAATATAAGAAAATTGTGTATTGGTAAATTTATAAAAAACTTAGCAATGTACTTATCAAAGAAATGAAGTGTAATGTAAAATATTTTGCTTATGTTAAATAATGACGTTGAGCCTGAGGTACCATTCCCTAAACTTATCCCTTAATCTACAATTGTTATGTGATATACGGACGTATTATTATGTCAAGTAAAGTAAAGTTAATAGAAAATAGATTGAACTCAAGTTTATACTTGGGTTTAATAAAGACGCGAATAAAAAGCAGCCTTACATATTTTTAACAAATGTTATCCCGTTCAAACGAAGTAAACCTTCGACATTACAATTTTAGAATACGTTTGGAGAATGATACATTAGTAATGGCGCCATTATATCGTAGTCATTTGTTTTCATTAATATAATATAATTGGGCAAAGAGATTTGCATCGGATGGTATGGCGTTCTTTTAATCTTGCTCACCTCAATGAGAGCTAGGCATGATTTATTGTATATGCATGTATTTAGAAAGTAATTAAGCGTCGAATGTTATAGTCAGTTGATATTATTTGATCTAAAATTGTTATTAGAATAACAGTAAGGTAGGTGCCCTAATTTAGTAATGTACTATGAATTAATTATGCGTACATACTTAGTACCACAGATCAAAAGAAGTAGGTAGGTATAGTAGATCTATAGGAGAGCATGGCAATACTACGCGATATTACACATTTGTATCTGAACAATTTGAACAAACGAATAACAAATCTGTTTCATGACACGAAGAATTATATTTATTTGACTGGCTACGTAGCAAATTAATACATTTGTTTATATGTGTCGAGGGGTATGCGTGCGTGTTGGTGATAGTGGTTTTCTAATTAATTTCTTATTATATTTCTATCTACTTCTTTTTCCTGTGGTTAATATAGAAGTTATATATGGTCTAAGACAATTGATGCTAGAATTTTTGAAGTGTAGATTTTATATGCGGAAAATACAATAAAAAAAATGTAAAGGAAAATGTGTGAAGTAAATCCCAAATATTATAGACTGAAGTCTGCACAGTAAATTTGAACCACCGAGTGGGTTTCATTTATAATAGGCGATGCCAAAGTTAAAATTGAAAACAATTGATATATTTTTTATAAATGGTCTCATAAGAAAACAGATAACATTTAAAATATGAAAGAAAATAGTATATAAGCAGGTGTATTGCTTCTTTTCTACTTAATGGAAACTAATATTAATTCACATGCATGTGTTGTGTGCACTTGAGATTTGTTAAAATTATCACATTTACTTAAATTTTATTAAAAGTAGCAAATATTGAAATAATAAAAAAATCATGTTAATTTGCAAGTCGTACTAGGAAAACATTTATCGTTATTAATTTTATTATCAATAGTTCAATATCATCAGAAGTTATGACCTTTATTCTCTGCAAGAGGCTTGTATGGATAAGGACTAACGGTACTGTACTAAAAGATATCGGTAGTGTCTAACCGAATTTAGGTAAAGCGACCGAAACCGATTTTCGGATAAATGCTTTCAGTTTCGGCGGAAAACTCGATTTTTTTTTATGTATTTATAAATACATATATGTATAATTTTCGAGATTTGATATAGTTATATAACTGTGAAAACTATGATTTTGATGTAGCTCAATTTATTCAACTGAAATGAATCTGACACTATTTCTCGTGATCTTGAATATTAGTCGAAAATGATATATACAACAAAGTTATTAATTAGTTAGTATGATATATTTGTTGTCGAAACTGAAAAGAAACAGATTCTCTCAAATTTTGCGCCGTAATTGGTCCAAGCTGAAAGTTCGGTCAGACACTAAGTTAAGAAATAGGTACATAAGTGTAAAGTATGTGCCATGTATAGTAGAAATTATAAGATGGTAAAAAATGTACATACTTAATGAAATCTATATTATTTTTATATAATTTTCATAATCTGACCAATTTATTGTACTGGCATTATATTGTATTATTATTTTACAAACACTATTTAGTTTTAATGCGAGTTTTGAGTATACTCCGCTCGCTATAGCATGTTCCAGGTGGACATTCAATTGTTCTGTCTGTAAATGTCAATAAACATTAAATAAAATACAGTTCTATCAAAGTTGCATACCATGTTGTAGTGTACGGAGTATAGTTCTACGTTCAATTAGAATTTTCAAGTTCTGTTTAAGTTGCTTCACGTCAACTGTATTCAAAAATTCTGAATGAGATAGAAACGTGTATTCCCTGTTATTTTTTTGGCGGAGTGCGTTTCTATATAGCATTTTCTACAATCATACACGACTACCACAGCACAGAAGTGTGGTACTTAATGCCACAGCTGAGTGCCGGTCAGGTTATAACAAGAAGTCTTGCAAAACTACGAGTTTTTGTTGTCACTTCGATGGAGACAATTATGTGATGGTTGCATGTGATAAGGATGTTAATCGCTAGCCTTAGTATATTTATACACTTGTAAGCTAAATTCCTATATTTTACTAAGATGTCTAGTACGTAAGTCGATTTATATTATTTTGTAAGACCTGCATTACCAATACAACAATATAAATTCTCAAGTATCTGCGTTGTTATTTGTGAGTACCTACCCTATATTTATATTAATCGTAATTAACTTCATTGCGAGATAAAACAAGAACAATTTTACAGTAATATATTTGTTATAAATAATGAGGAGGTAAGATTGTTTATTGATCGATTCTAAAGATAGAATTGAATTATGGTCACATTTGGTATAATATTAATTTTATTGAACAAAAAAATAAATATCACAAATATAAAAATAATAATCTTTTATAGCACACATTTTTAACATTGTACTTATTTACTACACTCATAAAAAGAACTAACATTATTATTCAACTAATGAACAAAAATTTCTAATGTCACATGTGATTTATATAAGCCTATTTTAACGATAAGTATTTTTATCTCTTGAAAACGAAGAATAATCTTGGCCAGAAAAGAACCATTAAATAGTTAAAGCAGATTTATAAGATAGGCGGTTTTATAAATAATGGTGGTATAAAAAGAACAGTTACTATCGCAAAAGCAATATTAATATTCTCAAGTATAATAATTACAATATAAAAATGTGACACTGGAATGTATATGTATACTTAATCACATAATTAAAAGATTACAAGAAATACTGTTATGTTATTAAATACTTTTATAAAATTTAATAATACAATTAAATATATTTTTTAAAATGGACGGAATATAGATTAGAATACGTTCAATACATTACAATATGTTATACCTATATATAATCTAAAGAGAAATAATAACATATTTTTTCTACATCTTCAATATCGACACTTTAATAGAAAGAACGATATTATTGAATGAAAATCAAGTCCATGTTTAACTATGGCACTTGTCCTTTCATCATTAGAAAAGTCTCACTTTATAGCACCAATATAAATTCAATACATCAGATGCAGAAGAAATACCAGTTCTGAATTTTGCTCTTAAGACTAGGTTTTTCTAAAATTACTATTGAATATGGGGCAATAGTGCTTTTAGAATCGATAGGTTTTAGAAAGGTATATATAAGCATATGCATTTCTGGTGTCGTAATCATTTATAGATAACTAGTTTTAAATGGCGACTCAATATATATACCATAATGTTGTCACACAATCTAGTTGTTGAGATGAAATACTCCTCCACATAAATAACATAAAAACAAATAATACTCAATACTGAGTACACAAAGTATACTTTGTATCTTAATAGCTACATATATTAATGACGGTATAGAAAATATAATAAACAAGAATAACGATGATTGAGAAGGTATTGTATGTATTGAGTCGCCTGCATTCGGCCATTTTGTACTCATTACAGTTGACACTATATACCGGTAGATTGTAGCATGATACAGTAAGGCAATTCAATTAAGTAGAATATAAATTTAAAAAAAACTTTTTTTATGGTGAAAACTTACTCCATTATTTTAACACAAATTTTAATCGCGTAATATTGACTTGAACAACGTACATTTTATTGTGCGTGTGTTTGTCTACTCTATCTCCTAAACAGCTGGACTAGTTTGGATTTAGGTTTTAGCGCATTTTCTATGTGTTCCTGGTTGGTTCGAAAACAATTGGAGCCGGCAAACGGTACTGGAGTCGGTATGTCAGCAATTTAATTTGCTGAACAGCATTTCAACGTCACATAATTTTAAGCGGTAGTATATTCCCTAGCTATAAAGTACAAATATTGTTAACTAAACAATGTTAATAAATATTGGTAACTGGTCTGCCAGAAATAGTAATTTTTTCGATCTGCAATAAGGGTCCTCATATAAATATATATAATTATGTCTTCGATTTTCCATGCGGAGGTCATTTCTCATACCCAGTATTAAAAAAATATTCACTCCTCATGTCATACACATTTGATCTGTACCCTAATTATTAAAGTGTCATCCTTCACAAAACCATTGTCTACAACATCCTCGATCATCGCGTACGTAGTATACCCGAAGCCTCTAGGGCATATATCCAGCGTGGGTTTCTTGAACGCCGTTAGATGAGATATAGACATCATTGTGTCCTTCTGCGTTTTATCAGAGTCATATTGGTTGATCATGGCGAATGATATGCGACCGTTGAACGGCCATTCCAGAGAGTTGTCGTGTTCTGATCTCATCATATGCACGTGGAGAGCAAAGCACTGAGGATTTTGTGGTGATATGTTGAGACGCAGGCAGAATCTGTGAACAACAGCGGTTTGATTTTCTTTTTTCTTTTATGTAACTGGAATTGGTCAAATGTGAATAAAAAACCTTCATGGTTATATTTAATGGAAATTACTTTTTTTACATGTTTGTAAGGGTGTTACTCCTCACCTGTCCCTCGGAACCGCAGCTGACTGTCATTAGGCTTTATAAAACAATTATCTTAACCATCTTAGTACTTTTGTACCCGGAGGAAATTGGTCACCTGGAACTGTTCCTGGCTTACGGACCATAATATATTAGGGCGCTCTTTACATTAATTATGGTAAGCTTTACTTCAAATTTTGTTTGTTTAATTACAAACAAAAAAGTTACAAGAGTTTTCGGAGGATCAGTACTTCATAACATAATTTATGTAATCACACATGTTTTACAAATAAAGAATAACAGTTGAACAGCAACTTACCGGTAACCATAAGGCGACGTATAAAATCCAGGACTGTACAGCATACTGTTGTGGTTCTGTGACATCTTTTGCAGTCTGTCCTTGAAGCATTCTATTTTCCATATATAATTGCCCATGCAGTAGCGCACGTGGTTATAGTTAGTAAGTGCGGACAGTACATCCACTTTTTTGGTCAAATTGGCGATACAGATCGCCTGCTCGCGGTTTCTCTGTTCTAATATAACGACTCGTTCAAAGACTGACCTGAAATATATATATATATTTATACATATCTACATTGCTAGCCATGATACAGTCAAGTTGATTTCCATGCGGTTATCCACGATGGGCTAACTGACCTGACCTCATGCTTATCCTATCAACCTTTTGGTGCCACGCCAGTGTGAGCCGTTAGAATAGGAGGGTATATCATTTCATTATCATCCATTAAAAAAACTATTTTTAACCCTACTAACTCTGTTTTTTTAATTAAAAGACAGCATATGTCCGATTTTGCTATACAATTTAATTTCAGGTTATGATTTAATTAACATCCGGTCAAACGTAACGATCAGAAACACACAGATTGTAAAGATTACTTTAAGCAATAAGGCCTCCTTATTGTAACTATACATGTGTTTTTAATATATTGTCTTTTCTTCACTGTATATTACAAATAAAGTTTGATAGAATAGATATATAATCTATCTATAGATAGATAGATAGATGATTTCATGTTTATAATATAAGTATGTTAGTACAATATTAGCGTGGTAGATGTTAGACAAAGTCGGTGGCGTAGGCAGAGCCGCCTCACCTATTTCTGTCACCAAGCAGTTTAGTTTGATAGATAAAACGCAGCACAGATATTACAGGGTACAGACTTGGCAACTTATTTCTCAGGTATGGTGGAGATCTATATATTTTGCTACATATGTTCTTCATATTCATGTACTGTTCATATATAGAGGGGACAGTTATCACTTTCAAACATGTTTATATTTTCATAAAATAATTAGAGTAATATATCCTCACTATTATCCCAGATCGAGTAGAAATGGTCATATTTCGCTTTAACATCGGTATTTCCTTCACAGGAATACATTGTTACAAAACAAATATGTCACCCAGGTTTGACCTAACAAACTTTTTTGAGTATTAGTCAGAGTTGTGAATGAATAGGCAATGCTGTATGTTTAACATTTTAGTTATATAAAAATAAAATACCTGATTAGGGCGCTGGTGTTGTTGAGTGGCGCCGAGGATGCCTCCGGATTGTTTTTATCGGGTGCGTCCCACAGCACCATCGCTTCTTGCTCTTTAGCGTCGATGTTTGCATTAGACATGTCATTGCTCATCTTTAACTCTGAGTATGCGTTCATTAGGTACTGCGAGAAATAGAAATATTTTATTAAAAAAAAAATATTCTACCGCTCATTCGGAATGCAGACTCATCACAAGAAGAATGAGCAAGAAACTTGTGTGTACACAACAATATTTATTTAAAGAACTTTTAAATAAATATTGTTTTAATTAAATTTACATTAACAAGGATTAGGCATGCGACAATCAACATAGAAACCGCACTTAATCTCTGTTCAATCAGATACCATTGTCAGCGTTATGAATTAGCAAGTATAATAAAGATAATAAGAATAATAATAAACCAAGACAATTCATAGTAGTCCCGAACTAAGCTGATCCTTTCGATCGATCCCTCGTCTGATTCATACATACTGCATAAATCTTAGAACGTAAAATCTACTGGGGGCATCGGTGACCTGTGGCATTGGTTTTTCGGATACACACCAGGCACCAGTTCTGCACAAATTTATACATTGGCATTAAAATTTATATGCCCAAGTGGCTCTTTATCACTGTATATTATATCAATGTTTTTGTAGAGAAAATAAATTATATTATTGAGCGGAGCGCGAAATGCGGAGCGATCTTATGATACGTTTACATTCAGCCGCTTCCCCTGCCACTCGCGCTGCCAGAAATATTGCCGGGCGACAACTGAGCGAGACGGCTGAATGTAAACATATGCTGCCACTCGCGCTGTCAATCTTTTGACTCGAGCACGAAATCTACAATCGAGGGAGCGCCGGGCGGCGCGAGTGGCAGCGCCAATGGCATGGGAATTGGCGCTGCTCACTTCCCTGCTCACTCGGGCTGAGTGTAAATAGGGCTTTAGAGATCAGATTTACACTAGTTCAAAGACCGATCTGAAATAAAAAAATTGTAATGATCTTAGTGATCAGATTTGCATTCTTTGTAACTATACTGCTTGACCGATCGAGACCAAAATTTCATCGACGGTAACACAAAAAACTCCGATCGGTCAAGGTCGAGTTTTTAAGAATAAACGCGCTCCGCTCAACCTAGTGTGTAAACAACACACCGGTGACAACCCTGGTTATTATTATTATTACATTCAAACGGGGATCGATATATCCAGTGAAATGTGGAAATGTCAAGTGTTGCGTTCACCAAGATGTCAGCAGATGGCAATGTCTCTGACACCATCTATAACATTTGTTAAGTCACTATTAATATCTGTACCATTGATTTAACTCACACTTAAATGATTCTGTGTGTCATTGTTCAAATGATTGCTCATATCATTTTCAGTGTTAAATGTTTCCTTGCAGCCGACCGCATGGAAAGAGCATGGCACCCGGATCTCGGGCTGTGAAGATGTCTGCGGAAGATTGTACTTGCATGACTCTAGGTGGGACTCAAAGTCCAGAGGACTGACGGTTGCTTTACAACCTGAAATGTTATTATAATATTTAATAATTGAGAATAAGGCTCAAAATACATAATAGACAAATATTTTCTGTGTTTCTTAAATACAATGCATTCCTTATTTTAACGTAATGTAAGAATGGTGGTAATGAAGCATACGATGCATCTGCTGGTAAATGGACGCTTGGACGATCATAGCTTGTGGACGCCTGAAATACCAAGGGTGTCACATGCGTATTGTCAACCCTCTTCAGTTCCGAAGGTAGGTGATAGACCCTGGTCTTGCTATCTCATATACTTACAATAGTATGTACAGCAGTAGTATGATACTGATATTTTTGTGGGAAAGGGGGTTAGTAGTAGGATAGTAATGTTGACTAAAAATGCCATTGCTAGCAAACTAACCATGTGAGTTTGTCCTCTGTGTGGTTCAACCTGCAAACCATCATGACAAATATGTGTATTTAACTGATGGGCTAAACTGACCTTCATATCATGCTCATCTTATCATCCTGCCAATTATCATCCATATGAATACTGGCAGTTATGTCTATGATTTATCCTAATACTTCTATAATTATTTAAAAGTATAAACCTACCTTTGCTACTATTTGGACAACTCAATGTGAGATTCAGTATCTCTCGTTTGACAAAGTTGTCTGGGAATATATTCTCCATGCCCAGCTTGTCATTATCCAATGGACAATAACCACTGTTCCTGTAATAGTAATATGTACAAAATAAAGTATTTATCTATTTTACCACTTTAAAAAATCAAAGTTGTTAAGCACCAGTGCGCACTGATATCACAAAAATTATAAATAAATGTAATAGTATCACATTTATACATAAATATTTTATTATCAATTGATATAAATGTGTTTGATTTACATTTTAATGTCATTACATGCACAAGTTTGTAACTACTAATTAAAAAGTATTTTAAAGTTATTACATTTTGCAAAAGAGAAAAAAACAATATTTGTACTAATTGTGCTGAATAAAGAATCCCCAAAACCTATAATACAGTTAGTCATCAGCCACAGTTATGGATATAAATAGGTGCAGGATCAATCTGTTACTGAAACTTCTATTATTATAGAATTAATATATTTCTTATTTATAATAATACTGTATTATGTATACAGTACTAATATTGTATGTATACTATGATTTCAATCATAGTATACAGTATTAGTTATTCTATTAGAATAGTGGTGGTTTCAAAATGGGTCTAGAAATTGTCTGTATTTGCAATATTTTGAAATTGACAGTTTTTTCACTAGAACATACTTACTTGATCCAAGGCACTATGCAATCAATGCAGAACCTGTGTCCACATGAGGTTTGCACTGGATCTCTCAACCAATGACAGCATATTGGGCATTCATGTTCAGATTTTGGCTGGTTCAGTTCAGAGTTTGAATCATTCAGTGGAGTTATTCCCAATGGCTATAAACAAGAGATTTATTTAAACCGTTAAATTTTGTAGGTTTATCTAGATGGAATTTAAATTGCTTGTTAATTAATATAACTAAATCTTCTAAATTAGAAGTAGCCTAAGCTATTCTTATAACATTCGAATACAAGTCCAGCCATTTCAGAAATTAAACAAGAACAAACAGACAGACAGACTTACAATGTTAGCTGTTTTGAATAGTCATACTCATTTTTTACTATACTACCCATTCAGGTAGCAGTGTCAGCACAAGCAGAGAGAAACATTGTAGTTGTTCTTTTAAACAAATGTAGTAATGTTTAAGTAAAAATGTGTAGGATACTAACTACCAAATAGCATTTATTCTATATAGCCAAAATATTAAACATATAGTTGGTTGAGTAACAAAAAAAATAAGTTGAAGTGATAAGGGCAGTCCAATCCCTACAAGCAGAATCAATTCATGAGTATGATCAAACCAATCCTCATTGCTTGAGTGCAATATATATTTTAGAAAGTTTAATAATCCGGCCCATCATATTGCTACACTATGGATGGAGTAAGCATGAATACTCAAGATATCCACATCATAACTACATTATATTATTATGTGATAGTATTCTATTGACACTTTATATAAAAAAAGTATATTAGTATAATATATTACTTAATAAAAATAAACAAATTTAAAAACATATTGAACTTCTATTATCACACATTTAAATTAGTTTACAGGGGAATTGATAGTAGGTCCTATCCTGTACATTATCAAACTAATAGAGTAGAAACTATTATACTTAATACCTTGTGTATTCGTCAAGATAAGGTGTGATTGGATGTTGGAAATGCATCTGTCCTCATGCCCACACTATCATCGTCCACTAGAGTCAACATATACCAAATGGTGTGTATACACCCTCATTAATCAATTTAATATGAAATCTACTCACCACTATGCCTTCCGAGGCATTTTTGTTTGGTTGTTCCATAACTCTGTAATTAGATAGCATTACAAATGAGAATTTAATGAGTCAACATAGTTTTGAGAAATTAGATGTGTAAATTTTCACTATATTTGGTCACTGGTAAGTTGAAATTGAATCATGGATTTCTCATAATTGAAAAATAATATTAATTACATTTTTTTAATGAATAATCTATTTAAAAAAAGTACTCACTGAGCAAGTAATTAAAAAGAGACACTTCCGTTTATACAAAAATAAATTATGACAGTATACCTGTATACTACCTGTGTACTGTGGTAAATTTGATGATATGTCAAAAATGACATTGACATTTAATATGAAACAACTTATACATGTCGATTCCTTAATTTTTTTTAATAGTTTTAAGACTTTTGCCAATAATGTTTGTGTGTACAAAAGTTTAACTAAAATTTCAAGTTATTTGTTATAACATGTAATATATCTTTCTCTTAATTGGAGTATGGTATTTCGGCCAGTTATTGATAGATACCATATTATTTTATAATTTCATTTACTGTGGTTGGATATTTGAATTGATTACAATAAAGGATTATTTATCGCTTTGTATTCCTGTATATTTTTAACTCTAGATAATTTCTTAAAAGAAATCAGCAAAAACTTAAATAGTTACCTATATACTTACGGTTTAATTCATATGCATATAGTTTCAACCAAGGAATTAGTCATAACATTGATAGGTAGTATCTATTTCTTGAGGATATCATCAGACTTATATAAATATTAAATTATTTGGTCAGAACCCTCGGTGTCTGAGACGAGTCTCAATTTACCGGTTTTATATGCGTATTTATTATACGGAATTATTTCCGAATGCTTTACACTGTAGTCCGTATACGTGATACGTAAAGTTGTGGAGTATTAAATTGACCCAAGTTACGTTAAGCAACTGTCATAGACATTGCGTAATTTGTTAATATTGTCACTTATAATTCCGTTCATAGTAATGTCCCCGAGAAGCGTGCCAGCGAATTGTGTCATCCGGTGAGAAGGCTTATTCATAACCACAGTAGTCTTATAGCTGATAAGAATTATAAATACTATATGCTGTAATCCATTACATATGGATATAAAAAGAAAGAAAAGCTAAAAAAATAAGGAAAACTTGTAACTGAACTTGCTTGTTACCTACTTATTTGGTAGCCAGCTTGTAATATTTAATTAGAATCTTTTGTTATATTTTTCTCTTCATTTTAAGTTATGCAAGTATATTTACTCAAGTTATTTCAGAATGCTAAATAAACGGCTAATTTACAATACTCATGCAGTATTTTCAATATTTCATTACAAATGGCACGTTTCTAGTCAGCTATATTTTGGTAAGTAGCTACTCAGTCCAAAATATTATATTATCATTGGCTCAATGTTCGTCATTTACTAAAAGAAAAATAATGGAACTGAGCAAATTGCAATATTCCTTATGTCTACAGGAAACGTTCATAAATAAATGTTAAAGACGAAACTCCATAAATATAGAATAGAACATGTAAATAATAAAATATATTTTAATATTTATGGGTGTGAGGTATATGTTATCTATATTTTTAAATAGGCACTAATGGAAATAGCAAAATAATGACAGATCGGCTGTCGGAATGTGGTAACTGTTCTCTGATCTCTAATAATTGGTATTACCTGTGGTTATGTGATCAATGGCGACATTTTCCCAGTATGCATTCTGAAGACGAAATCGCTGCTAGCTGTATAACCGGTTGCTCCTTTTTAACGTGATTCGTATGGTTGGCTATATTCTGTATCTTCGTACCTTCGATTATTCTAATTATAACATTAATAGCTGTGTAGGCAGAAATTATAAGTCCTTCGAGCCGGGTCAGAATCTGTGACAAAAATATTACAAGTGTAATTTCTTTTACTAGTAGGTATTACAAGTAAAATAATTTATGGTAATTAATCACAACTATCAGTACATATATTTATTTATGTTTATTATATGCGCCACCTACCCTTTCCTCATTTTTACTTTCTCTATCCATCCAAAGGTAGTGGAAGAGATTGCTTAGCGATTAGACCGCCTTTGTATCAGTGAATGTATTTTTTTTGTTCTGTAATTTTTGCTATTGGAGTATAAATAAAAAAAATATCAGTAGTTATTTATATTTGAAACTAGTTGTCCTCGCGGTTTTCCACGCGTTAAATTAAATATATATATATATTCTGATGCATAAGTAACATTACTGTAAAGTTTCATCAAAATTCTTTCAGTAGTTTTTGCGTTAAAGAGTAACAGTCGTCCATACTTGTATTTTTTGTGTTCGAAGGAACCCTAAAATCTCAATCTCACCGTGTCGTCGCCGGCGTACATCGATATACGTAGTCCCTATTTACAATTCAGATTACATCCAGTCTGCCGCTTGCGTAACTTAAAATTTTCCTCATAAAATATTAAAATTATACCGAAGTGATATCAAAAGCCCTAATCCGGTTATGAAAGAATGCAGAATTGTAGGTCAAACAATAAACAAGGTGTCATTTTTCGGTTCAGACACTGATCACTAGTACTTAACTTGCATCACTAGTGATTAATATAATTTCTGTATAATATTTTTTTTCAGCTGGTCATATTTGCAAATTATTGTTTCATCATCATCATCAGCTCATTGCAGTAATTGTTTGCATAGATTAAATTTGAAAGTTTTGTCTCGCCTCAATAAAATATTTTTTTTTATCACATTGTGCAATTTCTTCTACTTTAGGAACATATATTCATTTTGAAAGCTTTGTCCCATCTCATTAAAAGCAATTTTTTGGTAAAATTTCTTCACAGTTTGCCTCAGAAGCCAATCTGTTTTTGACGTGCATAGCTCAGCTCAGCTAGCGTGTTAGCGCGGGTCATCAAGATACTATTGACCCGAAAGCTGGTTCCCACTTTGTCCAGAAAGTAAATATGGCTATTCAAAGAGGCAACGCTGCAGTATCTTGAGTACACCGATGTGCCATGTTGGATTACTATTGTTTTTATTGTGTGATTTGTGAAATAAACATTTGGTCATTTAGAGGTTACACAGATTCAATTTTGATTCAATTATCTAATAGTAGTGTTAATTGATCTGTGGTACCTAGTGGTGGTTATTAGGTAATTGCAGATAGTACAATTTTTATTTGTTCCATAAAACTTACAAACTATAAAACCTCTATCAGTATCGATCAAATGTATGTTTGAGATAATTATCATTTTTTATCAGCTGGGCTGATCTGCTGTGTTCCTTTGCCATTTAACTTACACAAAGGAAAGTTAGCTTGGAATCAACATATTGTAGATTTTCATTGGTTTCGGTTATGTTATAAAAAAATTGCTTTAAACCTAAACTTACTTTTACAATCAAGAGCGTATTTAGCAGTATGCATTTTTAATTAACGGATATATCGTAATCTTTATGTTCTTTACATATGTATAATAAAATCGTAACCATGTGTGAACTGATTGTTTGACTGTTTATCTGTTTGTTTGTCAGAGTATCACGTAAAAAGGCGAGAAAGAAAAATTAGGACGAAATAAGTGAGTTTCACAGAATACATATATATGTGTCAACACATAGGCTAAAAATAATTATTAATATCTTTTTTTTATTTACCTCTCAGGTAAAATAGTTGTCGTATTAATTTTAAATACGTGATCTACGATGGTTAATTAATTTGTGAATAATATAATAGATGGTGTTGTATAAACTCTCTATTTTTCAACTTTATTTAGCATCTTCAATAGATGGCGTCGTGATCCACACCGACGAAGCACTGGTTTTAAAATATATTTTTTTATACTTTTCATATTCATCTAAGTGTTTCTATTCTCACGGAACCCCTAGCGCCTAAGCGTGACTCGTACTTGTCAGTTTTTTTTGGAGTAAAGGGGCGGTCGATCAACCTTAACGGTACTAGATGTTACGCTCGTGAAGTAACTCGCTTACATCACAGTCTACCGGTATATATATATATATATCTCTATGGAACCGATAACGGTGCTGGATTCCATTATCAGTTAGTGGATCAAGGTTTTGGTTGTATTAGGCAATATGTGCTAACTTCAGATGAATCTTTAAGAGTAATAAATTACTCTACATTTAGGACTAGTGACTCTATTGCTAGCAACCACTATAAGGTTCTCTCTAGAAATCGTCGTGGTGAAGTCAGGACGAAGTTATCTAACTAACATGTCACTTGGGGAATACATAGAAAATTCAAAGACCAAACATAACAATAAATCAATACATACAATCATATTATGAATAAAAATGTCTGTGGCGTGCGAGGAATGGAACCCGCGACCATAAGTAAAGCAGTGTGCTAAACCGCTAGACCACCGAAGCCTGAAAATGATGCATTAAATGAATGTATTTAGTTTTTAGATATATTTAGTGGTTGATGCTGAATATTTTAAGTATGGCAACCCTAATGGTGACCTTAATCGGTTCATTCGCTGAACTTTAACAATGTATCAGATAAACAGACACTATGTAACATAACAGTACTGCATAATAAAGAAATGTTAAAGAAATCTTACCTTCGAACATAAGTAGAAGAGCCATACATGTTTCTATGACCTGTTATATAAGGGCATGTACAATACAGTTTAGGTATTGCATCGCTCTATTTACATCTCGTGTAAATAAATCATATTTGATGAACATCTTTGACACATGAACAGAGAAGGTTTAGAAAATAGATTGCGAATGTTGCCTAACTTTAATATGAATATATCAACATTTAGAAACTCGGAGGCCGTTGAAATAGCTAATAGGTTTTATTTCGACGCATTACGTATAGAAGAATCCTTCGTTTGACTTCCTTAATAAATATAGAAAGTGATTTTATTGTAATCATTTAGTTCGTCGAGAACTTTGAATAATTTAAAAAGTTAATCCTTTCTGTACAATGTATGCTGTATACATGTTGTGTATTGCATTTTAACAAATTAAAAAAATATATGCTTTTTATTTTTTATTTTATAGAAACTATTTGGTGTTTCATGGTTTTACATGCCAGATAAAGTGTTCATATTTATGCTCTTTTAAAAAAAGAAGTGGTATAAAATATTCACAATAGACAACAACGCACGCACAAAAACGAGGTTAAATTGAGCCTCTAGATTAATTTATTATACGTTTGTGTATTTTGTACGCATCAATAAAGTAGACATAATTTCTAATATATATACCTCAACTTGCAAGTTTCTTCCTCATTCCCAATCATTTCTCTTATGATGAGTCTGTGTTCTGAATGAGTGTTTCATTCTACCAAACAAAAAATATGACTATTTAAAAGTGCTTATATTAAGTTTATTTGAATAAAGATTATTTCTATTTCTATTACATGTTTCTATTAATCACGCGTCTACCTACGGGCTGTCGATGTGTCAATAGAAATAAATTGAACAATTATGTATAAGAGAGACATAATATAAGTTGCTTTGATGATGCGAGTTAAGTCGATTTGATGTATTAATTGATTTATGGTACTTATGGCCCTCTTACAGTTTCTCTGTTAACTACGCTAAGGTTTTGAGCAAACACATTAGGAGTGGTTGCGATAAAAATGCTTGGTTTCAAGCTCACTAATAGAGAAAACCAACAACGCAGTGGCCAGTTGTTTGTGTTGTTTTAGTATAAAAAGCTGCTCGCTTTATTACGTATACTTATAATACGGATTTTTATAATTATATATTAAAAAAATTGGTTATCTACTATATTTTTTTATAATCGGTAACAACACAAACACGTAGTTTCAATCACAGTAAAGCTTTGCTACTTATTAGTAGATATCTAATATACATACATAAATACTTTATTTATGTAAATAAATACGTAATATAGAAATGTTTGTATTGTGTTGGAATCAAATCTGCAATCATTGGAAAGAAAGCAGTATGCGGAACTGATTCTTGATCACCGAGGTGGTCAAGAAAGCATAGCTATTGCTTTGACCTCGATGATTGTTTTAATCCATTGTTTATAGGTTCTACCACAACCTAATAAAACAAATGAAAGAAACTAAATTGCATAAACTTTATCATTTTAAAAATGCATCATAATATTCCTTCAAATTTATTAAACGTAATAGCTTAATATACACAAAAATATATATTGGAAATATAAACTTATTTATTGTTTCTATACAAGATACATATGCGTAAGTATCCGCAGATAATTTCCACTTCAATCGATAATCACCCCCTGACTACCACTTATCCTGTTCAATCCAATAATTTTCTCACTTTATCATTCTGAAATCCTATCTATCGACAAATAAATATTTTTCCTTATCAAAATTGGGGATAACAGAAGTCGCTATGTCAACATGCAATAAGCGCCTGGCTGTATGGGTAAACGGTACGATAGTCAAAGCTCGTAAGCCTCAGTTGCTATCGGTTCAGTGTAGACTCCGCACAAATTGTGGACCAAATAAATGTAACACGCTAAATACGTATTCACGTTCGCGGTATATTTGTGTTCGAATATTGAAATAAAAAACTATTTTGTTTTCTTTTTAAATTGAATTTAGAACACAATGTTTATAATCTGTGGAATGAATTATGTTGTCGTGTGATGTTGTTGGAATTATTTTCGAAATATAGTTCGAAATTCAAATATTACTAATTTGCAAGTCGTATAGTTGTAAAATTTTATTTGAAACGAAGATTTATGTTTTGAATCTTATCTTATGTCTGGAGTATAAAATAGATCTTGTAATACCAGCAGGTAGCTATTTATTTACATAAATAATTTGTTTCCATTCCTACTCTTATATACGTAAAGTGGCAGCGAAAATTGATCTAATCACTGTCTTAGAAATTTCTAACGTTTAGAAGATATTGTAAAACGTTTTAAAATTCTATATGAATATATGTCCCTATGACAAATTTGTGTATATAGTTTTATTCCAATATTTGTCATAACATAACTCGGTATTAATTTTCCATCGACTTAAAAAACAGGAACGTGTTTTCAATTCTTTTGCATTTTTTTATGAGTCTTTTAAATTTTTTTTCTATATGAACAGATTTAGAACTTTTATATTTGCTATTTGTTTCCAATGTGTTCTCGTGTGTTTTCATTTTTATTAAGATTTTTAGTAACCAGAAGCATTTGAATTGCCCATTAATGTGAAGTTCGTCATTTCGTAGCCTGTACAAATATAATTACTTTATTTCAAGTCAGGTTTAGCGTGGTCTGTATATGTATAATTATTATATATGAAAAGAAATTTAAATTATTAGGCTATCCAATATAGGTAATAAATACAGAACTGCTAGTCATATTGGTCTTTGTAGTAAATAATAATAAATCTTTTGTCAATACTCACAAAGTATATAATAAAAAAATAATCATGATGCTTACCTACGAAACATCGATTACAAATATTACGAAGTTATGAGCTAAGTTATAGCTATTTGTATATAAGGAATTGCTTAAATTTTGTAAATGCCTAAATGAATATAGCGTAAAATACTTACTTTTTGTTTAATAAAATCAGTTAAATAGGTATCTATTATGGAAGTAAGTTAATGATTTATTTCAACACTGTCGTCTCGGATGCTTCTAACTAAGAGTCATTAACACAAAAATGTAGGTGACCAACAGAGAAACAAAGAAGTCTTTTGTAACTTAACTATTATTCAATCTTTTCTTTGGGAATAAAAACTTAGATTACCACTTAGATACGCGACGAGACTGTCTGATGCTAACTTTTTAACCGGCGTGCTATTCTATGAAGTCTTACATCGTTAATTGTTTTGTTTTTACCATAACTAATAATGGTCATATTGTTGTGTGTGATTTAGTGCTTTTGCCTACTTTGTATAATAAGTTGTTAATTTTTTTTACTTTTTAATACGCAAAGTAACCATTTCAAATTAAAACAAATATTTGACTTTTTTTTAAATATAACTGGATTGATGTCGACCCATATAATGAACAGTATTTTTTTATTATGACTTTATAGAAATGAAAACACCACGGACATGAGACTTCATGAAATCTATACATACATATATTACGCATGTCGTACTCCTTATGCCTTAAGTTTTTGGTGTGTGTAATTTATATAAATTACACACACCAAAAACTTAAGGCAAGCTATATGTAATTTTTTTTATTACTTTAATTATTTTCTATATATTATATTTTTTTTGCTTGTTTTTGTTTCTGTAGTAGAAGCACAGAATAAATATATTTTTCTTTTTTAATAGTTCACATGTTTTAGTATTGTGCGTAATTTGATCTATTTTGTGTAATATTGAAAGGTTATAATTATAAGTAAGTTTGACCTCAATATTTACATTGTTAAATGCCAAATATAAAATGTCAAACTCATGCAATAAATATGATGTTTAAACGATCATACAATCACGCTATTTGCAATCATCTGACCATGAGTTATTAATGTAATTAGATACGTATAAATGTATATATCTTATAATATATACATATATATATATATATATTTTTTTAGATGCATAGTATAAGGGATATATAGGTATACGGAAATTATGTAACTGATTATTTTGTTTGAATATTTGTTTATCTGATTTTTGGTTCATGGTTGTAGGTGCGTAAGTTAGACTGACAGGCTATTTAGTAGTAAAAATTAAGTACAATAACTTAAATAGAATTAAATAAATAAAGTTGAGGGTTTTTCAAGTAACCTATATTATAGGTAATGTTACTTAACAATATGTGGAATAATATAAAAGAAACAACAACTGTGCACGCGAACAAAACTAATATATTAATGAAATCCATTCAACCGGATAAGCTTAATTGAAATCATTATCTACTAGTCTAGAAAAACTAAAGAAAGAAAGAAAGCGGGAATAAATGACAGAAAAAAATATTAGCACAAGTGTAAAACGTTTAAAATATTTTTAATCGACTGCCAAAAAAAGGAGGCATACAATTGAATAGTATTATTTTTTTTGTGCACAATATCTTAGCGGAAACTGATTGGTATTACACAGCTAAGATAATATTGTATTACCAACTTTTTGCTAACAATTTACCATGTTAGGTCAACCTCCACAGTTCCGCCCTGGAAACCATCGTCCTTAATTCCTGGTGCCCCGCCAGCGTAGACGGGTGCACCATTCCATTATCATCCATTAAGAAAAAGAATATCCACACATATAAAATCTTTACAAACTTTCACACTTGTAATATTTAAATTAATTGAAAATTTAAACAGTTCAGGATGTAAGTAGATATTTTATTAAGCCTATATGGAGTGCATAATAAATGCAGTAGTGTAGGATTCATTTATACAGAATTGATATACTGTGCATATTAGTATGCACAATACCTACACAAGAAATAGATTAGCATACCAGCCGAGTTACTGAATCGTTATGGGAAATGTAGATTGCAATGCTATTTATGGTGCTTTTTTGCTATCTGGCCTATCTAATGACTAACTAACGGTTGACATAACAGCATTCTATATTGAGTTCCTTACCTTTTTATGTATTTATTCAAAGTAACTATTATTGGCTATACTATTCAGCTGTTATTAATGACCCTGAAGAACTTGTGAAGAATGAAAATATTCACTGAAGTTTTTCAATATCTTTAGAGCTTGTCCTAGAGATTACACTGTCACGCTTCCGCTAAAAAGTATGGAATGTATTAATCTAGAATAACATATACCTGTATACCTACTTATTTCATTCGAATCCGGACAGTGGTTTTAGCGAGTACGACTGATTAACTACTCATCCTTAAATACTTTCACTTAGAATTCATAGTCAGATTTTTGTATAAGTTTCTATGTAAAGAAGTCAAGACTGAAATATATAAATGTTATTTTAGATAAAATTAATAATTTAAATAATGTACATAAAATATTTCATTATTATTTAAAAAAATATTCTAATTAAAATAGTATTGTAAGAAAAATACAAATAATATACAATAATAACTACATAAGTAAATATAAAAACCTTTGCACAGCCTCCGACTGATTCCCTATACTATTCAAACGAGGCTCAAATCCAAACAAATGACGAAGGTCTGAGCCTAAGTTAGCACCCTTAACAGAGTAAAGTCGTATCCATTACGCGGGGGTTGCCATTAAGTCTCACCATATCTAAGTACTGCCTTTGCACTCGCTTCCATTTTCCATTGCATTATAATAGTTTAAAAAAGGAAAGAAAAACGTAGTCAATATTGTCATATTAGCTAAGCTATGTTTCGAATTAGGGTGCGATTATGCATTACAGGATATGAGGCATGACATCATAGTCCTCTAGAATGGCAATGCATGATCGTATGGCTATCACACGATAGCGATGTTCGTAGTGCCATTACATCTATGACATAATATTACAATACAGGGGATGATTACTGTTTACGATCAGTTCGGCCGTCAGATTGTTTGCCATTCCAATTATAACAAAAATAGACATATGTATAGTACATATTATGTACTGTTAATACGTCTAAAAACAGTGGTCAATTTCTATTGAATAGATTGTATACCGATTATTATCCTATCTCAGCCATGCATCAAGTTAACGGTGACAGCGATCTCTAACAGTCCTTCCGCGTTCTCAACATAACAAATTGTGAAGCGTAATCAAGTTTTAATTGATTACTTAAATAAGCTACGAATTTTGCGGACCTGTATTATATTAATAGGAATATTTATAGCAGCCATAACTTTGGGGGTTATTACCTTATGAAACATTATGAAATCTCTGATATTATAGCTAAATAAACTCATCGTTTTATGGAGTTATTAATGGACTTTTAATATCATTATAAATTTTACTTAGCTTAGAATAATCAGTCGGATAAATCTTTGTAGACCTAATTCTGGCCTCTATTCCTATTATGACATTAAATTAGAAAGATGTTACCAGGAAAGTACAAGAAACTGCGTACTATGATATTTTTTATAGGGGACAAACGACATGCTCGTTTGTCCCCTGGCTCACCTGATGATAAGTGATTATCGCCGCTCATGGCCACACAAGGGGAATTGCAAGTGCATTACCGGCCATTTCAGAAGGAATAAGCTCTTTTCTTACAACGCTCTATTTGTTTACCACGTAATTCATTACTGTATTACATCTCTTGCATTCTAGCTGGTTCTTTGAATCAGAGAAAGGTAGTAGTAGGCTGGCCAGCCTCAAGGTTTTTAAAAGTGTTCTTGTTTTTTTTAGGTCACAAACATTGTTTCCTTTTTATTGCCTTCAAGTGTAGCCCTGCGTTAATTTTTCTTCGCAACGTGAGCGAAATATGTATTCTTACTGTTTTTTTTACAAGACATCTGTTGCATTTTATTGAATGTACCTACTAACGGTGGGAGGATCTGCGAACTAGTTCGTAGTTCATCGTTAGGAGCGGTCTTCCGAACTACTTTGTACGTTCGTGAACTACACAAGATTAGACGATACATTTCGGTTTTAAATGCGAGGTTCTATTATTGTCCACGAAAAAATTGCGTCATTATGAATATATGAAATATGAAATCTCTGTCAAAGTAATATCCTCTAGCACCTTGAATAAATTACTTAATAAAGCACATGACATTTAAAAAAATAACATTAGTTATTTCTTTAGATCCCGCTATTTCCTTCTATTTGTACCAAGTCCAGTCTTTTGCACGCAATCCTCCAAGAAATAAGTGGGTTACAATAATCGCAGTCTATTTCGACACTTTGCTTGGATGGGCGGGCATGTAACGGTACAGAAACCGTTGGCATTACGATAGATTACTCTCGTCTTGTAATGAAATACTGTAATGAACATCCGCAATATTATAACAATCATACCACCTGAATAATGATAATGATAATGATATGGTATTTGATAATGATTATATGTTTAAATTTGAAGATTTCATTGTTGATAGTTGAATGACCCTCAATCCTTTATTTTTCAATATGCTTTGAATATTATTAATTTAGTTTGTATATGTTATATACTACACATTTACCTGTTACTTGGCAAACAAAATCCAATTAGGTTAGTGAACAAAGAATTCTGTCTGGAAATCCCTACTTCACCTTAGTTTCCAATTATTATTTGCGATTTAAGATGACCTATATTATATCCGTCCAAGGACGGACGGACCAGCTATTACAAGTAATAGTTGTATCCTATGAAATTTCAATTCAGACGTTTAGTCGTGAAAAGGTAACAGGTAAACAGACAAACTCACATACAGACAGATTTATAAAATTAATGTGTGTGCTGTATCTAATAGGTAATAAGTTGTCTCCATGTAGCGATGAACTAAGAATACAATTTGTCACTGTTACCTGTGATATTATAGTACTTATCGTTTAAAGAATATCGTAAGAGATGAGCAAACAAACATCAATATGTTTGTATTTTTTTTTAGTTTTGACATTCGAATTTTTCTTGAACAAACTCGAAATTGAACTTATTATTACTACGATACCTATCTGCTTCAGTGTAATAATAGTGGGATAAATTCTTTTGTTACAAGAAACCCATGCTCAGCTTTGGGACTCTAATGGGAGCGAGAGGAAGGCTTTACTGCATAGTAACCACCTCCCCTCGCATGGGGAATGTGATCCAATTACTAGCAATGTACTTTATTATCTAGAAACGATTCTCTATAATGGAATAACTGACCTGACCTTATGGTCTGGAAGATGGATAATTCAATACTTCGCAATAAAAAAAATGGTTGTTATGCTGAATGTGTTACCAAGTAACTAGTTATATTAGGCATTATAGTTTTTATATCAAATAAAAGATGAAGTATCTCTTCTGCCATCAATAAATGTCACTCGTCTATTATATAAGGTCATTAATATTCATTAAAGGTCAATATAGTCAAATTATGTCACTTGTTTTTTAAATTGAATCTAAATGCTTCTTTAGACTTGTAAAATAAAATATGAACTTAATAAAATATGCTTAGTGATCACTACAATACGTACAATTACATAAAAAATACTATACTTGTTTAAAAATAATAAAAAATGCCTATTTTAATAATTTCTCCTTTTATCATTATCAGCTAGTAACTTGTTCAGTATTTTATTTCCAAAAGATTAGAGATCGCTACAATAACTGCATTCGTGTAAAACCTAGTTGGTTCGTTAGTACTGATACAGATTGAGGAAAATATTTGCAATTTGAATTTGAGAAACATATAAGTGGTGTGTAATTGTTGTTTCGCACGACATGTAGAAACGTTCGGTTTTATTGAGAAAACACCAATAAAACATTGGTGTTGAAATATGAGCACGGACTTTTTCATGTTATTACATTGTGCATTGGTAATCGATATTGAATTATATGAGAATTGAACAAGTTTTCTCTGTCCGATGCAGTGATTGAAGTTTGTGAACTATTTACAAGTAGATCGTTGATTAATATATTACTATAATTATTACGTACATCATAGTCTATTCTGTTTCTTTTGCTTTCTTAATCTGTTTTTAAGTAGATTGTTGATTAATGTATTATTAGTTACGAACTTTACATTGTATTCTGTTAGTTTTGCTCCTCCTTTTATTCGGTATTGTAATTAAATTAGTTTGTTGTAATATTGTATTCTAGATTAATGAATAAGACATATATAGTAGAATTAGAATTCGTAGAATAGTTAACCGCTTCCCCTACCATTAGGTATACGCTGGAGGGGCGCCAATAGAAGACAGATAGGATGAGACATATTAAGTGTAATGAATCCTACGGAAACTAATATGATTTCTAAGGAGACGCAGAATTGTGTTCTAGGGATATCTGATAGAGTACATTATTATCTGGGCCAATAACACCTTCGTTAGTATTGTTTTATATATCATACGCGGTTAATTTAAGCAAAGACCTCTTTGAAATGAGACCTGAGTATGGCTGTACATAGGTTGCCGCGTGTGCATTTGGAAATTCTATCAAGTCAAATGTCGACAATAAATAAAATATTTATACAACGTTTTAGTATTCCATTATTTATAATAGTTTAATATTTGTATATAAAATAAATATCAGATATTACTACAATAATTGATCACTTGGGGGGATAGTCTCTTAGATATACATATATGTCTTATAAAAATAGTTTTATAATATTTCTTGAGGTACGCTTATACGACTTTATTACATGTCAGGAAAATAAGAAAAGTTAATAAAAATAAAGTTGTAAAGATTATTCAAGGGACTGTATAAGTAAAACGGTAAACATTGAACGTAGAGTACTTGTTTAAACTGTCAACACCAGTCAACTTGCATTTAGTATAATTTGTATCGAAATTTAAAATAATTCCAAGATACGTGTAGTTGCTTGGTCACACTTGTATTATAAACATTATAATTTTATTATTTTAAACCAGTATACACGAATTGACCTCAACAGGTCACTGGAAGTGATACGTAATTTATTAAGCAGAAACCGGAAAAAGCTGGGTCATTTGTTGAATAATGTGATAGTAAAGATATGTTAAAATGTAAAAATACGTCAAAAACATTTAAGTACATATGCATATGATGAAAAATACTATGTAAAGATATATTTTTCTAGTTGTGGTCGATTTTAAAGGTACTTTAAGTAGTGTTGTGAATGTACTGGACTGAGGAAGTGAAGTCATATGTGAAAATGTGAATATTTTAAAAGTTTCGACTGTTGTAAATCATGGCTGCGTGGGTATGGTTTGCTGCAATGTTGTGTGGTACCCAGGCGGCAGTGCTGCCGCCACCGTGGGCGGATGTCAGGAAGAATCCTTGTGCGGCACACCCAAGGGGCTGGCTGATGCTGTACTGGCCAAACGATGGAAAATGTTACACCATTTACCAGGTTCGTATATCATATATTAATTATACTAGAGGTAGACTGTTAAAACTCGTCTGCGTAGGCACCTCAGTATCATCTATTTCAGCCGAAATGCTGCTTTTTTTATAAGCTACGTTTCCGTTGTAGGGTGCAATTTAGGCAATGAAATTATAGGATAAGAGTCAAGTATTTTTTATATTTATCTTTATTTATATTTAAAATATAAAATATTATCTTTTTTATAGATAGATATAGGCATTATATACATGAAAATTGTTTTAAATTGATGTATTTTATATCGTCAACCTTAGGTGTACCGTTACGTAGATTTTGCTAGGCATAAAATTTGATTAATATATATGTATAAAAAGTATACAAATATAATTATAAATGCACCACACTTATATAGAATCAGAATACATGACCAATATATCAGACAGACAGAATTAAAAGTCAGTTAATAGGTACGTGAATTTATATTTTAGTTATTTTCATTTATTTAGACATTATACTACATATATGAAAATATAATATGGGCCTTAGATTTATATTTTTACGACTTAAATTTGAATAAAAACTAGACAAGATTAGCCAAAATGGGCATATATGGCGGGCGGATGATATTATGCCGTTTATTTCTATCTAAACGATATGTTGCAATGAATGACTAGTTATAATCCAAATTAAACCAAAGCTGTAATGTAACAAGACACTAAATAGAAAAACATAAATCCCCAAGATGTGGGCACGAATGACAAAGAGAATGCTCCACTTTCGCTTACACAAGACGTTTTGTTCATTAAAACTGCAATCAATAGATTAGTAGACCAAAAACATAACGTTCTAATGAAAAATTATAACGATATATTGAATAATATACCTATACTCTACACATTATACATTTGTTTATTTTGTTATTTACGACGTCTGTGGATTTGTGTTCATGAGTGTAATTGTTTTTATCGCCCTGGGTTTTTTTCTATGTATATCGTGCATGTATTTACGAAAAAAATATCTAAATATTTATATCAGTTGTCTAATATGTACATATAATAATCCATAATTTTTGCACCGTGCGAGGAATCAAATCCGCGGCCATCGGAAGTAAAGCGGTGTGCTCAACCGCTAGACCACCGAGGTCGGCAATAGGATAGGAATAATCTTTATAGGATTAACATAGAACACATACGATGTGCCAATTCTCACGGTCCGTTGTTATACTTCCTCTATTTATTATCTTTATGCATTTTTAGATTAAAGCTTGTATTAACAGCAATAACGTACTATACAATTATGTCAATTATCTGATCTTCAAATTAGAGTACTATGTTATGAGAGAGTACAAGAAAAAACAATGTGGTAAAGAATTATTTAATACATTATATACATTTCGACGGCCTCAACGATCTAGTGATTTAGCACAGCGCTTTACTTCCGAAGGTCGCGGGTTCAATTCCTCGTACGGTAGAAACAAAGTATGATTGTTTGTATCGATCTGGGTATTTTCTATGTATATTATATATGTTTTCACAAGAAAAATCATATCACTTGTCTAATACAAGCTCTGTTTAACTTGTGACTAGATGACGCTGTGTGGATCGTGCTTAAGATATTATTATTATTATTATTATACATATAAATAAGTGAATATCTCTGTCACGCCTATTAGGTAATTCCACCGTAAAGCAACTTACATGCTGTGTTCCGGTTGAAGGGTGAGATATGGCAGTGAAATTGCCAAGTCGCGAAGGTCGACAATGCGCCAATAAAGGTGTCGCAAGCATTCATTGATTATGGCATATCCTTATGACTGTACATTTTATTATTATTCTTGTTTTAAAATATTTTTGTGTTTGTATGTTGGTATTATTAGCTTCGCATATAAACCTATTTTACTGGCTAAAAATAAAATTATCCGTAAGCTCTTTGTTCTCTTTTTAAAACTCATCTGAAATGTACAGGTGATCTGTTGCTTCTTAAATGTACAAATAGATGAAATATCACGTTTTAAATGATGTATTAAGGACAGTTTGTAATATTTTATTAAAAATAAATAAAAGCAGAGGTACCGCCATGCATGCGTCATGCAGCCTAATATGATTTGGCAAGACAAAGTAATTATTTGAAAATAGAACTATTTCAAAAGAAAAATCAAATCGAAAAATCGAACTATTTCAAATTATTTGAATTTAGAATGCGGAACTGTGGTTTTGCTGCACGAAAAGTGAGCGAGCGCTGCAGAGAAATGTCGCAGTTTCAAAAGTAGAATAAATTCGCAATATCATAATCTGTAAAAATAAAAGAATTCTTATGATGTTCTTAACTTAATTGGTTAATTATATCGTAATTATAATATAGTATTAATAGTGTAACACTTTTGAAATCTCAAGTATATATTCAATATAATTGCAGTTTACAAGTCTATAGTAATATGTTTAGAAATACATTATACATGGTGTTACTGGGTAAGTATTTGTCTACTAATCTAATAGCGGCAATGTCAGAACGAAACTGACGAACCGTTGCGGATGTATCACGAGTTGCGTAAGTCGGTATTGCCGTGGGCCACTTATTCCGGAAGATATAATACTGATTCAGAATGACGTCTGTCCCCAGCCTAACATAATTTTACTTATCTATTTAATCAATAGGTAAGCATATAGCATATAATATTATGTATATGTGTATTTATTATAATGTGTTTTTAAGATTTTTTATAAACAACAAAGAGATTTTAAAATTTGTTTGGGGTTATTACAAAGAAAGAAATTTGTAAGTTTCGTTGCTTAACGTATGTATGTGGTTATTTATATATGTTTCTTTTATATATCCTAGATACCTTGGACAATTCACATAACGCCATATAGTACCAAGTTAAGCAGAGCTTGTGTTATGGGTACTAGACAATTTAATATAGATATTTAGATATTTTTTTGTAAATAGTACATAGAAAACACCCAGATAATTACAAACTATCATCCTCATGAATACAAATGTTTGTACCGTGCGAGGAATTGAAACCGCAACCTTCGGAAGTAAGCCGATGTGCTAAACCATTAAACCATTGAGACCGTCAAATTAATATGTCAATATCAGCAATGTTTATAATAAACACCATAATAACGATTCAGTGATACATTACCAACATTAGTTACATTTGTCTGTGATTTTACTTAGAGTTAGATAAAAACGTTACAATGATGGACTTCCTATAAGTAATGTGGTAGGTTACTTGTTAATTGTGTGAGTTTTTTCACTATTGTCTAATGTATTGCGTACTCGCCCTAATTATATAATTCTTATAATTAGAATATAGTAATTAACGAATTAAGAGCTCCCTTTGTTAGTGAGATAGAATCAGTAGGTCAGTGGGTAATAACGAGATCGATCGGTCATGGTCTTTCACAAGTACTCGAAATGCAACCAGACTGGTCCGACCGGTATTTTAAATAATAATACACGAGGATTGCGAACATTTTTAACCCGTTATTGCTATCGGCTTTAGTAATAGCATACAGAAACCTTGAAATGTATTTATGTAGATAATGCATAAGAAATATTTTCACAGTTTTATGTCATGTAGACTTGCAAATTCATATGTGTACTTGTAGATAACGATTAGAAAAGGAATTCAATTTTGCGTAATCAAATCAAATCAAAATATTTTTATTCCTGTAGGTCTATTGCAGACTCTTGTGATTTGTCAAATCTAGCGTTAGTTCGGCGTGCTCTCAAGCTAAGAACTGACAAGAAACTTTTATCTTTTATTTTTTTGAGTAAGGTTAGTAAAGGTTACCCTTTTATCACTCTCTTCAAATGAATTTGTTTGAGATTTTCTGTTCCTTACATAAATAAAAATAATCTTGCATCCTGAATATCCTTTATGTTGCATTATATTCGGGAACTTTTAACATATGCTAGAAGCATCTTATTAAGTTCTCCAATATTACGTTTTTCGCAAATAGTAATTGCATTTAAATTTTAAAACCCGCCTTTGACATAAATCTCGATGGGTTATAATTCCTATAATAATTTAAATAAATTGGCATTATTACACCCGTATCGTGGTGTCTGTAGGCGAATTGTGGCCATTATAACGTGAAGCTTTTAATGTATTAGAGATTACTGTAATATATGTTCTAAAGGCGTTTCAGAGCTATAAAATTTTATAGTCATGTGAACTATCACGAATGCTTAAAAATATCCGATCAGAATATGAATTAGTCTGTGTAAAAATAACAATAGGCATGTTATTAGCATAATTTTGTTGACTTAAATTAGAAATTCTCACGGGAACACTATTAGCCGATATTCTGAGGAAATTCCATAGGCTACGGTAACCGTTTATCATCAAACGGGCCGTATGCTTGTTTGCCACCTACGTGGCATAAAAAAATTAAAGAATCTAATGTTCGGTAGAAGATTAAGCATATTTTTTTTAATTTAGAAAGCCTCAGTAGTCTAGCTCACCGTTTTTTATTCTGATTGATTTCTAAGTTTTATTATTTGTATTGATCCGGGTGTTTCCTATGTATATTATGTATTTATAGAAAAAAATATTTCTATCAGTTGTTTAGTACCCATAATAAAACTCTGCGTGCTATATGGCGATGTGTTAATTGTCCTAGGTCATTATTATTATATTGTCAATCTTTTGAAATTGTTATTTATTCTGAAAATAAAGAATAATAAGTATAACTTCTACTTATTTATTTTCATAATTTGTTTCATGCCACGGAATATACATATGTCTACGGGGAGTCTTGACTTTTCCATCAGGCTTCAGCAGTCATAATAAATTATGAATCTTCCCCGGTATCGGTATTTCTCCACTTTCGCATTGACATACGGTTTCGTCAACCTGTCATCCGAAATTCTTTCCGTAAAAATCATCAGGTGAAGAAATAAGTTTGAATATAAATGAATATGCAATAAGACACAAAGGTCGTTTGTCGACTTTGCAACAGAAATATCCACCTAACGTGTTTCCTGCAATAGAGTTCAGGGGTCGGGTTATGCAAACTGTATACTGTCAGGCTATAGTTATTAATTTATTTGATTCCATAAACAAAATAATAGTGTTTATTTAGTTTTTTATTAAATGTTATTTCTTTTAATTTAATGATTTTTATTCTTTAACCTATTTCAATTGCCGAGTAGCTTGTGTTGTTTGTGAGGTGTACTCGTATTTTGGTTATACGGAAAGATTGGTATATATGGAAAATACAGGATAAGAGGCATGGCATCTTACTTTGGAATAGCAATGCACAGGTGTCACATTATAACATGATGACCGTAGTGCAGTTAATGTGTATAGGTGACGGTTACCATATACCATCAGGTGACTGTCAGCTTGTTTGCCATTCCAATTCCATAAATATAAAAGTATAATTAAATTTTCGTTTTAACAGTGAATGCAGACTGGATATCAAAGGATGAAACAGTTTATTAGGTAAAATAATTAATCAGTGATTAATACGTAATTACTAATGTTCATCAGAGTGCCTATTCATATATAACTGATTTGAAAAAATATATAATTGAAATGGTAACCACTTAAAAGATCGTGCTAAATAACTTTTTTAGGTTGATTTTACAACAGTTAATGTAACTGTCTTTCACTAAAAGTGTTAAAATGTCAGCTGTACGATACTGCTTGCAGAATATAAAAATAGATATGCTAGTTTAAATGCTACGTAATATATGCGTGATTATTTATTCAAATCACAAAGTTGGAGCCTGTACTAAATTCTTTTGTGGTCTTAACACGTAATTTTGCCCGCCATAGGCGCCATAACATCTATTTTCAACTATACTGTAACGTAATATATCTATTTAATTAGCTAATTTAAAGTTCATTTCACATTGCTTGGCATCTATTTATACTTACTATGTAGTATATAGGATACATACATAAAAAAAAATAATTTTTTTTGCAATGGATTATACCAGTATATAATTCATAACACAGAACAATTTTAATGAATTTTAATGGATTGGTGTTCCCGTCTGTGCTATGCTAACGTAAACCGTTAAATCCTCGCACGACACCAGTGGAGAGTGATAAGATGATTAGGTCAAGTCAGCACATCATGATAAATTCACCAGAAATTCAGGAACTCTTCACGACGATTTCCAGGATCAACCGCGTGGAGGTCAACCTGTCATGGTACAAGTAACTAAGACTATTTGAGAAACTAGATACAGAGAAAAAGTTCCTCAGTTTTCTCTTTCTAATCTTTCTCAAAAAGACAGGGATTGCTAGTAACTTCCATTACTAGTAATATCTCATGTTTTGTCTTGGCCTTACAAAGGCTATGCTAACCTTTACCATGACTGTAAACTGCCAACTAGGTCGAGGTAACGTGATCAAGACCAAAGAAATAAAAAAACATGCATTTCATCTTAAAAAACTGTAGTCATCTATAACCACGTTTTTATGTATTAAGTATGTGTTTATATTAATATGAGCTTTAAATATAAGACAATAAAGATAGTAATTCAAAGGCAACAGTATTTTCTGTCATACTAATAATAGTCAATACCAATGGTGTTTATTTTGTACAGTACTTACTTATATAATTAAAGATATAAATAAGAAACACATTGTATATAAAAAAGGAACATAAAATATTAATACAATTAACCTAGTTGACAAAAAAAGAGAATTAGGAAATAAATTAGTCTAGTACATAATATTTCAAGTTATCATGTTAGTTTCTATACTTCTCCGAAAGAGCTTAACAGATTTTGATGAAATTTTGTATGTTTACTCGGTAGGTTTGAGAATTGGTTGTCGTCTATTTTTAGGGGTACTAAGAGATAAGAGTAGCATATCTTACAAAAACATTTTGATTGGTAATTTATATTTTTTTTTTATGATATGGTATTAAAATACATACAACCCTAAAATTTCACCCTTCTACTCACAACTCCTATTAATAGTGCAAAACAACGTTTGGCGGGTCAGCTAGTTTTAATATAGATATTTCCCGTGATTTTTCAGAAAGGATACCCCTGTCCAGATACACAAGAGCTCAGTCCAGCTCGGTGGGGCGGGCGGACGGTGGCCGAGTGCAAGTGTCCTCCGGGTACTGCCCAACTGCCACACACCACCACCTGCCACAAGTTGTTCGAGCGAGGACCGTGCCAACCAGGAGAGTACTTCGCGCCTGTAGAGGAATCATTTAACAAGCGAGGGTAGGTAAGCATCATAATGTATATTAAATATTACAAATTTTAGGAAAAGTGGTTTGACATAGAGTACTAGGCTCTAATGGCAACGCATGAGTGGTATCACGGCTGTTATATGATAACGTGATGTTCATAGTGTTGTATATGTGTTTAGGTGCCAGTTACTTACCACAAGGTGGGCCGTCAGCTTACTTGCCATTCAAATGACACAAAAACGAAAGAAAGAGGATTTTGTTACGTGGAACGTAATGTCCAGCCCGCGACTACACGTATATCTTTTTATTTATAAGCCGACTGGAATAAAATATACTCAACATTTTAAGTGAATCCCAGTGAAAACCCAACCTAAATCAGTTAAGCCATTTCTGAGATCAGCGCGTAGAAAAAAAAACTGACAAACAGACAAAAAATTCTGTTTTGGGGTTAATTTTAATAAAATTACTCAAATAATAATTTAAAAATAATTTATTCTTGTAAGACATTTAAGTCATTTATGCAAATCGAGTTTTAAGTATTAATAATTTTTGCCTACAGACACTTTATTATATGTATAGACTAGCTGTACTTGCGGGTTCGTCCACGTGGAATTAATGTATATTTTTTAAATATAATAATAAATTTTCTAATATAGAAGTAGCTTAAGGTACTCTTATAACATTAGCTATATGCGTTTGAAAGTCCAAAAGGTGCAGAAGTTTCAGATTAGCAAAATCAAACAGACAGACAAAGATGAATTTAATATGAATTTTTTGATGTAAGTGTTGTATATACTTTCATATGCATTTAGTGAACACTTGTTACTTTTTCTTTAATTACAAATAATCACTTCAATGTTATTTATTTGTATAGATAAGGAGTTTTCATTGATTCAATAAAACTATTATCCTTATATATTAAGCATCCTTCTGGTAAAACCCAAGTTCACCTATACAATTACAATTGGTAATATTTCGAAATGGTCCAATTGGTCATTCCGTGTTGCAGCGAACGGCAAGGCATGTGCGTGCGTCCTCAACAATGCGCGGACGAGACCTTGCTCTACTGGCCTGCGGATGGCCGGTGCTACTACCGCCTGAGTCAGGGCCCCTGCTACACCGGATCTATATTGGATCTGGGTGACGATGGGCTGGCTAATTGTACAGTAGGTTTCCTTTTTTTATACCCCAATAAGTAAGTAAGCATATAGGCACTGTAGACTATGGATGATTGAAAAAACCATAGACATCACGGGCATCTTGTTGACATTAAAAGAGCGATACGCAAGTTTCTTAATCGTTCTTCTTGTGATGAGACAGCTTTCCGAAAGAGCGGTAGATTTGAAAAATAAAGAAAGACTATTATTCGAAAGTACTTAAATGTAAGTTCATTTGAAAGATTTCACAATTTTATTCTATTCTACTCTTATAAGGGTAAATTGGGAGAAGGGTAAACCAATGGGTTTAATGGCTAGCCAAGTATAGTACATTAGGTCGACTTCCACGCGGCACTGAAAGTCATCGTAGGTTAATTCCTGGTGAATTCCCCAGGATAGGATAACTGATTTGACTTCATGCTCATTTTATCACCATCCACAATACAAACAAAAAACACCGTTAGTAATATGGAAATCCCATGTCATTTCATCCGAAATTGTAAGTGTTAGTTTGCGTATAAACTAATTCATCTTATATTGTGTACTCACATCTAGTAGCAACATTATATCTACACATGTACTATCTTCCGTTTTTCTGCAGTCTGGGAATAGTTAGGCTACTAGGTATTAGGATTATACATTTTGTCATTTATAATTAAGAATTTGAGTTCATTTTTAAATGCATTTACTTTGGCAATCATGAAAAGTATTTTAAAAGTCAGCAGGAGAAGGTTATCGAAAACGATTTTATGAGATAAAGGATATTATAATCATATCTCAGATAATTTACACCGTCAAATAATATATACATTTTTTGTAAGTAAATACATATATATAGATATAGAAAACACCCAGACCGATATAAACAATCATACCCATGAATACAAATGTTTCTACCGTGCGAGAAATGGAAGCAACGATCATGCGAGTGCTAAATCCACCAGACTACCTAACTTGGTCCAGATATTCTTGGTTAAGCTTAATTAAAAAAAAATATTAGAGCCATTACAAACCTTGCTTATTTTATATCGATTATAATATGTTCTAGGTTCTCAATGTTTTTATTCTTTATTGCAGTGTGCCTCGGACGGTCCTCACTATTGGGATGCTGACGGAGGGTGCTACGCTCATTATTCCAGAGGTCCTTGTGAGAAGGGGCAGCTGTTCTTGCCAGGTGCGAAGTGTGGCTGCGAGAGCCATCTACCTCATTATCATAATGGTACTGGTGCCTGTTACGAATTAGGTAAGTTTGGAAGACATTTTCATAATATGTTTATTACTAAATATTACTACAGAATAATCAGGTTGTGAAACGCCAATTTCTTAGTGAAGTTTTTTTAGAGATATTTGCGTGAAGTTTTCTAAAAAAGACCTAATCAGGTCTTTTATTTACTTGATACCCAGTATTAGATGATATTCAGATTAGGAAGCCTTATTTGCAGAATGTCTAAGAATCAAACGGCCAAAAATCAATACATATTCTAAATATCTGAATATCTATTAAGAATATTTTGACGGCCTCAGTGGTCTAGCATCACTTAAGTTTCGATGGTCAGGGGTTTGATTACTTGGCAATTTTTGTTTTCATGATTGTAACTGTTTGTATTGGTATGCGTGTATTCTATATATTTATCTCAGTTTTCTAGTACACATAACACAAGTTTTATTTAGCTTGGGACAGTCCTGGCTCTATGTGAATCGTCCTGAAATATTATATTATTATTAATACAGGAAAATTATCTAAATTATAATACCATCAATATTACGTTAAAATAGAAATCATAAATTGCCATAAAGCAAATCTTCCTTTACACATAACAGAATGAATAAACATTTTGATGAGACTTACTGTATTGAGATTAAATACTAAAAATATTCTTTATTTTCTGTACTTCTTTTAAATGTATATTTATTCAATATTTCAGATTCGATAGGCCCTTGTCCCAAAGGACACGTGTTTTCCATTTCGCAAATAAGTCCTTACGGATCTAAAGCCGAGTGTAAGTGTAAAGCCTTCCACACGCGAGCTGTAGACGGTGCTTGCTACAGACTGTACACGAGGGGACCATGTGCTCATGATGAAATGATCGCGAGAGGGGGGAGATGTATAAAGGTAAGATTTGGGAACTAAAGAGAAATCTCTGATATACTGATAATCACACTCTTGGCAGAATTATCGAGTTTTTCTTAGAGCTCCAATTGAAGGGGCCAGCAGTACCATGTTATCAGCATAGTTTATATCTGGATTGAGCAACACGCTTGTTCGATTTATTGTGAATTTATTTTTTACTTTCTCCCATCAGTATATTGTTATAAAATTATTTTTTCTGACTTAAGTTACTACCTTGTGGGCGACTTGTTCTCACATGCAAAAGAAACGGGCCGCGCGAGTTTTTATTTTACACTACCAGTACTCGCGTTTTCATCCGCGTGAAATTTATAGCCTATATGTAATTCTGATGTATAAGGTATATCATTGTAAAGTTTTATTAAAATCCATTCAGTAGTTTTTGCGTGAAAGAGTAAAAAACATCCATCCATACAAACAAACTTTCGTATTTATAATATTAGTAAGATGTAAGTTATTAATAAGTGTTACTTTATGTGCGGAAAGACAAAAAAACTTAAATTAAAAATGGCCCGTTGATGAATAAGATTGCTCACCCCAGACTACTTAATGGACTTATATTAGTAGACTATACTAATGACTGAACTAGACTTATATTAATGACTGAGCTCCTATTAAGCTATTGATATATAATCTAAAAAGCTGCCTCCTGTACTCTGCATTTTAAAAAGATAAAAGATTTATCATTATTATTGAAATAATTCCAGTTGCCGTGTGCCCGCGGACGTTTGTACGTCCCAGAGCGTCGGCGTTGCTATAGACCCGGTGCTCCCGAGCCGTGTCCAGTCGGTGAAGTGGTGGCATTCGACTTCGAAGCCAGACCAGCGCTTGATGGGTTAAGCCATAATGGAGTTTGTGCATGCGGAAGTGGTGTTTGTACTAGACGAGAGGTTAGTGTATAAATTCCTGTTTTTGATAAGTCATTATTTTTTTATTTTTTATGTATACTGTAGCGTCTGGACTTCGGTACTAGTATATAAGGCAAGAATAACCACTAATCGTTTATGCCTTTGTTACTGTGGTATAACGAAATCCTAAGATTATACCCGTAGGACACATAGGTCCTATGGGTATAATCTTAGGATTTCGTTTAACTTTGTAATATGACAGCTTTAGTGTTTTAACGGTTTAGCACACCGCTTTACTTCCGATGGTCGTAAGTTGATTTAATATTAAAGAATATTTATCCTTTGTCGCTTTACACAAATCAGGTGATGTAGCATCGGAGTTTACTTTTCTTATAACGAAATACGCTGTCTGTATACAATCTATTACCCGCGACTTCGTCTGCAGCAACTTTCCTACTCGTTATAGCAATCTACTTCCATAATTAAATTTCTTTAAGATCATTTTAGCAGTTTAGTCGTGAAATGGTAATAAACAGACAGACGGAAATACTCACATAATAATTTATTTTAAGATTAGTTGCTCACCAAACTTACTATTTAGAATAATAATTATTTATTTATTAGAAGAATAAGAAAATAGCGTGTATTAGTATAGGTTGTTACCTTTTGACTGCAGGTCGAAGCCTGTTCCTCCAGACGAGGGTCTGCATCATACGGCGGGGCCTGTCACACACTCCATACCCAAGGTCCATGTCCAGAATATTCCTGGCTGGTAAAAGATTCATACGGTTCAACCAAATGTCAGTGTAGACCTGGCAGGCTGCCTCCCGATTGCAGAGAAGACACAAGATTGAAATTGAAGAGCTGACACCATTGAAGATGTCGTTTGTAATGATCTCGTATATAGAGCATATTCACTTGAAAATGTCATTAAGTATTGTGGCTGTTTAGAGATAGGACCTACTTTAAGTGTTCACACATTATTAGAATCGAATGACTCGGGCGACGAGTTTTATGTAATAAAAAAAGGAAGAAAATAAATACGATTCGATGCACATAATAATTAAAAACAAAACATAAGATTATATAATTGGATTAGCGTGTGTGTAGTAAGGAAAAGTCTCCGCTCAGTATATGCCGTGACGAGGTGCCACGACGCTAGTATTCTGCGGATACCCTCATACTATACATAGACACATAAATGTATATATAAATATTCTCATATACAAAATTCTCGTGTCACAATGTTAGTTAGCATACTTCTCCGAAACGGCTTGACCGATTTTTATGAAATTTTATACCCATATTCAAAGGTCTGAAAATCGGCTACTAGCTATTTTTCATACCCCTAAGTGATAACGGGCGTCCACTCCTAACATTTTTTGATTTTCATTTGGCATTAAAAATACATACAACTCTAAATTTTCACCCTCCTATCATCAACCCCTATTTTTTAATAGCGATATTAGTACTTAAATTTATATAGCAAACAACATTTAGCACATAGCTGACAGCTCACATTTTGGTAAGTTAAAACCGTCGCTTATATACATGAACAGCACTACGGAGATCACGTCATTATATGACGCTCTTAAAACCAGTCATGTGTTCCCGTTCCGGAGAAATAAAATATCAAGCGTCCATACCCGTAATATCTCGATTGTTTTGAAGTTTTTCGGGGGTTCACTAAAGCGCTAATCGAAAGTACGAATCGTCCGACGGATCCTAGTAATGTGTGAGAGGCCTTAGTCATTAGAAAGGTACTCCGACATAGCAAGTAACAGTCGTCTTCTCACCAGTCTACCACTGTTATAATTAATAAAATATACGAACCTGGTAAATGGTGTAATATTTTCCATCGTTTGGCCTGTACAGCATCAGCCAGTTCCATGGCATGATATTGTTAGCAATGGGATAATTTTCTATATTAATATAAACAAAAATTCCAAAACTGATTAGTGCTTGCTGTATCGGAGTGGTGGTGGTAACGGTTTGTCTTTGATAGCATCAATCAAGACTGATTAATAATGGCTGTTCTTGCTTATCTAACGTTTATATAATAATAATCATAATAATCATTATTTATTTCCAATAATAAACAATTACAATTGCTGGTAACAATAAAATTAAATCGAGATAAAACGGTCTATAACTTACAGGCATTGAGTCCACCCTCTCTGCTATTCTGTTATAGCCTATGTTAGGTTTGTTATCTAACATGAGATAATCAGGAGTAGTCTGTCGATTACTGTTATAGATATACTCGACAAAGACTGCTAACAATTCCATTTGATATCACTCCCATTTCATATAATATTATCTATTATAAAAAATATTCTTTCTGAGTCTTTTCGAATTCGATATAAAATTTCGGAAAAACTTCGAAAATATTTCTTTATGTTGTTTCTTTATGTCATGAGTGTTTATTTTCATGGGTGTTAATAGAATGGTGAACCCACCTGCGCTAACGGTATACTCTGGCGGGACACCAGTGGAGGATGATATGGATAGGATGAGCATGATTAGTTAGGTACCAGACCTCAGCCCATCATGACAAATTTACCAGGAATTAACCACGATTGTTTGTAGAGAGGAACGCGTGGAGGTTGACCTAACATTAAGCAACACTTCTAGCAATCGGGCCTCTATTCCCCGTTACTAACAATCCCCTCCCCTACTTACGACTTAGAGTGTAAGAATGTGTATACAATAACGTATAAGAACAGCCATTATAGAAGAATATTTAGGAATTAACTTTTATGTGCTATTAAATTCAATGTTAATATAATATTTTGTATTAATAAGTTACATCAGTATTGAGCAATGGGCAAAACATAAAAAAGAAGGATACCCACATCAGAACTTTAACGAAAGAAGCTCACAAGGCTTGATAAAGTGATTGATGTAAGCATTGCAGAACGTAATTAGTTTTAAGTAAACAAATCATCCGATCATAATTCATACGGTCTCGGTTATCTAGCGGTTTATCATATCTAGCTTCCTATATATATATAGATATAGATAGGGAGTTCGATTCTTCGCATAATACAAACATTTATATTCACCAGACTTATTATTTGTATTGGTCTGTGTTTTTTCTAAGTATTTACAAAAAACTGTATTTAAATATTTCTATCAGTTGTTTAGTACTTATTTCAAGCTCTGCGTAGCATGGGACTAAATGACCGTGTGATTTATAAAGGTTTATTACTGTTATACTCCCAATTAGTACGAAGTTTTTCTTTCAAACGTTCAGCATATATACTGAGCCTTCATATAGTCGGAGTAATTTTTTCTACCTTACCGGTAATTATTTTTATATTACTTATTGTTGTGATTATCAAGGTCTATTATTAGATATTCGCAATTATAAAGTAGTTTGTTACAAAGAAGTTTTGCTTACAAACGGTTAGCATATGTACTGAACCTTCATATACTCAGAATTTTTTCCACCTTATAAGTAAATATTTCTCTATTACTTAATGTTGTGAATTGCTAATCAAGGTTTATCAAAACTCACATTTTCATATACTTAGAGTAATTTTCTCTACCTTAACGTTAATTATCATTCTATTACTTAATATTTCTGCTGCAATTTGCTGCTAGTCCCTAGAAATATGAATCTTGAATGTTTATCCTTCTGAAGGGCCGTGTGTCTTATATCCTCTTATATAAGAAAATAAGTGTACGATCACATATTTTTTGCCCATGTTACTTGTTGCTTCGCTTGCTGTTGACGTGGAATCCTTCTTTTTTTTAGTCCGTGGAGCTTACTTCTTATTGAGAAGTAGCTACATTTTGGTATTGGCTATGAAATAGTGGTTAATATTTTTTGGCGGGTAAAAAATTTAGGTAAACATTAGAAATAGGGGTGCATATTTTTGATATGTTACTCTTTTTGTTGTGACAATTCTTTGTCCAATGTTATGTTTTCCTATGAATGTTTACCTGTTTCTTTCTACATTTGATAGTATGTTGTAACCTGATAAAAAAAAGAAGAAAAGATTGCTAATTCTGCATTTACATATACATATGTGTTTTATATATGGTTAGTCATAAAGAATATGTAAAGACTATAATATCCCTAAAACTCAATCATTTTTCTCAAGAATTAAAGTGGAAATACATTTTTTTTTATACCACAAAGGTGATAATAAAGCATACGACCCATATAACGGTAAATAGTTACCGCCGGCGTCGACGCGGTAAAATTATATATATATATATATATATAATATAATAATACATAATAATATAATATATAATACATATTACATAAAATATATTTTCAAATTTGCACTTTGTTTATTCAGGAAACGAAATACTCGTTTCCTGAATAAACAAAGTGGAAATAAACTAACTGGCTTTTGCATTTTATGGCTAAACCTATATAAATAATATATATTTTTATAACTATTAAAGTAAATAATAGGAAGTGGTTTTTGCTACGTCTACGAGAAAAATAATGCGGTTCCCAATTACTGAGCAATTTGACTTTTACATGTTACGTTTCATTAATAAATTACATAATTAAAATACACTAATATATAATTATACATATATACATCTCCAGATAATTCTCTTATTACTTTTAAATTTGTATATTAATCTCGATTTTATATTAAATAATATATATACCTAATATTTCCATACTTAACAAATCGTCAACTATTATTTTCATAAATATAATAAAATAATTTATGAAAACAGATGATATTGCAATTTAATACTGGATTTCCCGGAAAAGGTCTATTTGTTATATTAGGTTTATCGGAAAATGTTGTGAAAAAATACAATTAAATCCTAAATTAGGAAAAAACGAAATTACTTTCCGAACAACCTAATATTTTTTTTGAAAAAAGTATTTATAAAAGATAGAACCTTTCCTGGAAAATCAGTATTGAATTGCATGCCGTCGTCGCTTTGTCCAGTTGATCAATGGTTATAATTATTATTAATTTTCGAGTAGGCGTAGTAAATATTGCTAATTACTTTTATACATACTTTATTACGTATAAAATATACTTTATTAATTACTTTTATATATTAAGATAATTGTTAAGGCTGATTAAAAATTACGTAAAAAGATATTATGATTACAATAATAAAAAAAGATATATTAATTGAGCGGAGAGTGAAGTGCGTAGTGATCTTAGAGATCAAATTTGCACTCTTTGTAACGCTACTCCTCTGTAACGGCTTGACCGATTGAGACCAAAATTTCATCGAAAGCCCAACTTCGTACCTCCATCGTTTACCTCTTAAAAAATCCGTTCGGTCAAGGAAGACTTTTTAAGAATAAACGCGCTCCGCTCAAGATGTGACCTTGTGTGAAAACAACACACCGGTACCAAACCTATGTAGTAAAAATAAGGTGGAAATTGTGTTTCTTTTTAAATAAAACTGCTAATAAGAATTTGTATTATTATTATATATCAAATGGTATTCAACTTACACTGTGGTTAAGTTTAGTTTTAGCATAATTTTAATAATTCAAGTTCAATAAGATCCTATTCAGGTCGAAGTATATGCGAAAATGTAAACGAAGTCAATAAATATAGTACTAAACCCTGCTTTATTTCATTCAAATAACTTAATCTATTCTACATTATAGTAATCATCAGGTATAAAAATAGTCAAAATCATCTACATGCTAATTACGTGAATACGTGATGTCTGGCTTAATGTTATAAATATGTACACATTAGTCTAAAACTTAATCTAGTCATTGACATTCCACTTCTATTTGTCCTTTAATTTATTCTGCGATTTTCCTGAAAAATTAAAAAATAATTATTAATCGTATTAATCTTTTTAACTTGTATTTTAAATGTTTATATGTCTAGTAGGGATCTGAGAACTATAATCTTATAGATGATAATAGAATGGTGCACCCTCCTGCGCTAACGGTATACGCTGGCGGGGCGCAATTAGAGGATGATAAGATGCTCATCATAAGGCCAGGTCAGTTAGCCCATCGAGGTATATTCACCATGAATTTATCACGATGGTTTCCAGAGAAAAATGGATCAATCTGATATGGTACATACTGATAATTGTAATCTTTTAATGCAAGTGTGTAAGGCATATAATAATAATAATCTTTATCGGAACACAAAAATAAGATTGTACAAAGTAAGATAATGTAATGATGACAGTCACATTGGTAATAATACTGAATCTATTTGTCACTGTTAAATTACATACTTTAAAAACGAAACACTGTCATAGAAGCTATATGCAATACGAGGACTCTGACTAAAATTTGGATTAGATTTGAAGATTAGACACTTAAAACAATAAATACTAATAGACAAAATAGTAAATTTTTAAAATAAAATGTTTAATTTTATCTCAAAAATTTACTATTTTGTTTAATTTGCTTTGCATAATATGGGTTTACGTACGTTGGTCTTAGGAATAAATACATAGTTCCATATTCAGGTACAAACAATACAATACAAACCTCATAATTACCTAGATAAACACGTACTTACCAAAATATATCCTGTAGACTTGATTGAATGGCATCTCAATAGCTACAGTCGTCAATATTGATATCACTAAGATGCTTAACATCTCTGGGGCGTGAACCTAAAATACAATGATACGAATTTAGTTTTAATTCGTCCCAAAACTACGGTTATGTACTACAAATTGCGACGTTAGCAGCGGTAACTAAATTATTTAACTGAACTGGACAGTAGTTGAGAACTGAACTGTTCGGATTACGGTTACTGATAATTTTATTTTACCAAACATACGATAGCATATACACGTGGTCACTACATTCTCCCTAATAATAATAAATAATGAATTTAAAATGGAATGAAATGAATCTTTAAATGAAATGAATCTATATTATTGCAATTGTAAAGCTCATTTGAAAAGAATAAGAGCTGAATTACTTGTTAGTTCTTCTTAGCTCGAAATCATTCTGAACTGACGGTAGATTTGACATATCATGAGAGACTGTACTAGACCTATATGTATAAGGATATTTTGATTTGATTCTTTCCTTTGAGGCTTGAAATGTGAAGCTTACCAGAAGTATCGGTGAATAATATTCAGCATGTCTCTGTACTCCGACATTGTAGAAGAAAATGGGGAACTGGGTCAAGTATACACCGTATGAAATCTTGTTGAAGAACTTGAACACAGGTAATTCAATAATTGCTGTACCAAGACCTGGAAATGTAGCGTAAGTTATTGTTATACATACTAAATTGTATCTGGACATTTTTTTTAAAAACGTACATAATACACATAGAAGGTAGGAAAGGGATTATTAGTAATGTGGACTAATAAGTCTATTGCTAGTAATGTACAATGTTAGATTGACCTTCACGTGGTTCCCCCTAGAAACCATGATACTAAGGTCTTGGTGAATTTGTCACGATGGACTAACAGTCCTAACTTCACGCTTAACATATCATCGTCCACTGGTGCTCCGCCAGCATAAACCATTAGCACAAGCGGATGCACCTTTGCATTATCATATAATATAAAAAAATCACTTTTTATTCCAATTTATATTAATTACATTTACTTTCAACAAATTTAGTAGTAGTAGTATTTATAGTAAACTATAATTTCTAATTGGATTGTGTAATAGAAAAAATAGAATAAGATACCTACCAGCATAATTATTACAAATGGCCCAATGCGCCATACACATGAACAGTCCCCAGAGGATCGGTGAGTAGGTGGCGAATGATGCGGCCTGCTCTGGTTCGTACTGGTAGCCCTCCAGCCCCATCTCGTAGGGGCTGACAATTGTAAACGCGGCTAGGGCGAAGCACGCCGCCCACAATAACCTCACTTGAGTCTGCAATTACCAACATACTATACTATTATAAATATAGTTAAGCGGATCACAGGATAGAACTGCATGCGTCTCCTTTCTACTGATAGTCACCGATACTCACGAATAGTACAGTCATAAAAATAAATAAATAATTCAATTTTAAGTGGCAAGATGGTTTAAAGTTATCATCTGCGTTAATTAGTATACGGAGTACTGAGTGTCGCGATTATTTCGGACAATCTAATGGCGGTAGTTCGAATAAACTGCCGGCACCGGCAGTGAGTGTACTAAACGCGAAAGTTTAATAATTATTATTCTATACTATATTATTTTATAAAACATTTTTTTTTCATTGGTTAATCATGGTAACGAAGTTAGTATTAAATCATTTGATATAATTTTGTAGAAATAGGTCAAAATCGGTATGTGAGACAGAGACATGTCTCATCAATTTCTGTCGCCAACTTATTTTGTAAGCTGTGTTACAATTGAAAGGCATGCCTTTAAACTGAAATGCTGCATGATGTCATGACATCTAGCAAGTGATATTAATTGAAAAACACTAAATCGCGAACGTATTACGAAATTCTTAAGCGAACATATAATTTAGCATGTAATTTAGATAAACTTACGTTACTCAAAACAAAATTGAGCTTCTTAGTGCGCATAAAGTACGCCATAGCTACACCTATGAGGTATATCGTAGCGCGGTGTGTGGGCAGTATGTAGGAGTACCTTGCTGCGTCTAACAATTTCTGTACTCTGTAATAATAATTTCATTATAATTAGATTTTATATACTAAAACAAGGTAACCTTTACAGATATTTACCATATTTATATATAGTTAATTATTCATTGAAACACAAAATAATATTATACATATAAATATTCAATACCAGTACATACAGTTTATTTGAAAAAATAATGAAACAAAAAGTAAACAATCACTGTAAAACTCAAAAGCATGTACGTACATATATTATACAAAACAATTTATTTTTTTATACTAGTCAATTTGGAGACATACTTAAACAATTTTTTTGCAAATCCATTCGTTTTTTGTATTGGTCTATGTGTTTTATATTAATAAAACACCCAGCCTAATACAAACTATCATACTCATGAATATAATTATATGTGTCGTGCGAGAATAGAATCCGTCACTATTGAAATTAAAGCGGTGTGCTAAACCGATAGACCACGAAGCCGATAAGGTTACAAGTGAAGTAGCTACGAGTTGTCTATTTAAAGCAGTGGCACTCAATGAGGAAATAGCCATTATTATTGCTAAAAGTTGCATATAGATGGCGTGATTGGTATCGATGGAATTCTTCATAGTTTTGCAAACGTTTTAAAAAACAAAACTGTGTTTTCAAAATAGTTTAATCCATTTTTAAAAAAATATATATACATGTTAAAATGAAATAATGCGTTTAGAAAAGTAATTTTCATATATTTACTCATTTTGTTATTTTCCAGTACTTAATTACACTTTAATCAGTGCTAATACGGGGCTCAATGTTTTCAAAATGCTTTCATAGATGGCATTGTTGTCATTTGTATCGGCCTAATTAAATGTCTTTTTTATATTTTCCAATAATAAGCACTTAATATATTATTATTGTAAATTAAACATATAAAAAAAGTTTAAGTAAATTAAAAATAGCCGAACAAGCAAATAATACTATTTCCAATAATACTTATGTATGAAGTGTTGTCATATTAAAAATAAATACATGTATTATCGATTTTTTTTAATAATCGATAACAGGATTTTATTACAGCGCATTATTCGATGATGCTTTTAATGAGTCGTTGTGAACAGTAAATTTTCATTATTTTGTATTAAGTATAGCAGTATTCCGTTTCAAAGAACGGAATATAGTAGTACATTATTAGTGTCGTTGGTTATTTACATTTGTACTGAAAAATCGATTACATAATAATTTAAAATATCGAGTACGAATCGTAGCTGTCTTCGAATACTGGCAACTGGTAAGATTAAAATAGTTTTAAAAAAAGAGAGAAATCGACCCTAACTCGAATACCATAAAGTTTATTTTCCTTTCTCATTAATATCATAGCAGTTTGTTTTTAACTTGCGTATGACTCTGTGGTATGTTTAACGTGTATTGTTATTGTACGGTGCATACATTTCAAAAATTATATTTTAATGTAGGTACAAACATTTCTTTCATACATTTCATACATGTCAAAAATTATCTTTTAATGTAGGTACATACATTTATTTCATACATTTCATACATTTCAAAAATGAACTTTTTATGTAGGTACATACATTTCTTTCATACATCTCATACATTTCAAAAATTATATTTTAATGTACATACATTTCTTTCATACATCTCATACATTTCAAAAATTATATTTTAATGTAGGTACATACATTTCTTTCATACATTTCATACATGTCAAAAATTATCTTTTAATGTAGGTACATATCATCGAAGGGAGGGCATAGCTTGATGTATTTTGATACATCTTGCTCGACTTGGGGCGGCCCGAACTGGCGTAGTACCTCCACCAAGCAGAAAACCACAGCCAAATAGTGTTGTACTTGCGACAGCACTGTGTTCCTGTGGTGTGTAAGGTGACCAGAGCCCCGCGGGGACTGGTTGTGCTGGTGTTGAGGACCTGTGTGTTCAACAGTGCCGCGGGATTGCATAGGCGCGACGTGGTGGCACAGCGTTCAGGGAGACCCGGTGAAACGGCTAACCGCTGGCCGCCCGCAGGTTGTTGGGTTCCCGAACCCAGGGATTACTTAATCTCCGCCCTGGGAGGCTGAACCACCGCCTGCGCATAATCCCTGGTGTAGTAGTCGTGCCGGAGAAGGAGACCGGAGTGGACCCGGCTGCTACACCAGTGGGGGGACCGGGGGCCCTTCCGGCCGCTGTGCCACCAAATTGCCAAACCTGTGCAATACTGAGGTGCATTGACACATACTTTGTCCTTTCTAATACCGGCGCGATCATTCCCCTCCAACCTTAAAAAAACAATACCCAAATGGCCAGAAAAAAGAAAAGGAATCGCATTAAATCAGCGGCACCCCTATCCACTATTAATATGGATTTCTGTAACATCAGGGGACTACACGGAAACATCAATGCGGTCCACCATCATCTCGAGACCGCCAAGCCGACCCTTCTGTTCCTTACGGAGACACAGATATCCTGTCCGGCTGATACGTCGTACCTTACGTATCCCGGGTATACACTTGAGCACAAATTTGTGCGTCGAGCTGGGGTATGTTTGTATGTCCGGGAGGATATTTGTTGTCGCCGCCTTCTTGGCCTAGAAAAAAAAGACCTGTCAGTACTATGGGTACGCGTAGATCAGGGTGAGTACACCGGTATCTACGCGTGCCTATACAGGTCTCATAGCGGTGACGAGGACACGACTCGTCTGTTTGAGCACCTTCAAATCACGTCTGATAAAGTTCTCGAGCAATATCCCTCCGCGAATTTAGTGATACTTGGAGACTTTAATGCCCATCACACCGAGTGGCTCCGTTCTCGAATCACTGACCATGCGGGGAGAACTGCTCACGAATTTGCCCTGGCCTATGGATTCTCACAACTGGTTCATTCTCCAACGAGAATACCAGATATCGAGACCCATACGAGCTCCTTACTGGACCTTCTGCTGACTACAGGTCCGGACGAATATGCAGTCACCGTGGAAGCGCCTCTTGGTTCTTCGGATCACTGTCTTATTCGATCCCAAGTACAGTGCACACAACCTGCCACACACCGAACACCTGGTCGACGTCGCATGTGGCATTATAAGTCAGCAGATTGGGACAGATTGCGAGAATTTTACGCGTCGTACCCATGGAAGCAGCACTGCTTTGCATCAGAAGACGTCGATACCTGTACAGCCGCCGTTACTGAAGTCATACTTGCGGGTATGGAATGTTTCATTCCAAATCTGCTTGTTGCTTCAGGGGCGAAAAAGCGACCGTGGTTTAATAGGTCATGCAGAGAAGCCAGACAGGCTAAAGAAACTGCTTATCAGGCTTGGACCACGGCTCGTTCCAACAGGGATGTTGGCGTATCTGATGCGAGGCGGAATTTAAATGCTGCGTCCAGGTTTAGTAAAAGAGTAATTGCTAGAGCCAAATTCGACTTCGTCAGCAAAATTGGGGAGCGATTAGCCCGTCATCCTTCTGGAAGTCGAGCCTTTTGGTCCCTTGCTAAGGCTGCCGAAGGTAATTTTAGTCAGTCGTCCTTACCACCACTACGGAAGCCGGATGATAACTTGGCACATAGTGCAAAAGAGAAGGCCGATTTGTTGTGCGCTCTTTTTGCCTCAAATTCGACTTTAGACGCTGGGAACACCATACCTACTACCATCCCTTGGTGTGGTAACTCTATGCCGGAAATATCCGTAACACAACGGAGTGTCCGGCGAGAGTTGCTGTCTCTCGACGTCAACAAGTCGAACGGGCCAGACGGTATACCGGCTGTGGTGCTAAAGAAGTGTGCTCCTGAGTTGTGTCCCGTACTCACGCGCCTCTTCGCGCTTTCATACTCCTCTGGGCAATTTCCGTCGTCATGGAAGACCACCCTTGTGCACCCTGTGCCAAAAAAGGGCGACAGGTCAAACCCATCAAACTACAGGCCTATCGCTATCGCATCTTTGCTCTCCAAGGTGATGGAGCGTGTAATTAATACACAGCTCCTCAGATACCTAGAAGATTACGATTTATTGAGCGATCGTCAATATGGCTTTCGCCATAATCGCTCAACTGGTGATCTTTTAGTGTATCTCACACACCGCTGGGCTCTTGCCATCGAGAGCAAAGGTGAGGCGTTGGCAGTCAGCCTTGATATGGCGAAGGCATTCGATCGGGTTTGGCATCAAGGTCTCCTATCGAAATTGCCCTCATACGGAATACCAGAGGGATTATGCAAATGGGTCGCTAGTTTTTTGTCTGGCAGATGCATCAAAACCGTGGTTGACGGTAGTTGCTCCAATAGCATGGACATTAACGCTGGCGTCCCGCAAGGCTCTGTTCTCTCCCCGACACTGTTTTTGCTGCATATTAATGATTTGTTAACTACGGTTGACATTCATTGCTATGCGGATGACAGTACTGGGGACGCGTCTTACACGGGCCGTGCGAACATCCCTCTTTCCGTTGTGGAGTCAAAGCGCGAACAGCTTGTGTCTGAAATCGAGAGTACTCTCACCAGAGTCTCCGATTGGGGGCGATTGAACTTAGTTCAATTCAACCCTACCAAGACACAAGCCTGCGCGTTCACCGCTAAGAAAACCCCTTTTGCTGTGGCTCCGCAATTCCAGAACACGTCCATTACCATCTCTAAGAGCATTGGGATTCTCGGTGTCGACATCTCTAGCACAGTTGAGTTCCGTAGTCATCTCGAAGAAAAGGTCAAGCTGGCGTCCAAAAAGCTCGGTGTGCTGAATAGAGCGAGGCGGTACTTCACTGCGAACCAGAGACTTCTATTGTATAAGTCGCAAGTTCGGCCGCACATGGAGTACTGCTCTCATCTTTGGGCAGGAGCACCTGGATACCAGCTCGGTCCTTTTGACTCGGTTCAGAGACGTGCTATGAGAATTGTCGATGATCCCAATCTCTCTAACGGTATCGAACCACTTAGCTTGAGGCGAGACTTCGCATCGCTTTGTGTGTTCTACCGAATATACAATGGACTGTGTTCTGATGAATTGTTTGACATGATGCCTACGGCTACCTTTTACCATCGCACCGCTCGCCATCGACAGGGAATTCATCCCCACACGCTGGAACCTAAGTGGTCTCGTACAGTGCGGTTTCAGAGGAGCTTCCTCCCGCGTACACTTAGATTGTGGAATGAACTACCTGCCGAGGTTTTCTCGAGAGAATACAGCATGGGGGTTTTCAAGAAGGGTATATTAAGGTTTCTTAAGGGTCGGCAACGCGTATGTGACACCCCTGGTGTTTCAGGCGTCCATAGGCTACGGTAGCCATTTACCATCAGATGGGCCGTATGCTTGTTTGCCACCTAAGTGGTATAAAAAAAAAAAAAAAATACATTTCTTTCATACATTTCATACATGTCAAAAATTATCTTTTAATGTAGGTACATACATTTCTTTCATACATTTCATACATTTCAAAAATGAACTTTTTATGTAGGTACATACATTGTTTTCATACATCTCATACATTTCAAAAATTATATTTTAATGTAGGTACATACATTTCTTTCATACATTTCATACATGTCAAAAATTATCTTTTAATGTAGGTCCTTACATTTCATACATTTCAAAAATTTCATACAATACATTTCTTTCATACATTTCAAAAATTATCTTTTAATGTAGGTGCATACATTTCACACATTTCAAAAATTTCATACAATACGTTTCTTTCATACATTTCAAAAAGTATTTTTTAATGTAGGTACATAACACCCCATGTCAGACCCCTTATATTTGGAAGAAACATAAAAATAATGCCAAAAATATTAGATGAATATATTTTTAATACGAATATTGTTTTATTTTTGTTCATCAACTTTATCCCTCACTAACAATACTAGTAGTAGTACATAACCTGGTTTATACCGCTAAAGATATTGAAAGATATACGAGTAATTCAGAATGTTATCAAGTTCAAAATAAGCACACATTACTTGCTTAGATAACAGAGTAATATTACTAGTAATAAAAACATTTGTAATACCCATATGCGGCGCCGTGAGACTCGTCTAAGTACTTCATCTACTCATCTACGCGCGGTAACCGCGCCGACCGACCAATAGGATAGCGCCTCTCGTGTTTCCAGAAAGTTCGCGACTAACGGACGATATAGTAGTAAGGCAATGAGTGTCCCAGTGATATCATTATAATATTTTCTCGTTAAATTTTATTGTAATATACACAATTTCGCACTAAATAACGTGTTACCCCGTTACACATTTCTAATAATGAAAAACCTAGACCGACCCTGTTCACTTAATCTTACAAGATCTGACTTTAAAAATTACGATATCCTCATATAGCCTTTCATTTCCCCTTTCAATACTTTTTCGCATTAAAAAGTAGCCTTTCTCAGGGTCTACATTATCTGTCTACCAAATTTCAATTAAATCAGTTCAGTAGTTTTGGCGTGAAAGCGAGACAAACAGACAGACTGAGTTACTTTAGCATTTATAATATTTGTAAGAATATCGCTATTAAAAATAGGGGTTGGTGAAAGACGGGTGAAAATTTAGGCGTGTATGTATTTTCAATGTAACATTATAAATAAATAAAAAATTGTCCATAATACAAAAAAATATTTTTTCGGGGTAGGCCACCCCTATGACTTAGGGGTATAAAAAATAGATAACAACCCTACCTCAGACCTGGGAAGTATACATATCAAATTTCATCAAAATGTGGGAGAAATATGGCAACTAACACTGTGATACAAAATTTATATATAAGATATAGCGGAATTCTCATTAGGTAAAAGAGGGGTACATCGTAGAATACATGAGGTATATACCAGTAAATTAATTGTAGCTAAAATCAGTCTCATACATATAACGATTGAAATAAAAAATCGTATAGCCCGATTTTGATACGTACGAGTATAAACGTATCAAAATCAGGCTATACGTATAGCGCAGACGCGTTACAACATATCAAAAAAAATAGGCATGGAATGTAAAATAAACCATAACACAATAGGTATATACATTGGCACATAAGCCATATCTGCAGAGTGTCGGCTAACGATATTATACCTACACATTTACATTGAATCTTGAATCGTCCCTAATGAGGTACACGATACAGTTACCTACATATCTTTGCAAAACAGATGTCATGTAGACTGAATTCACTGCCATCTATTTTCATGCTTTGTTACTAAGCACCCACTAGTAATCCGAACTGCTTCAGATCTAGCGACATCTAGCGGCTACGGTGGCGAAATAAAATAGCCCGAAGAATAGCCCGAGTTAGGAAGGAACCATTTTCTTGTATGGGATGGGGTATCTGTATGTAATATTATGTTATCTGTGATTTAAAGTTTATTGTGTGCAGCGTAAAATTAATTTTTGTCACGTAATGGGAATGAGCATTTATAATGATGGACGCGCATATGAAGGTATATTTTGATATTCTAAGTACAGCAACCGTTAGACCTTTATTACACATAGTATATATCAATACTATAAAGCACACATACACGTTGCTGGCAGCTTGTCCATCATTATTTATAGAAAAAATATATTATTAAGATAAAGGTACTTTTATAAAAAAACAGGAATAAGTAAAAGTATATATTAATCCCAAGAAGGCAACATATTAAAAAAGTATTTTTTACTTAATACACTTTTCATTATACCTGTGAGTGTACAATTAATAAAAAATATTAATTGTACACTCATAGGGCGAGACCAATAGATCTATGCAGGTCCCCAGTGTCACAGCTCTTAGCACCTGACAATAGTCCATCATCATCTGCTTCTTCCTTATCCCATTTATTTGGGGTCGGCGTAATATGTTTTTCTCTTCCATTCATCTCTGTTCGCAGTCATCCCGTTATTTACTCCCTTTATCACCATATCATCTTTCACAAAGTCCATCCATCTCTTTTTCGGTCTTCCTCTACCCTTATAACCATCCACATTCATATGTAACACCGTCCTTATGTTGATATGATCTTCATTCCTACGCATTACATACATGCCCATACCACGATAGACGATTACTCTTTAACCTCTCTGACAATAGTCCAAAACCCCTAATAAAAAAATATATACTCATCCAGTAAGAGATGGTATAAAGCAAAGTCGCTGTTTTTAGTATTTTTTACCGCTTATGATAGTATTTTTTACCGCTTACTTCTTCTAAACCACGCAACGAATTTTAATAAGATATATCTATTTAAAACCATTTTGAGAATTTCTTCTGAAAGATAAACAAGATTATTGCTAAACACCGGTGGTCAATTTTACATATCCGTTTTTTTAGTAATCATGTGACTGGTAAAAATGTCTAAAAGAATTAATTCTATTTAATCGAATTAGGTATTATTTTACAGAAGTCCATTTCACTACTTGATTACACAAGTTTAGAATTAACATTGTTTACCGTAAGTAAATTTTGCGGAGTTTACTTGTCTGTACAAAATTTTATTTCAGTGTATATAAGTGTAGAAGTGAATGTAGCGATGTTATAGGTATTTACATATATACATCTGTATCTATTTACCCCCGGGAATGCTTCAACCAATAATGTATTTCCAAAATTCTGCTCGCCAGGAAAATATATTGGTTCGCTACTAAATCATAAACGTTTAGGTAAGCCGCAACTTGCAGGTCGCCCCTCTAAATCGACCGTCCCGGGAATTTTCCCATTTCAATTTTAGGAAGATACACCTTACAATTCAGTTTTGCGTCTCAATTTAATGCGTCGTAATATCTTATTAATTAACATTTAACCGTTGTATCGCTATCAAATTATAACTTGATACAGAATTAAATTGAAAATTATGTGAAACGTCCATATTGTTATTTATTATCTGTGATATATAGTCCGCCTCCGCAAATGGTGGTGGTTCACCATTCGCAGTCCACCACTGGTACTACAGTGTATAACCAAACTGGCGGTCCACCAGGGGTGGTTGACGGGATTAAGATTAAGTCAGATCAGTAGGCCAGTAGGGATAAATTCAACAGGAAATTATCACAATGGTTCCCAGGGGACTGTCTGCAGTTAAAAGTTTTGTCAAAATCATTTATTCGCATAGCGAACCGTTTAGATCCGTTAGCTATTTATATATATATATATATATATAGATAGATAATCATTTTTATTTGTTTCTAAGTCTACAGATATAGGTTTAATTACGATTAGTAAGCAATACAGAATATTTAGACCAATACAATATAATATGGGTAAAGCTGCATGTGTGTGTGCCGCAGCAATAAAAAATGATGCAGTTCATATTCATAGCTCATAGCTATATACATATATACTGTTATAAATGTAACGCGGACATTATTTATACGCATAATTAAGAAAAATCATGGGATCTTACAATGTTTTGTTTATTTTTATTGAGTTGTTATAAAAATAATTAAAACGTTGTTTTATTTAGTTTTATAACAACTCCATTTCAGTTGCGAAGAATTGGTAAGACACTCGACTAAACTTCTTATTTTCTATTTTTTCATATCAGTTGAGTATCAGTATATCGTCATATCTATTCAAAAAAGAAACTAAACATTCGAAGGATACTCACGAAATGCCATAGTACACGAACATGCTGATTTGATACCAATGTACGGCAAGATATCTTAAGACTGTGGAGGCTACCGCGACGGCGAGGATCAATGACAGACCAAGGGTACGCGACCTGACCAGCACCAGCATTAGAGGTAAGGTCGCCACGTACAGCTGCATGTCCATACCCAGCTGATGGGTATGGGTGAGACACTGAAAAAGATACGCAAATTAATTTCCACACATACCTTATTTATGTGCCATCGAGTCTGAAATAAAACAATAGAAAAAAAAACAATTCGGTTTTTATACAATTTAAAAGTGAAAATACTGCTTATTTAAAGTAGCATAAAAATAAGTCCTTATTTTTCGTTACTTTAAAATCTTAAATTCTCTAATTAATCTTAATCTAATTGTACATCAACCGTTATAATACCTTTAAGAACAACAGACGTAGCAAAAGTAAAATACTACAATTAACTAAACATTTGGGATAACTAAATCGTAATTCGAAATGAAATGACCATATTTAAAAAAAATATGCCACAAGCCCATAAGTGACATCCCAACTCAAATATGTTTCTATTTGCGTAAAATGAATTTATTCGATTTGTTGATTAACAAAATAAGTGTATAAATTAATAAAGATTCAGTTAAGTTTACTCTAAAAAGTAGCTATTTTTAATTATTTTTTAACAGAATATTGGCAAATAAGCAAACGGTCTATCCAAAATCCATTTGATAGTAAAACGGTTGCCGTAGCCTTATGGCAGTTTTATATGTTTCTAAGGTTTAGAAATATACTTTTTAAATACTAACTTTTTGTCAGATACTTCGTCCGTATGACCATTATTGATTGGCGTAAAAAGTATTCCATATATTCCTCTATATTAAATGCTACGTATATAATCGTACCATATTTTAACAGGAGTGAAAGCATGAGGAATATAATTTAATTAAACCACAAAACTTTCTCTAAAAATTCTAATTATAAAAATAAGGACCTTTAAAAAAAGATTATCAATTATGACAAAATTCTATTAAAAAGGAACTACGTAAATTCTATTGATTAAGAAAACAAACCTTTGATATCAGTTGCAGTTCTTTGTTTTTGCTATATTTATTTTGTAGGCGTTTTACAATCTATGAGAATATTAAGATATTGTTCTTAAATACGATTAAAAATCCATAAGAACAGGTAATACTATTCACATTTTTATGAAAGATGAAATTACTTTATTCTATTTTAATATTATACATTATAAGCAATTAGTTAAATAATATAATTTATTTTTTTAGCATGTGAGCAATTTCATACTGAACAAACTTTCTTCACCATGCTACTTTTACAATTTACTCGTAAAACTATTATTTAATACTATAGTAGGTTTTATTTGTGTCCAGTCACCATAATATTATTTCGAAACAAATTAGCAGGTTCCCGTATTACACATTTAAGTTAAAATCATGTATACTAATAGTCGAATTAATTAACCATAATTAAAAAGCTAATTAGATATGTCAAACGGAATCACTAAGTGAGTCAAACTGTTTTGAATGAGGCTAATGACTTAATGTCATTAGTAATAAGCAGTTGCTTCCAAGGATTATGATTAATCGATTTCAGATAATAATGTGGCTCAGTTGGGATTTGGGACCGCGGTAAAATGCCTGGAATAAGTAGTATCATGTAAAATAGGGTGATCCTTATGGACTTATTAGAAGTGTCCATACTCTATTTACACTGAAATCTGGCATGAGGATAGATGAATAGATAGATCCCTATCTATCCACGTGGTAAGAGAATAATAATCCTTTTCTAGAATGAGTATAGTGTTTATTATTTAAGTTGTCTATGCAATAATTAGTCTATGGTGAGACATAACAATAAATGAAGACATTTTCAACAAGTTACTTTTAATTGAATCCAATTTAATTCAACCTTCTAACACATCATTATAACAAATCCTGTGTGTCATTGTAATTTTTTTGCTAAGATGTCATAAGAGGCGTGTAGGAGAACAACGCTCAACTACCTCGACGCAAATGCAAGAAAACATTTGCTTATTTGCGATTCTTATCTACTTGCATCTTAGTAATGGTGATTGAAGAAATATTATATGTAATAATAATATTATATGATTAAATAACGATTTTTTTTAGAATTATAGAATAGATATATAAGTGAATATACCCCCAAAAAACTTACATCATTCTGATCAATTTCTGAAGAAACAGGGTTTCTCAGGAGATTGATCAGATGGAAAATAAGGTATTCGTTTTTATTGTGTTAATGTTAAATGAAATAGGATATACTTTATCTATTGTAGGATTAAATCACTCGATATATTTTTTGAGTAGGGTGCGAATTTATTAAATTTTATTATAAAATGGCCACACTATCAGTACATTGCCGATTGTCTTATATCATATACACACAGGTACAATTCACGATAGGTATTTAGGTATTTGACACAAATCACAGTACCCTAGATGACAATGTGGGTGGCACAGTAACGTTATATAACTAGTGGGAACTAGAGTAACTTCAATAATAAGGCGCTATTGTTTAATAGACAGATAGTGAAAACTGTATTGCATACGACGATTAATAACTTGTTAGTCATGCTACATAGTTGCGAACATGTTGCTTGAAAATCTTAATTAATATTATTAAAGAAAATGTGCATCTATTTATTTTTCATCATATAGGTTTAATTAGTCTTTATAAAGACTATACTAATACTCAACGCAAATGCATTTGAGAGATCACAGAGTACACTGATAGCATTCTAAGACTCTCCCAAGAATCAAATATATGTCTCATGAGAGCTACACTAGCTTCAGTAGTTAATTTACCGGATGTGAAACTATATTGTCGATTGTTATGCAGTCTATTTACTTTAAAGTGCATTTGATATTCTTTACAAAATTTGGTAAACGTTATATTTGCGATACAGGCCAATATCACCAGGCAACAGGTGTTAACAGGATCTCACGACTCCACAATGATGCTCGGAGGTACACTGTGGGTTAGAATCCCACAGTCCACACCCCTTAGATATAAGACGATCTATTGAAGATTTTCTACACGATAAAAAATAAAAAGCGAGTTATCCCGGTTAACCATAGTCATAAGGATGAAGCCGGTAAAATTAGAAATGTATATTATTTTTATCGTGGTCATTCTATTTGCCATATCTCTGAGTTGGCATTGATGAATCTTTTTTTATCGAATAGGTAGTATATTATTAAAGGTGTATAAGTAAGGAGATATTCATGCTGATGACTGTGCAAAAAGCGTTCCTCTAGTAAAATATCTGGTCGGTACAATTGGATATACAAAGTATTATTATTAATCCTTCATTGAAATATAAATATTTTTTTTTAATATTTTACGCTGTAAAATTCATATAGTATCTGGAGCAGATCTGCAAGTATTGTTATATTATTTACTATAGAGATGGCAATAAAGCAGGATTACACCATGATGTTATAAATGAGAGTGGTCAGCACCACCTCAATAATTAGTAATTTATAGTATACTAGTTGTGCCTGTGGTTTCACTAGCGTTAATTTTCAATATATACATTTCAATAAAAATATAGAATATGTGTTATTCTGATGCATAAGCTATATTACTGTAAAGTTACATCAAAATCCGTTCAGTAATTTTTGCGTGAAAGAGTAACAAACTATCATACTCACAAATTTTCGCGTTTATAATATTATATATTAAGATTAAGACTGACAGTAACCTTACCATTTCTTCGAATCCAAAGTAATTGTGAATGAAGAGGAAACTTTTCCACATGGTCTTCTCGCAAACCCTACTATGTTCTTCCACCACCAGGTTCCATTGGGGTCCATTGTTGACATCAGGCAAAATGTACGTACAGAACAACATCAGACTAAGGAACAAGGGGAATAGCCTGAAACGAATCAATTATTAGAGGAATAAAGAATGAATAAATGAATAGCCATTGAAACTAATGATGTATAATCGATTGCCAAAAGAAATAGCTGATTGATACTTTTGAAATTTAGTAGAACTTAAAGTCATACATTGAAAATAATACATTTTATCACATTAATGAATACATGTCAAAATCAAATATAATTTTATCTTAATGTTAATATTAACTATTGACATATAATTTTCTAAATGACTAGCTAAATGTAATCTCTTGTACAGGGCAAATAAATAACTCTGAAATAGTAAAAAAGTTCTTTTATATCCGCCATATTGGATTTGGAGTGACGTCATTAGGCCATGCATTGTCTTTCAATTCAATGTAACTTAATTTTTATGAGGCAGACTTCATTAAAAGTTGTCCGTGTACCTCAGTATTATATTTCAGCCGCCAAGCAGCTAGCTTCGTAAGATATGTTTCGGTTGATAAGGCAGTGAAATTACAGGATTAGAGGCGTGACATCTTAATCCACTGGAATGGTAATGAGTAATGAATGAGTAGTGTCATGGACGTCACATGATAATATGTTGTCTTTTACCATTAGCTGGTGGTTACTAGTTATCGTTAAAAAGGTGAGTAATTTCTTTCAATTTATAAGATCGATAAAGATTACTGTTAGGTACGCGAATCTATGAAGTACTTTGAATTATATGTCTACAGTATGTAAACTAACTTCGATATATATATTACTAGGGTTGTATTGTTTACTAAAGTTAATAATGAAAGGAATATCTTGACACATTTAAAAATATTTATATCGAATACCGTATGTTTAATATTTCTACATCCGTAAATATTGGACACGTGTACTCAAAATTGTTAATTGAAATATAATGACTATCACATTAAATAACAATAAAGTTATATGATATGATACACCAATGATTACAAATTATGCTATGATATACATAAGCATTTTAATGACATTAAATGATATAAATATATTTCTTAATCCTGGACAAATAACATAGGTTCATATAGTCTTAAACTAAGTAGAGCTTGTATATGTATGATAGAAAACTTATAGGCATAATAAATTTACGTATAAAAACACCAAGACCAATACAAATATACTCATGATTACAATTGTTTGTATAGTGTGGGAAACACATGATCATCAAAGAAAAGCAGAGTGGAAAACGCTAAGCGACGTGCTAAACCTCCAAAGACGTTTCCTATAAAAGCAAATTCAATGAAATAAACTACCATATTACCTTATTGAACGTCATATATTTTCTAAAAGACGAAGAGTTCCTTTGTTGCGACCTTTCCTCATATAGTACGTAACTGAACAAAGTAGTAAATATTTTGGAACATTTTGAAATAAATGAGTAAACACAAAATACCAATAACTTACCGAAACCATCTACCAATTAGTCTGTTTTTCACATCTATCGTCCCTTTTCTCTCGAGATCTTGCAATAGATTGTGAGCGTTCAGAAATCCACTCAAGTAAAGAAAGCTGTCTGTATACAATATCGCAGAACGACCAATAACAGCCCACGGCATGCCGAACACCTAAAATGGAGAATTTATATAAAATAGACAAACTTTATTAAAACCGAAGCGCCACAGATGTAAATAACTCAATGATATTTCATGTTATAGTCTTCGTTGACTTTAATGAATGTGTTCATTATAAAAGTTTGGCGGCCTCATTCTACTCTATAATGTCAATATATTTTGCTCCACCGACAAAAGTAGATAATTGTTTCAAAGTTAACTTCCTACTATATATGTAACATGGTTTTATCAGAGGATGATATTAGGCTACTAATAATAAGTCTAGTTACACACGGCTTTGTGTAGACGCATTTGTTAATTTCCCACATGTGACATGGTGCTTAGTTTTGAGTTTTTAATTCCAAGTTTTCCTTTGCATTACATATAGGTTTAGCTATGCTTTATTCTTTTAGTTGATTTACGATATCCTGATAATAAAAAGGAGTGACATATGTACGTAGTTTACTTCGATTCACCACAGACTATTTTTATAGGCTACTATTTAAACTGTCCTATATTATATCAGTCTTTCTGTATGATTGAGAGTATCAACCGCATTTTAATAAAAGTTAACGTAACTTTTTTCCGGTTCAACATTTCAGACTACTTTGTATTCCAAACCATGCAAAAAATAGTAGGCACAACCAATGGTATCATATATGTTTTCCCTATAAATCCATTTCATCGGTACGAATGGGAATAGAATTTTGAACGATAAATAATAAATTATTCTCGTAGATGGAAGAAAATGAAAGTACAGATAGGGGGAACAGTTGGTGAGTTACAAGGCATATCAATTGTTGAATTTATGACTTTCTTGCAATATTCGTCTCTTTGATATACGAGCACTAGATTCAATTATCGATGTGGTCAATTTTAAAAGAAATCATCCAAATTATCAGGAAATTATTCGGTAGCAGTCTTATATTATATTCATTATCCAGGTTGTTCAAACAATTTATGTCATGCGAATAAAATTGTTAACGTTGCAAATAATTGGATTTCTATGAAGTAGGTACATTAAGAAAAAAAATCTTACCGCAGAGTACTCGACCTTGTTGACATAAGGGTTGTGCGCCATTGCCATAGATTTATGGGCGATGAGCAGGGCAAAGGCATTGATACCTCTAAATGCGTCGACACCTTTGACTCTAGTTGGGGCGTCCGATAGATCGAATACTTTTTTAAAATTGCGTTTTAATGAAAAAGCATTGAGCAACTTTTCGAAATTTGTAGTCCCTTCTTTTCCATCGTCGAGCATCGTTCCCAAGCTCAGTAAAAGAATTACTGCTAGGAAGAATGTACTGAAAGAGGAAATTAAGTATAAAATATAGATATCAGATGTTTAGCTGTAAAAGGTGCGTAGGTATCTCGTTTTAATATTGGTTATAGAAAATTATAAAATAATTATTCTGTGTTTTAATCTATATCCCTTGGGTTAAACAGAATATGAGAATCTAATTCCTAGTAAAGGATTACACGGTTTTTCACGCATGGTGTCGTTTATTTCAAATTTTATAATTTTTTTATTAATTTAAAATATTATTAGATTAACTTTTATAAATCTAAACAAATCCTTTAATAAATACGAGTATAACATGAATCTATTTTCTAAAATTTAACTTTATTTTAATAAGTAGTTCGGTACAAACATTTTAATAGACAATTAAATGATTTTATAAAAATGTGTAGATTACAACTCAATCAAAAAGTGAAGTAAGGAATTGGAACTGGGTCTAATTTGTTTTCTTTTTATTAGATGCCACGCCAGCAATACTGCCGTCGTCTAATACTTACATCGATAGTGTCTTGCCGAATGAGTATGGTCTATTTCTATTCTTCACAGTGCACATAGTGTTATGAACCTTGACAGTCATACCAAGGTCGGCTAATCTTTGAGAAAGCTCCTCTTCCAGGTCGAAACTGCTGCAGGAACTCGGGATGCAGACACCCCACAGTAAACTCGAATATCTCGGAACGCGGTGACCCATCTAAAAGATAAATGTAAAATTTTTCTAAAATTACCTTTGATCAAACAAGCAGAGACTCCTAATATTTTAAAATTTCAATTTTTTTTATAATGGAACAAATATTCATTATTATTTTTACAATCGTCAAAATTTATGCCTGAATATTAAAAATAAACAAATGTTTCTTTTTTTTTTATCTGTAACAAAATAAACAGAATTAAAAACTGATAAATGCATAGTGTTTTAAAATTGAAGTCTTAGAAATGAACTTGTAAATTGAATGAATTCTTTGACGAAACAGTCACAAAACAAAACAGTGAGCTAATAATCATTTTATCAAATTCACTTTAAGAGCATTCTCGCTTAACAAATATTTTTTCATTGCATTGCATGTCTTTTGTTTTGAATACATCCTATAAATTTTCTACGAGGAAGTTTTTGACTTATTTATCAATTAAACAGAGACATACTCAGCTAATATATATCAGTGTAGGACGTCTGTACACTGGAGAATATACTATTTACTATCAACCTTCAGGGAATAATATGAAATATAATTAAAATTTATTTGCTTCAATATGAATAGATAGGAAGTATATGACTTCGCACTAAAGGATCAGTATGACATTAGTACATCACGTTTACTAGATGGAGTGACGACCTCATTTTATTGCAGGAAGTTAAGTCCATGCAGATGGCTTAGAAATATGACGTGATACCGTAGGCGTGACGACGACAAAATGATTGTCTTTCATATATCTTATATTCTTCCCTATGCCAAATTTTACACGTATGTCAAATTTAAATTGGTTACGCTATTATCAACGTATAGTACAAAAAACTTAATTTCAAATATGTATATATTTTCTTTCATCTTTTTTATTTCCTGATATTAAAGTCTAATGTTATAAATAAAATATTACATAAGTTAAGTCGCTTAAATGTAACAAAAAATCTCACCTTTTTGAGCTCTGATTTTGATAATTGTAGTAATAACAATTATTTAAAAAATAATCTTTAATATGTAGTAGTAATAATAATGACGGTATGATAGTGGTAATGATAATTGCAATATTGAGTAAAGAGATCAGTATTAATATAATAAATTGAATGGGAAGAGGTAATACAAATATTAAACGGTACAAATCCAATTAACTAAATAAACCAGATTTTAATTTAAAACAGTTTCTCTACACCGGATTATCACAAAAAGTTACGGAGTTGTAAATTAAAGTTTTGCCTTCTGCAAATACCATTAAATAAACCAAATTAATGTTTATTTAATCTTATTAAATTGATTCAGTGCTGCTACGGGTGACAACTTTAGGCATCGTTTGAAATTTTATTTTTTCAGTAATGTAGCGGACATTGCTGAAAAAATAAAATTAAGATATATAGAGAGTTTCATATTATATATTTATCAATCTGTATAATATTGTGGTAAGTATTATCATCATTATAACTGGTTTATGTTTCATTACTTAGCATAGGTTCTCTCCATAATGTAAATTAATTATTGTTTGCGATACCAGATACAATTTTACTCATTATCACTCTTTGCTAATTTTTATACTAAATTTAGGCGGAATAGTGTGTACATATTATGTATATATATAATATTTAGTCTATTCATGTTATTACTATGAATAGACGAAATAATTAAATTAAAAATTATATTTGTCTTCTAATTGAATTATTATGTGTAAAACAAAATCTTCTCAACATATCTTGAAGATCCTTTAACTGTTTTTAATTGATTATTCGAATTTTTGTTCCCTTATATATCTCTACATTACTTTATCCGTTAGTACGCTGAGAAACGAGGAATGATACTCAGTAACTTAACTCACTGCAGGTACTTAATAAGTAATGCTCGATTCCTAATTAAAATATTGGCTTTAGATTCTTATTATTGATACAGCGATGTTTCCATGCGTCGAATGTTAATAGATTTATAAACAATGCAATTAACTATATGCACTTCTTTGCATCGTATATAGAATTCATTCGTATACCTTTGTTACTAAGACAATATGCAACGATATTACAATACATGAGCGAGATTTGAACATCAGAATACCAATTAGTGACAAACGTAATTGGTTCAAAGACTTCACGAACAATGAGGTCGGTTGCACTTTGTGTGACAAATTTAGTCAGCAGAAATATTAATTTAATAAATATTTTAATCTACATATAATAAAACTACGCTAACAAAAAAAAAAAACTACAGACAAAACTTATGCATTGAACGATCGACGTCTAGTAAATTATACACGTAATATTTACTACGTAAATTATAACTGATGAAGTACTCTGTCTTTTCTTTTTGACAGTTTTAATAATTTAAAAGAAAGTACGACGGACGGTAAGTTCATTTTTTAATACCTTTGGATTTACATCTTCACCACAACCTCAGCAGTTGACAATATTTCTTACTACTCTCACCTGAGGGGAGAGGGAAGAGGATCGTTATATTTTAATGGATGTTAATGAAATGGCGCTCCCGTCTGTGCCAACAGTTCACGTTGGTCATAAGATGAGTATGAGGGCAGGTTAGTATATCGTGGCAAATTCACCAGGAATTTATAACGCTTCTCCTTGGAAATCATGGGATAACTGACCTGAGCTCATGCCCCTCTTCCTCCACTAGTGCCTAGCCCTTGTAAACCGTTAGCGGAGGCACTCGGTTTTATTCGTATGAAATTTATAGCCTATATGTTATTCTGATGTATAAGCTATATTACTGTAAAGTTTCATCAAAATCGGTTCTGTAGTTTTTGCGCGTAAGAGTAACAAACTTCCATCCATCCATACAATTTTTCGCATTTATAATATTAGTAAGATTTGCTGAGTTACATTGTGCAGGCCTGGTTTTAGTTACTGAGACGCACGTATCGTGTATGGTCAAAGGCCGTTGTATTGCACAATAACAATTGTGATTCGGAATCAGCTCAGGACCAAATAAGTTAACAGTGGTCGCGGTGGTGCGACAACCTTCGAATACTAAGTAACATTCGCCACGCGTGATGCGGATCTTGATGATATCTAGACAGGTGGTGGCGTGGTGGGATGTAACATTGGGCTCCCTAAAATATGGTTGAGCGCAGTGATGACTTGCTCACCCGTTATACTCTTGGACAGGTGCTGCTTGTAGGGACCGATCTGCTCTGAACTATGATTGATTCAATTTGCTACTAAAGGAATTATTATACTTATTTACTTCGTTAATCTTGCTATTTGGCAGTTCATATTCCCACAAATGTTATAACTGTAATGCTGAACAATATTTATTTAAAACAGCAACATGCAAGTTTCTTACTCGTTCTTCATGTGAGGAGTCTGCCGAAGGAGTGGTAGTATAAAAAAATTTGACTATTAAAAATGCTTATACTAAGGTTATTTAAAAAAAAGATTGTCTATTTCTAAAATGTATAGGTATTATTTGATGGTGATGGATTGGTGACTTTAATCCAACTAAAGAAAATAAGTTCGCAACAAAAGGATAGATTTAATAGATTTGTTAGATGCTAGAAGTTTTTTTAAATACTGAAGTAAGTAACTACCCTAGTAGTCACTCAACCAGCACGTTAACTCCATAATCCTACGGGGTGAGACAGGGGGATTATGCAAGATTATTACAAACGATCTTAATGGTGTGGCGGTTTAACGCATTGGTTCGTTTTCAGTTCCCCGTTCTGTTTCCGGGTTCATTTTGTGCAGAGTATTTACCTCTACTTTTATTACTAAAACTGTTTTATTACTAAAAAGTTTGTATTTTCTAGGAAATATAAAGAAAAATGTACCATTCTACTACTATCTTTTCAGAAATTTTAACGATTCTTATCTCCGAAGTTTCTGTGACGATAATATCTACTTAATATATGGGTACTTGTATTGAAAATACTTGAACCGTTTTAAAAATATAATATTATTACATTGTTATATTACTGTATAACTTTTTAAAATTATAATATATATAACTTATAAAGATTTTATATTAATCAACTGACGAATAATTATTTACAGTGTATGTTATGGAGATTGTCTATTTACGATACATAGACAGACGAAAACAGTGATTATGCATTATTTATTAGAGGTGAAGTTCCAACAAATAATAGTTCCAATATAAAACCATAATAGGTTTTCTATATTGAAATCTTAGGGTTCATTATATCCCAGGACTTGATTCTGTTAAATGCAGCGCGACCGGTAGAGCTGGTCTAGTGGATTGTAAAGGGTAGGAACTTGTTGAACTTGTTTTTCAATATCATTAGTTTATCATATGTTAAGTGTATCATCGTATATTAATACTGAACCCTATAAAATTGTCACAAGTCGGGAATGATTGCTATTATATTTTACTCGATTTATTGACAAATGTGGTGACAAACTGGGATATTTACATGTTACTAAGCATTTACCACGATGGTTTCTAGGAGGGACCGAGTGGAGGTCAATCGTGTCCATAAATGTAAATAGGGCAACATAGATCACTATCCCAGTTACCCTATTTACATGAATATCCACATGGTATTTCATAAATCCTGCATTATAAGAAATATGTACGATTTTTGTATGAACTGCTAATGATAATGAACCTAATCGTCACGTAATTAAAATATAGGTACATAGCTATAATATACAGAAATATGATATTTAAACAATATTTGTCGATTAAAATAAATGTTTATTTATCGATATCTACAGAGAATCCTATTCAGCAAAAAGGCTTGAGCCTTTACTGGCACACATAATATACTTAAGTGTGCATAATTGGTTTTTATGAGTAAGTATATCGAAAGTTGAATAACCTTTTTTTCGAGGGCATCATATTAGTTAATAATTGTTTTAGGATTTTTATGTTCTATGTAGATAAGCATTTTTTAATTGGTGATATAGTAGAATGATGCACCTGCCTGCGCATTAGCGCAAAGCCATTAGGCTTACGCTGGCGGGGCACCAGTGGAGGATTATAAAGTGAGAATGAAGTCAGGTCAGTTAGCCTATCTAGGCAAATAGCAATTTACCATGATGCTTTCCAGGGGGAATCGCGTGGAGGTTATTCAGACATGGTACATTGCTATCAAAAGGCGTTATTAGTCCACATTACTAACAATATCCTTCCCTTTATTGTATGATATTGGAATGGTGCATCCGCCTGCGTTAACGGTTTATGCTGGCGGGGCACCAGTGGAGGATGATAAGATGAGCATGAGGTCAGGTCAGTTAATCCATCGTGACAAATTCATCAGGAAATTATTATAACGGTTTATAGAGGGGCCGCGTGGAGGTCTACCTGACATGGTACATTCCTAGCAATGGGATCATCAGTCTATATTACTAACATTCCCCTTTCCACTCTGCAGACAAGGGTTACCATCAGAAATAATAATCGAAATGTTAAGTAAAGGTAGTCTGTAAAAAGTCGTCTGCGTGGTTATCTCAATCTCACCTACTTCAGCCGCCAAGCAGCTTGCTTTGTAAGCCGTGTTTCTGTTGTAGAGTACGATTAGGCACTGAAATCACAGGATTTCAGACATAATATCTAAGTCCTATGGAATAACAACACATGAGTGTTCTTTCTTTCTTTCTTTTCTTTCTATGAGTGGTATCACATAACGTCATGCCCGTAGTGCTGTTCATGTATATAGGGGACGGTTGCCACCAACCATTGGTGTGCTGTCAGTTTGTTTGTCATTTCAATTACCTAAAAATACTATAATTAACCGAGAACACTATTAATAATTTTGCACAAATACGTATCCGTGGGTAACTGTATCTCTCCTATTCCTGCCATTAAGCAATTTGCTTTGTAAGCTGTTTTATGGTTTGTCCTCAATCAGGTCTTTATAGTCCTTAAGAATGGTGACGCATGAAGGGTACGGGCGTGATGTTACTGCAGTAGCTCATCTCTCCAGGCGGCTAATGTCATTTTCCATCTGGTGGGCCATTCAAATTACATAAAAATTGCAATTGATCACAAACAAATACGGTAAGCACTATTGTCCTCAGCATAATTCTTTGTGGACGTGTTTGATCAGTATACTGCCGTGGTCTGACTTTACAATAGGTTTCGTACCGAGCTTGTATACTATTAAAATGTTATAGGCTTGTAACGATTATATTTGACGCACAAGATCTCGCACAATCATTACATAGAGTAATATAAAGTGCAGTAGTATTTATCATACATATCTACTAATACAATATTATACATTCGAAAGTATGTCTGTCTGTCTCATTATTAAATTATCATAGTTAAACCGCTCAACAATCTTAATGAAATTTAATATGTAGATAGAATTTATCACGAACTCATAAATAGACTATGTAAAAAAAGGAAACAATGTTGAGAGTAAAAGCTTATCTAATATATAAAAAATAATCTTTTCTTTTTATTATTATAAATTCTTCTTTTTAATTCTTCGTTCTTTTTTTTGGATAAAATCAGTTTAGCCCGTTACATGGCATTCAAGGATCAGATTATTAAATAGACTTGTTAGTTATCATATATTATGAAGAAATTTATTTAGCGACTTCACAACTATGTGTATAATCACTTTATACATAGAATCGTGTCAAAGTCATGCATAATGCCAACATTTTGTAGTGACGATTAATGTACATTTATTGAAAATGATCCTTGTATCGTATTTAGTACATTATTATGACATTTTAGAAGGTAAATAATGACGTATTTTTTTATTACCAAAAATCTTTAATATTATGATGTTAAAAATCTATTTCAATAAACTTATGACAGTCGAATTAACACTATGTAGAGTAGTTTATTTAGAATAATTTACTGTAATACGGAAATTACAGTTTACGTAGGTATGTTACCTACTTTACGTAACACAGTATTTACTGTGTTACGTAATGTAGGAATTTAATTATTAATTTTATGTATTAATTTTATTTTACGAAACAAAATTGAAATAATGCTTTTAATAAATCTTTTTTTAAATAATTCAATCTTATTCTAAAATCTATGATCGCAAGAGAAGTTACCGTAAGATTATGCTGAACGTTCCGCCTTTAAAAAAGAGAATGGAAGTAAGGAGAAAAATAAAATATTATAGTTACTAATGTTCTAACAAGCTCTTACATATAGTAAAATAGACTGCCCAACTTCAAATTAAATTAAATTTAGGTACTATTTGTAGCAAATATTTCCCTAATAAAAATTCCGTAATGAAAATAATATATTTTATCTACTACACAATTATGGTAATCATTTCGTTACAATTTTTTTTTTTTATTGAATTCCTACTAATATAGTAAAGTGAGCCTATCTATTTGTTACTTTTTCACGACTAAACGACTGAACGGATTTTAATTTAATTTCATATATAATATATTTAATTTCAAGATAGATTGTAACACGAGAACGGACATTATATCTTTTATCTCCAAAAGAGTAGACAAAATCGTGGGAAACAGCTTGTTTTATATGTAAATGTTTTATGTGACAGGCGTATAAATTTTGGTCATTCTGTTACCACGTGGTATGATCCTAATAAGCGCTGATTATTTTTTGTTGTTGTTGTAAGTTTATCGCATTTTCTTAAAACAATTACAAACAGTATACATTTCAGAATAGTTAGACTAACATGATCGTATATGGGTAAACCTGCATATGTGTGCCACAGCAATACAAAATATAGCTTATATCTCTGTATGTCACTTTATAGTTATCTTTTTATTGATTACTTTTATATCTACATAAATCATACATAGAGAAGGCAACTTAGTGGTTAATTACACAGTTATATACTTTGTAATTTATTGCATTAATATACTATTTTATTGGTTAGATTCGCCTGGGTTCCCAACACTATGTTTAATACATATTTGAGCAATCTACGAAATATAATAAATAACCTAAATCTGACAAAGATCACTGAGTTCAGCTTTTACAACAATACTAAGTTTGTGAATATGTACGTGCAAATTCACGAAATTAGTATTGTTTGTTTGTTTAGAACACTTTATTGTACAGTAAAAACATTTGAAATAACAGTACAATGGGGGGCTTATCACAAATGAGAGATTTCTTCCAACCTTTAAATAATTGTTTTTTATAATATTAATAGCTTTCTACGCTACAACAATAAGCTTAAAATAAAATTACAAGAGTTAAGAAAAGATTGATATTTATTTTTTTAGTTTATAATCCTTTTCTTTCTCTTTTTTTTTATTAATACCTTTGTTTTCTTTATTTGTTTATTTACTCTTTATGACACCAGAAGTATATTACAAAGAATATAAACAGATAGTAAGTAATAAGGCACCTTCAGGGCGTTGTATAATCCTTATATTAAATAATCTACATATATATAGACACACGATTCATAATTATAAAAAATGATAAACAATTTAGTACACTAAACAAATTTTAGAAAAAGGACAGATTCTCATGAAGATATTCTGTTAATTACGGGAATAGTTCAATGTCGTTTGGGTACCAATACCAATATACATGGTGAAGGAATCTTTAAAGAATACTGTTTGTATCGTAGATGTTGAGTTCATTGGGATTTTTCTGGAAATTATATTCCAGTAATTATTCACACATAACCAAAAGAAAATAAGTAAAGTTACAACAAATAGTAAAATACACTGTTTGACCTATTATAGTACATACGCTGAAGATTCATCAAAATTTGTGATGAAAAATAACAGCTACATACATAGTACATAGCTACATAGTAGTAAATTATGTCATTGAAACATTATTAGCCATTTAATGTATTTGTCACGCATACCTACGTAGCTTATAACTTGAATACTCAATGCTACAGATCACCGGATGTTATACAAGTTACGAATCTTTACAGCTTGTTAATATGTCCAATGAATATTAAAATATATATGTATCTTTCAGGTTATATTATAATTTATTAATTTCACTTTGTTTAAGCTTGTGTTATAGGTACTTGACAACTGATACAAATAGAGAAACTTTTGTCAGTAAATGCATACATAGAAAACACCGAGATCGATACAAAACAACTCACATATTGGGAAAAATTTTGGGTGGGAGGAATTGAACCTGATCAATATTTATGACTTTATGGAGAGGGGTCGGGGAGACCCCTCTCCATAAAAAACATGTTACTATGAAAATATTCACAATAACTGATAAACTTGATGAAATTTATCCATAGGTTAAGGTAATTATTATTAACAAATTTCTTTTAGAAGTACTCGTAATTAAACACTTAATTCTCAGCAAAAATGAAACCTATTTTAGCTCATTCGTATGAACAATACAAGACACTATAATAATAATAATGTGTAAGACATCAGAATTATACTTAATTTTCAGAGTAACGAAATAAATATATTTATATTTATTGTTATAATAGTGCAAGCCGAGTAGTAAATACTTTCGGTAAAGCGGAACATAAATATTTACGGAAAAATTTCGATTGAAAGTATTGCTATCGTGCTTTAGTTAGAGGAGACACGAGGTGTCTGAATAGAACGAAGATTGAAAAAAACTACTTCGTAAATTCATTACGTGGACACACTTTTTAAGTTTGCAGTAGTAGAAGTGTGATTTTCTACCATCCTAGAGGTATTTAAATAAAAAACTAATAAAGATTTACTTACGTCTGTAACATTACTTCGTATGTAATGTCCACTGTGTATGAGCGAATCTATGTGGTTGTACTTCAAGTCATTGAAACTAATTTCGAGCGAGGCGAGGCAGTATTTACCACGCACAGATCCATCTACACTTAGACATTCGTCGAAATCTCCGTACTGATTGCCGTTCCCGCTCAGTATGCCCGATGGAGGTTTTGCAGTTGCATCAAACACTGTAACAAAAAATTGCATATGCATAATATTATTTATAATAAGTCTGGAAAATTCATACAGCGTCATCTAGTACCAAGCTATACAGAGATTTTAAGGTATGTAATATTATGTTATCTGAAGGGTACTAGACAACTGATGGAAATATTTAATAAAATTTTTAAAAATACATACATAGTAGTAGTAGTAGTGGACATCCAGACCAAAACAAATAATAACTTATAAATAATTAGCGAGGATTCGAATCCGCGATGAACGGAAGTAATTTACGTAACAAGAAAGGCATAAATGCTGACCTCAAATCTTGTGGAAATTGGACATTAAAGGCAACAAGGTCATTACAGAATTAATTTGAGACTTTTACAGTAACTATCATGCCTTACAGTAATTGCCATATTGCGGCAGAAATAGGCGAAACATGCAGGTGATTTTGACAAAGTTCTTCTTTTGCATCAATTTTATTTTGGGGTTGACGTAATGTTTTTCTCTTCTATTCATCCCTGTTCGCAGTCATCTCTTTATTTATATCTTTTCCCTTTCCGTTTCTTGCTACATTATCTTTCACATAGTCGATCATCTCTTTCCTTGACCTTCCTGTGCCTTTGTAACTTTGTATAGAGTATACTCGTGTAAAATAATTGTAGATGACTGTGAAGGTATGTTTTAATTAGTTATTTTAATTGTTCAAACAGTATATGAACATTTTTCCACTATAATACAATGCAATTTAGGTCCTTGTATCATTTTATTGTAGTTGTGATTTATGTTTTTGCCAACTTGACCCATAATTAATTATTTACCAAACTTTTGAATTACCGCGTCAAAGTCCCATAATGTTTACATTCTATTTATTGTCGCGTCATTGTAATACAATTAATAAACAATTAGTATGAACGTTACGAAATACAGATTTAATGGCTGTCTAATGGTTCATTCAAAGTCGATAGGGAAAAATGGATTTCAGAAACACTTTTGGAACTGTTAAGGTTTTCCTATTGTTTCGCTGTTAATGCCACCTCTAGATAAGTCAAGATTAAGGTCACAAGAAATAGGTAATACGTATGTGTATAAAGCAAGGTATCAACAACAATTTTATACTATTTAAATATGTTCAGAATGATAGAAATGTTAGGTGGTTGCTAGTACGTAATAAATAAATCAGTTTATGAATAAATATTTTCCAAATTAAGTAAGTATATATTTACAGACATTAAGTAAAATTTCACAACAAAATGTAATCATAAAATTCAATAGGTAAATAAAATAGGTATAGGTGAATTTCGAGTTATCGAAATAATATATTTTTTACTAGTATATTTAAGTATATCATTCGGAATTACCAAAGTTCTAATTATTAGGGTTAATGACATGTACAAAATAAACCTTCGTTTAATAAATAACGACATGACAATAATATAAATACATCATATTTTTATATTTAGCATGTTTTTGACTGATTATTTATTTTATTTTATATATAACTAGCTACTCGCCCCGGCTTCGTACGGCTGTACATGTATTATATATATAAACCTTCCTCTAGAATCACCCTATCTATTAAAAAAACCACTTCAAAATCCATTCCGTAGTTTTAAATATTTAAGCATACATAGGGACGGACAGACAGCGACAGTGTTTTATTTTATACTACGTAATGATATATAGAATACCTCTATGTAGAAAAATATGTCTTTAAAAGCCGGAAAGGTTTTTTCCAAATACTGTGGCTATTGCCTTTACAAATACTGACACTTATGAACAAAATATGGACTTTCTTTTTATATTTTTTGCGAAGATTTTAGGCAATATACTAAAGTTGCACCTAAGATCCAGATCTACGAGTATCGTATATTAAAGAGCACTATCCTGCTTTCTTCATTATTTATGACGACACATGTGGTGTGTTGAACTGTGTTGACGATTTTTTGCTGACATTGACCCGTTGGCATTGACTTCGGTTCGTCCTGACCCCATTAAACCATTACGTGCACACGGTGCTATGTTGAATAGAAATGCGGAGAGCGGCGTGATGGATAGTGCAAGACTTTCAAGCAAGGCTTGAATGGCAACAAGTTGATGGCCCTTCGGACGATAGTGGTAGTTGAGCATGATAGACTAAGCTGTTATGCATCTGTCAGAATAATTTTAATAGGGGAAGCTGCTTTCAAGATCAAATCAGTAAATACATTTTCCTAAGAAGATGAATTCAATCACGATAAAATCAGTGAGACCAACAGTTGAAAAACATGTCGATTGCAAAAACAACATCCGTTCATCAAATGTGTGTAACATTGTCAGTCTGAGTGCCTTGTAACGTACAAGTATATACCATAAAACGAATTCTGGGCTAATTTCGGCCTGCGTTTAAAATTATTTGTGCTGGATCTTAAACACCATCTCTTCATATCAGAAACTCTTTTCCAGTTTCCTGAGGCTATGAAATGGAAGATGAAACAGTTTTTTTGCAGGATATTATCAGACTGCTTCTATTAGCAAGACAGTGATGTCGTTGTGATGGTGCCCGTCATATTTAGACCTTATTTTCGTGTTGTTTTCGATTTGATATATTTCAGTAAAAGGATTGGAAGAGATTTCTCTTACATATAAGGGAAAATTACATCAAATGGAGTATTTTGTTTAGGAATTTGGTAACAATTAAAACTACATATACAATATAACAAATAAATAGTTGCGTTTGCTGTTTTTTTTGTTTTCTCATGCAGCAAGCAGCTGCATGAGAAAACAAAAAAAACAGCAAACAAAGTCAAAATATACAAAGTCGAAATATTTTCAAAATAATTTCGACCTTGAAATCTGTGCAGTAGATGTCAATTACAGTTTGTTGGGTGCGTATATTCGCGCACGTATTACGTTTTCTGATTAGTATGTATATCGTGTCAATGACATGTGATCTAATCTCTCAGGTACGATAGGTAGGGTTGTCAAGTTATGGAGAAAGATATTCCTATAACGACTTTGAAGTACGAATCGAATTGGGGTTCTATAACATTCAGGAGGCGACATGAAGGTTGAAGTCGCGATGTACAGGTGCGCTGGCGCATGTACCGTACCGTGGTCAATTCTAAGAATAAGTAATACTGTAATAGAACCCTCTCCTCTTAAAACACGTGGATATAATGGAGTTTCAAATTGATAAACTGATTAGCGAAGAGGTATACCTATACTAGTCAGTTAGTGAGACCGTATGTTATGCCCGGTAGGTGTGTTTGTGTAAATGCATTTTCCCTATTTAAAAAACAAAGGGTAAGTTGTCAACTATATAGAAAATATATGATATAATCTAACGATAGCAGTATTAGAGGATTAATAAATAAAGGTTAATACATCAATTTAGTTACAAAACATTAAATTAGTTGGTAAAGAATATTTAAGTCATTGGCTCCTAATTTAAATTCATAATTGTCTATATTTTTGACAAAATAAAGCATGAAAATACAGGACAGATATAACTTTATTAAACAAATATTGCGTCAATTACATTACCATTGTTAGCTACAACATAAATCCATAAATTAGACGGAATAAAAAACCGACACCGATGACGATTTCAAATTTTGAAAACATTTTGAATATGAATTTGTGTACTATTTGATTTGAAGTATAGTTGTTATTACAAGCAAATTAGGATTATTTTAGGCAAATGTGTTAATAAGTACGCATTGGCTACACGATATTTTTAAATCTTTAAAGTAGCTAACTACGTGACTAAATTTATAACTACATGAATCTTTACCAACTCATATTATAAAAAGGCATAAATTTATTCATTTTATGTGTGTAGAATAATGTTCTGATTCCCGGAATCTGATTTAAAGAGGAAAGATAAATATAATATTGTTCGTTAATAAATAAATAATATACCTACCTAAATTATATATTAAAATAAAAATAGATCCTATACGGGAAAGAAGCTTGGCATTTGCGAGTAAAATCGATGTAGAATTCGCAAAGTTCATAATAGAGACCTTTAAGAAACGAAGTTGAATTGAGTATAATCTATTTTTTTAAGTCAATCTAAGCATCCCTGAAACATATTGGTGATTTATAGAAACTAGTGGCCTAGAAGAAGATCAGGGCACGGATATCATCATCAAATGGCGATCTTAGAACCCATCAAGTATTGTCATTATGGAGGATTAAGATATTCCTCTGTAAGCATACAGTTACTTGTGTAGGAGTTTAAATATTTTATGTACCATGTAATGCTCTTCACTATAACTTATTAGATCTCATTTCTATTCAAAACAGCGTACTCTACCAGCACTTACTGTATTCAGCGATCTTTTAAGATAAAACTGTTGACTGCTTTTTCTTAGCTTTGTATATAATGTGTACGTACTTACGCCATCAATAAATTATAAGACTGTCTAGATTATACTTGAGAAGGAAATCTCTAGTGCATTATATAAATTTAATATCTTCAACACGCAAAAAACAAATTTCATCGTTATAATATTTTTTATAACTTCACGACTATTATCCTAGGTGGGGTATTCAGACATATTACCAAAATTATGAAGCTATACCTTAAAAATTGTAAAAGGATTTATTGCTTAATTAGTAAAGAGCCTATGTAGAAGAAAATTCAATGCTTGTAAAAATATTCAACATGCAAACGGAATGGATGCTGGTGACGATAATTGTTAGAAATTTAGTCTATTTATCTGTGTGTTTTATCTCGTAAACGATTAAGTGCAGTTTTCATTAATGTATTGTAATAAAATAAATTAAAATTAAAATTTTGTGTTCCTTTTATCTATCTAGCTTACTCGCGCAATGTCGTCCGCATCACACTTACTATATTATTACATTTCGCCCAATTTGTTTTTAGTTTTAGTTATAAAGTTGAAACTTTACAGTAAAAATCAATTTAATGTATTAGATACTAGGGATTCGTTAAAATGCATAAAGAAGACCGTTCATAAAACGTCTATCAAATTATTTAATTTTTAATATTTTCTTTAATTTACGATCAATTCATTTCATCAAAGTCATTTAGTTGCTTTTTAGAACACTTAATCCATAGGCAATAGAAAGAAAGCTATCAACTCCAAATGTATAAATAACAAATTTTATTGATGACTCTTCAAATATGACTAAATAATGACAAATTACTTTTTAATTGTTTTTATGTCGTAGTGCTAAATATAAACTCATTAGAATAAAATGTTTCATCACAAAGGAAAAATATTATCTTATCCATACAGATTCTTTGAGTTAGTCCCAAACCCTAGTTAGCTTCCTTAAGACATCAATTGTGTCATGGGTTTAATGTAAAGGGGGAAAGGGTTTGTTGGTAATGTGAAATAATTACTCCATCACTAGCAATGTACCTACTCATATTGACCTCCACGCGGTTCTCCCTAGATGCCATCTTGATATGATTCCTGGTGATTTTGCACGATTGGCTATCTGATCTGACCTCATGCTCATCCTATCATCCTCCACTAGTGCCCTGCCAGCGTAATTATAATCTTCCAAAAAAAAAAGTATAGAGAGAGAGTATGGCTAAAATATAAATATTAAAATTGATTATTTTCATTTTTGTAATTGTAAAAGGGAATTACGACAATATTAAACTTTGAAAACGTTAGTAGACTGTTTTTACGCTACAATGCGGTTGGAAAAGATGCGCATCCCTGGTGCTGAGAGTACGTGTCAACCAACAGCATCCTGAGCATGATTGCGACCAGGCTGGACTGTGCGCATGCTATTTATAATGGAATTGTACAGCGGTGATTTGTTTTTTTATTTTAATTTCATTTAATGTTGATTGTATATTTTTGTTATTATTTTTATTTTTATTTTTGTGTCTGCACTTACTACCATTATGTAATATTATCTTAACTGTGCTAGCATTCTCTCTAAGAAAACTATTATTAACAAAATGGGCAATAAAAAATAAAATTGAAAATAAATTCAATAAGAATAATTATTATTAAAACCTAAATAATTTAAGACTAGTGGACATGTTTTTTAGTTACGTAGGTATTAATTACTTAGTATTAAGTAATGAAAGAATTAGAGAATTATTTTATGACCAATCGTTTTGATATTTCATTAACTTAATTACTAACGTCTATATGGGGATTTATAATTAGTCGATCGGTGTGTCTGTTTGCAGTCTATTTAAATTTTTATAGTATTAAAGAGTATATGTTATGTTGGCTTACGAATTGTAATCTAAAATTTGATGATAGCCGGGAATCGTACTGTGGTACCTTTCTTTTCATTATACTAACTTCGGAAAGAAATATTTCTAAACTACATTTCAATATATTTCTTTTATTTATTCAAAATATTTTTTTATATGTAGGTATATGTTTGTTATTTATTTCACTTTCATATCAACAAAAGTATCAACAAATTTATAGTACAAAATTTATAAATTTCTTTGACTACGAAAGCAACATGTAATGTAGAATACCTTTGTATTAATATATTTTATATCTCATTATCCAATGTTTCTTTTATTGTACAAAAGTATTTGTAACTACTTACCTTAAAACTGTATTTACTAATTTGTATACCGTACTTACAAATCGTGGCTACAATTCTGCTGACATACATTCTTATTGAACTTTAGTTTGCGAATAATATAAACAATTGCTTCGATGTACCCACACAAAAAATACGAAAATTAGCATATTACTTTTCAACGCCCACAACTCCAATTTTTCCAAGCTGTCAACATAGCGCTGGCTGTCACGGCGGCACTGTTCGCTGGTCCCATTCTTCGGCACCACAATTCTCGGGAACCTGTCCCATATATCCAGGATATTGTACCGTGGGGTGTCTTCGATTGTGTCGTTAAGGGTTAATTTAATTATAGTCCCATTGAATAGGCTTTCTGTGAGAATACTTTTATCAGATAACGTGAGTTCGATGCACTCGCGTGCAGCAGCTAGGGCTGCGCAGAGGAGCAGCAACCATGCGCGCCTAACCATGATGCTCGACTCAATGAAGTTGCGCGCACGCACCGCCGGTATTAACTGACTCGCGAACTATTGATCACCTGTGACAATGAGCCGATACAGCGGACAATGGAATTGGGAAATTTATTTTGTATAATTTTGTATTTACATATATTTCGTAGCAAACACAATTGTCTTTTTATAGTAAATATTTAGGGATAAATATTTGTTGGCGTTTCTAATTTTATTATTATTGTTTTTTAAGTTAGATGTGAAGAAAGTGTTATTCAATTTATATGGAATTTATCCGTGGAAATTGAAGTTACAACTTAGTAGCATTCTTACGTAAATGTTTTATTTCGTTAAAATAATAGAATAATCTATATAATAATTATATCCTATAGCATAAACTAAACTGAGTCAATAAATATTTTGCAAGTAATTATATATTTAGTGAATATTTTATTAAGGGGTCTTGCTATGTGACGGCCTGTTTTTTAGGGATATTTTAGGATTTTTTTTCTACGACCAGTAAATATTTAGAGCTTCAAGTTTTTTATCATTTATTAACACATATTTTGGACAGTATAAATATAAAATTTCAGCTAAAAATATTCAGTCAAACTAGAGTTACAGCGCTCTGAACACCCCCGCCTCGAAAAAAAGAGCTCCCACTTCCTCCACGATTCCGGCTGATCGGCTTATCTGAAAAAAAAAAAAAACGGCGTTTTAATTTGTAGGCGTAAAAGCACGGAATGACCTATAATCAAATGAATATAAAAAAAATTGGATTTTTGATAGACATTTGAAATAAAAGTTGCAAATTAGGCGTTTTTTTTTTTTGTTTTTTGCTATAAAAAAATCGAAGTTTTGAAAATTTTCGATTGATAATAGTTCATTCCATGCGTTTACATATATAGTAAATTTCAAGTAATTCGGTCCAGCCGTTTCTGAGATACAATGGAGGAAAGTTTGAAAAACACAGTTTTGAGAAAAACGCGTTTAAAGTTTCAAGTCCGTTAAAAACTATTAAAATATCAACTTACTCTCAATCGGCGATGCCTGGTCCATAGAGTATTCTTTCCTCTTCCTCGTGAAACTCTTTTAAAGCAGATTGTTCAGCTCTTGAGTCAATCCTGGCTTGTTTAACGACATCACTTACGCGCCGCTCAGAGCGTAAGATTCGCTTTTCATCCCGTTTCTCAACATACGCTTGGGCTTCACGACCAACAGGGCATCCCATAATCGACATAACTTTTAAAATACCTTGAAAACCTTCATTAAAGATAATAACTGCTAAGTAGCTAGCAATTTCAACAACTTTGGGACCAGAATGAAGATGTTTAGGAGCGAAAGTCCAAATCAAAGAATTCAAAGATTCGTTATTGTTTTGTGTCTCTGCTCCTAAACAACGAATTAATAATTCGTCTTTCGATAAATCTTCGAAAACCGGTTTGATAGCTTCTTGGACTTGCGGAATTAGAGGTGGTTTATCGTGATGAAATTGGTCCAGTTCATTATTAGCTTCAGCCTTACGCCATTTACACCAACTGTCTTCGCCTTCTGGACAAAATTGATGCTGAGGGTTTTCATCAGAAGAACATTTGTGATAGTACGTTGCCCAAACTTCCTTTCTCATATCTTCAAGCGAATCTGGATGGCGTCGAATTGTTAATCCGTAGAATTTTGTAATTTCTTGGATAACTTTATCAGTAAGTTTACCTGCTCCTTTTCCTCCTATTCCTTTATTGGTTTTATCCTTTTTAAGTCTGTAGAAACGTGTCTAAACTTGTATAAACAAATATACTGCCAACTGCCAACTCACCGCTCCGAACCGCTCTTTCTTTTACCTGCTGTATCTTTAAAACGACTTCGAATTTTCTAAAATCGCTTTACTACCGTATTCTAGACATGTTAAGGGAGCAATTTATGAAAAAAAAAAATCGATTTTTTCAACCCATCACATAGGAAGACCCCTTTAAATGAAAATTACTATTGATAATTGACGAGCTTTTTTGAGGATTTGGATCCTCAAAATGTAGTATATTGTAAATTGATTTGTTGAAGTTAAAATCTTGTTAACAATATACCTATACTTACGAAAAAAGTTATACGTGTGCTATACGTGTGTTCTGTAACTGTCTGTCTGTGACATTAAAGTTACTAATCGGTTGAACCAATTTTGATGTTCCTTAGCTATAATAGACATAAAATATTATTATGTAATATTATGTAGTCATAATTTACTTACTTTGTTCAGGTGATTGAAGACATTTTCTAGTTGACAAATGATTTTTTGTTTTCATTTTAATGTATTTGATATGAAATTAAATTTGAAAAACAAAAGTATGGAAAACTGGATAGAGAATATAAAAAATAAGTTCACCGAGCTCCAAGGCAGTCCAAGGGCAGGTGGATAGACCAACGAACCCTATGTTATGTAGGATCTCGTCTAGAACTAGTTGGTGCAGTCTGTGGTAACAACATGTAATCATACCGTCATAATGAAGACGATTCGATTCTGCTGATTCTTTTTTTAAAACCTTTAAGTATTTTTTGTGACACAGCATATATAAACTCAAATTGTGATATTTGTAAGTAGGACCTGACACAAATTTCTTTTCAACTGACTTTAACAAAGAGGATGTTCTCAGATTTATATCTATTTACTGATTGTTGATGAATCTAATTATTATTTTCTCAATTGATAGGTTTTACTCACATGTTGTCCATATAAATTAAATCTATAATACATCATTTTCGTTGTAATACTCTAAAAATTTTAGACTATGCTGTAATATGGTGTCATTGATCTGTCATCGGTGTATTAGAGCCATAAATATTGATAATTATAATGTTATTCGTGGTACTACGTTATATATAGAGTTGATTACGGACAGCCCACGTGCTTTTGTTTAGCCTATACAGTTTTTTGGTTCTGTTTATCCTTTAAACGAAAGGTAAAGGGAATTGGATGGAATAATCGTTGAATAAACACAATGCTTTATTCCGTATTGCGTTCATTTTATAGAAATATGTCCGGGAATTTTTAATAAGTTCATTAAATAAACGTACATAATACTAAAATTGTGGTAGTATAAAAAACAAACTATTCAAAACTACTTACGTTAAGTTTATTTGTAGAAATATTTTTTCTTATTCTATATATTTCTATTATTTAGTCCTACAGAAAATGTATAATATACACTAAGTATGATCTTAAATAATATTGGTAGTGTAATTTTTATTTTTGTACCTGAAATATTAAATCACAAAAACATATATGTATATACTATATACATATATACTACACTATATGTATACACTGCCTTAAGGTTAAGTAAAACATTACATTTTTTAAAAAAATATTTTCACAATTATAACTTCGCGCTCTATTTTAGCTTCGACATTTTCTTTTCCCGCGCTGTCACTACAATATTTTTTTTAACTGACTGGACGTTGCCAGATGTCTAAATTGTTACCATCAGCATTAAATTGGTCTTTACTTTATCGGCACATTCATAACACCATTTTACAAGGCACGTGTATGTTTAATTATCAACGATGGGATTTCACTGCAAACACATTCCTTATAATTTTATGACACACATTAAATCATTTTATAATAATTTAAATTTAATTATTATTTAATAGACACCTTAATGAGTTCTTCGAAAGGAAATACCTGTTATTTGTCTATGGCCTTTAATGTGTTGTTTTCTAATTATTCAATGAACAATGAGTTGCATCTTTTATTAAAATTTTATCTTGCTACCTAATAGGAGGAATATTATGGCAATGCAACGTTTGGTGCTGTTTGATTTAAGAAATACTGTGTTTACTGTAAATTCGTTGTATATTAATAGGTATGTATTTTATTCTATTTGAATGTGAATAGGAAATAGCTAATTATGAATTAATTCATATAAGGATGAAACAATAAAGTACATAGGTACCTATAACTGAGACAAAGTTTTGAAATACATTAAAATATTTAATATTCGGTTCTACTTGGTCAATAAAAAAATGTTGTTGTTGATAAGCGTGCTGTTCAATATTTGTATCAATTTGATAAAAATTAAATACTAGTGGTCAATTGTACCTCATTAAATATTTCGTTTCAAAGTAATAGAAATCTGTTATGTATTTATTCATAATCGTTATTTTTATAAAGGTTCTTTTATCACTAAATATGTATTACATATAATTTTTATGGAAGTGATCTAAGTAATTATAATTACCTTTAAATCTATTTATTTTCATTTCATTAATATCTTTGTAGAATATAAGTATTTTAAATAAATAAATAGCCCTGGACAATTAACACAGCGCGATCCAGTCCCTCGGTAACCAGAGCATTTCAAACAAACCAGAGCGATACAAAACAAATATACTCAAGAATACAAATGTGCACCGTGCGATGAACCGAACCCGCGACCATCGGAAGTAAAGCGGAATGCTAAACCGCTAGAATACTGAGGTTTTTTTTTGAGGGTTGATAATGGAATGGTGCACCCGCCCGCGCTAACGGTTTACGCTGGCGGGGCACCAGTGGAGGATGATAAAATCACCATGAGGTCAGGTCAGTTAGCCCGTAGTGCAAATTCACCAGGAATTTACACGATGGTTTCCAGGGGGAACCGCGTGGAGGTCGACCTGACATGGTACATTGCTAGCAATGGGGTTATCAATCCACATTACTAACAATCCCCTTCCCCCTAGACTACTGAGGTTGTCAGTAATTAATATTGTATATAGAATCTTTAGGAATAAACTATAGTCACTGCAATTTAGAAACGAAGACGGAAAAAGATTAGCACAGACAAATAATTTAATTTAGTATACTTTTATATATACATACCTATAAATTTTATATTTTTACACTCCTCTATTTAATTATAGCAAATATCTGTCGCGCAATTGGTTAGAAAATGTGCATAAAGATATTTATTCCTCTAGGTAATAATATACATGTATCCATAACAGTTAAGGAATGCTTTAGTTATTGTTATTAGTATAAATGCCATAAGTAGATTATTAGTTAAAATGTCAAATATACACAATACAGACGTCGACATTTGACATAACGAATAGTAATGAGAGAAAATTGTAGAAGACACAAGTTCTTGTAACACTGACGCAACGTTTATGTATATATGCATTTATGTGTTGAGCCAATCAATATTTTCAAACTGTTCTAATACTGTTGGCTGCATCTGGCTTTTATAGTTTCACCGAACAATAGGGAGTGAGTGCAGATGGCACTCCAAACCAGCGGAAGAATTTACAGAACGGCTAAAGACCAACTCCTGTCTGAATGATACGACCTTAACCTGAGTGAACGGCTATAGGTTTTTACTTTGGGTCAGGTCGTCGTTTTTCGATTTCGATCCCCGTTTGAATAACACAGGAGGTCGATCAGAGGTTGTAAGTTGTTGGTTGATAATAATAGAGAGCATGGACATTTATTTGAAAATTATTATACACCCAAATACCTCACTATTTATATTAAATAAGTAGGTGCGCAGAGAAAATATTGACGTGCAAAATACTTGATTAGAAAACTTTGTAGTCCTTTATAAATATTATTTTTTTTTCAGTATAAATTTTTGTGTATACATGTATTTCATTGTCATCATTCACTTTTATACGTGCATTTACAATCTTCGGTTTCCAGGAAATTATTAGGATTTCCTGGAAACCGAAGATTGTAAATGCAAATGCATGTATAAAACAATTTATATTGCCCACATTTAAGAAAATTGAGTTATTTTGTGAAAGATAATTTCTAGTTATCTATACTACAGTAATAAGTGCGAGTGTGCGTGCCTATTTGCATGTATGTTGGTTATCTCTTCGCAACTATTCTTTTAAACGGATTTGAATGAAAAATTACATAATGATAGATTGCATTACGAGGAACGAAGGAGGCCTATAGAGAATTGCCATTGTATACTATACAGAATAGGGTTAGGACATAAAGGACATATCGGGGCAAAGACCAAGGAGACTATTTAACAAACTGAGCCAGTTATATCAAGAAAAGAAATGGACAACTGAAAATAAATTTATTACCCTGTTACTTAGAAAATATTTTATCACCCTCATACGAATAAGGTTTTTAAAAATATTTTCTCTTTTCTACTTTGTTTCTTGTCGAAAGTTATAAAGTTTCATAAACAGCTATAGCGTGAATAATATTCGTCAAACTGAAAAAATGTGTTTTGAGTTCTCATACAAAGTATACAATAAACAAGTATTTTGTACATATTATTTTAATAATTCAAACACGTGTGAAATATTACTCCGTATTTTTTTACTTACAATTAATATAATATGTTTAGTCTACAAGTTTTACAATTAATTACCTACGCGTTTAAAAGTCTAGTGCTATCAGTAAGTGAACTTGTGAGAAATTAATTAAAAGAATTGTTAGATTACTTAGTGCAATGATTTATTGTTATACTATAGAAATTTTATTCTAAAAAATACTAATCCTTAAAAGTCGAAGTTAGTTAATTTGGCCAATTACATACAATGACAATATATATCAATACCAATACATTTACAAGATAAAATGTTACTTAAATAGAAAACTATGAGAATAAGAGTACTAGATATAATGTTAAATACACGTAACAATAACCATTTTGTAAAATAAGTACGCCTGTTTAAAAGAAATAGCAAATCGTTGATTGGTAATAACTTAATGTTGCACTGCATAAAGTAGGCTCTATAGTGTGTCTAAATTAGCCTTTCCGATTGATCCCCTATTTCAAATGGATTAATTAGCTTATAATGAATCAAGCACTCTTTAGTACACTATCAATATATCGTATCCAAAATTCTCGCACCTTAGCATTTTATGTTAAGTAGCTGTTAGCAACTTACTATAAAATGCTAAGGTACAAGGCATTAGCACTTAGACTAATTGATCTATCTACTATACAATGCTGTGATTAGCTTAATTAACAAACGATAGAATGAGAATATGTGTTGTAATTTTAATTAGACATACATGAAACAACATTATGAGTACTTTTTGGTTAGGTAAAGTAAGAAATTCTATGTTCATAACCTTTCCATTACCTAAATACATAAAACACTGATTGAAAAAGTACACGTAAAAATCTGATGAGTAAATACAAAACACTAATTGAAAATCTAAAATTTCTAATCAGAAAATTTTCTTTCTACTGCGTGTATTGAATAATAGTCTGATAATGTAGAATTTTGTAGTTAAGAAAATTACGTATTACAAATAAAAAATCAAAGTTTCCACTTTATATTAATTTATAGAAACACGGGTAAGACTATAAAAACATAAACAAATAAGCGGCTAAAATGTCCAACATGAATAAATGATTTTTTAATTTGAATTTGATACTAGATACTAGATACCAGCGAATACGTAGTATGGATTTTAATGAAAATTTTGCAGAACACGATCTACTTAAATGTTGGATGCGTAGTGCACCAACTCCTATACAAAGTACACCGTACCCAATTTTATAGTAATACCTACAAGCAATATTATTCTCCGCAACGGTGTAACATCTGTTTAATAACGGATACAGCGTTTGCTAGGTAAAATTCATGAAACATAGTACGTTGCTTCTAGCTTATACTTGTTATCACTGAACGAACTGAATTTAATTAGGAAATAAATGAATATTTTTACTATTATTATTTTAAAAATATATTTTAAAAAAATGAATCTATATGCAATTTAATATCAAAAATAATAAAACAAGTAGATCAGAGACTGATATGTCGGTACAGTGATGTAGAATTTTTTTAATTTCTAATATACATCTGTATGTTAGTTATACCACAGATAACATAATATTGTTATACTAACATAATATGTTAGTATGTTATGTTATGGCATAATATCAGTTTCTGTGATTAATAATTGGTACTTATTCTTAACTTATTCTCGGTAAGTGCGAAGAAAAAGTGTTAAATTCAACATTTATTCTTCTTTTGTTATTATCGCAAGTAAATTTATGAATAATGTAATTGTCAGAGTTTGTTTCCAGGATACCGTTATATATATTAATTTTGTAAAAATACCATAAATTGCTTTTAACTAAATATATTAAAAAATACATTTCCTATTTATGTACCGGTATATATCACAAATTACCTTAAATAAATTTGTAAAGATAAAATAAATTTATATTATTATTATTTGTAAATCTAGTTAAAAAAATTAACATAGATGAAAACGATGTCAAGTTTGTTATCAGAGTGCAGTCAATCTATCGCCGTCAAATCAGCCGCGCTCCGGACAATCGCCTGCAATACTATTTTTATCCTAACGTTGGAAGCATGCCATCAGCTGTGCCCGTACGCCAGTACACTACATATAACTCCTGGGTAACGTACCTTTATCTCAAAAAGTCCCAATCATTAAATACTTAGCTGAAATTCTTGAGAGCAATCAATGAAATCCTCCAGTGTACTCAATGAGATGTGTTTAGAGTGTGTGATATTAATAAACCTTAGGGTTTGTGAGTGAAAATTGTTTAGTTAATCCGGCGATGGCGCCGTGACCGACCCGCGTCGGCAATGGCGCGCTATCGATGGACGTTAGCTCTAATTTTAATTTGTCTAACTGTTCTAGCGACAGTGATAACCGCATTCCGTATCCGCGATTTACCTAAATCTGCTCATGAAACCAATAAACCGGAATTAAGAACGCGAAAGTGTGAGAACTGTGAAGTGAATGAGCCTAAAGTTGGCTCCAAACTGCATAGTGTTAATAGCGAAAGTGAAAAGCGGTCATACGACGAAGTGAAGAAGGCAGTTCGAGAGAAGCAACAAATAATAAACCAAAAGAAAATTGAAAGTAAAGCTACTTTAAAGGTCAAGGACGAGAGTGAAGTATATAAAAACGATGACGTGGATTTATTAAGAAAAACTGGTTTCAAGAGCCAATCGCAATTAAAATTTGAGCAATCAGGTAAACCCGAAAGTAAGATATTAGAAAATATTAAAAAGCCCTTAACCAAAGATATTGATAACTCCGACAATGATGACGACGATGACGATTCCGATGACAATACCGGAGACACTAAAGATAACACAAGGAATATTAACAGAAAAACAAATAATGTTAAAGTAGATTCTAAACATGTATTTAAAGAAACAAAAATAATTAAACCCGCACTGAATGTAAAAGAAAGAGCTACAAACGATGATGATGGTGATGATGACGATGACGATGACGACGATGATGACGATGACGATAATGATCACGATGACGATGACGATGATGACGACGATGATGATGGTGAAGAAGGAATTAAGATTTCTATAACTAAAAAAATTATTACAAAGGTCCCAGAGAAAAGTGGACCTAAACCAAAAGATGTTCGAATAACAAAGGATACTAAAGATAAACCTAATGAAAAAAGTCAAACAAATGAGCTTAAAACAAAAGCAACTACGAACGATGATAAAATAAAAGCGGTTGAAAAATCAGATCGCATAAAAAACGAGAAAAAAAAGTCAGACATTAAAGCTAAGGAAGGTGAACATAATCCTGCACAAAAAAAGGAAACAGAGAAAGTCAAACCTATGCAAAAAGAAGAATCAAAAGCAATAGATGATAAATCGCAAAAAGAAAATGTTAAGCAACAAAAAGAATTGCCTAAAGATACGGTGAAACTGAAGAGTCCTGATGAAAAAAAGTCACCGAAAAAAGAAGATAATGATGATTCTAGGAAAAATAAGGAATCAAGTCAACAATCAAATAAAAAAGACGACAAAACTAAAGAAACATTAAAACTAACTGAAACTAAAAAATCCAAAAACGATATGGATAAAAAAGAAAACCAGGAAAAGCCTCAAGCAAAATCCAAAGAAACTGCTTATAAAAGCAAAGAAGTGCCTTCAAAGAGTGACAGTAGTTTAAAACAAGTTACAGATGCCTTGCAACGGCGTAATTTACTTCAAAGTGAATTTGAAGACTTCTATGCGTTCTTTCCAACGTTTGCACCCAATTTCTCCCGTATACATAATTCAGAATGCCGTCGTCAAGGACAAATACTTTTGAGACAATTACGTGGAACAAAGTTATGGGCTTTGAATAGTAAGTGATATTTTTTTAATGTAATTAATAAACAGCGTTACGGACATCACGCAGACACGTGATGTCCTTACGTTGTTGGTCGTACGTTGCTAATCCGAGGGCTTCGCTTATATGTCTGTGGTTCTACTTCCATACTCTGCATAGCAAATCGAAATACAACTTACAAAACGAACCGCTTGTTGGCTGAAATACATAGAGGCCAGAGTGATTAAGTCTACTTCTGTAAGATTTTATTGATAATTTTATGTAAATCATATTATTATAATATTATAACAATAACGTTACTATATGATCACAACTATTTCATTAATGATTTAAAAATATATCATCGATTTGATTGCTTTGCAACTAATCTACAGCACCATCTGTAGAAATAAATAATTTATTTATGTTGGCAACGATTCAGTAATTTCAACACATGTGGCGATAAAAAAAATGTTATTAATTCTGTAGTCAGCTAATGGGAGGTAATGTACTTCTAACACTGTCGAGCCAAAACAATTTTACTCCATATTATACAGTGTTCATAATAATATGATATACTTGCTGTGTCCGCGGTTTCACCCGCGTGAAATTTATAGCCTATGTGTTATCCTGATGTATCGGCTATATTAACGTAAAGTTTCATTAAAATCCGTTGAGTAGTTTTTGTGTAAAAGAGTAAAAAACATCCACCCATACTCACAAACTTTCGCGTTTATAATATTAGTATGTAATATTATATTATCTGTGATATTAGTAAGATGTGTAATAAATAAGTTGAAGTTTTTAAAAAAAAAACTAAGATGTAACAAGTTTGAAATTGTAAATGTAACACTAAGGTAAATGTAAACAAAGCTTGTATGTCTAAAATAACTGTGCAATGTCAAACATATAAACCAAATGAGTGTGTTGTAGCCATTCACCGCGTAGCTACATGATGTTTACAGAACGCAAGTCATTGCACGAAGAGCCAATATAAAAATGAAATTATATTTTGTAAAAAAGTATACAATTTTTTTCTACGCGTGGGCAAAGACATTGTTTTTACGTGATACCTGTGGGCATAAGCTGTTTTGGCTTCAAATCCTGTAATTCTACTGTCATATTTTACCATTCAATCGGAACACAGCTTACTAGATTCCGGCAGATATCTTTGCAAGATAGACGGCAGACAAGATAGGTGGGACAAAGAGGTTCAATAATAGATTTATTATACGATAAAGGAAAATATATATTTTTAATATTTCATGCAAATATTCCGAAAATAAGTTTTCACACATGTCGCACATGCACAGTAATGTCATATGAACGAAAGTTGCGGGCAGTCATTAGTATCACAATAAAAATGTTGGCACGTAAGCACTGCACACATGTAGCGACATTAGTCGTGAGGGATTTAATTTTGTCTTCAAATTACACACAGAGTATCTTTTGTATTCTGGAAACCATCCAGGTTAGTACCTGGTGAATTCGTCACCAGGTGCTCTCTGACCTCATCTTATCCTTCATTGGTGTCCCGCCAGTGTATACCATTACTACAGGCGGGTCGACTATTAATTCTTTAAAATAATGTTCTATAAAACACGATCTTACTATTAACCATATTATAAATTTCAGAATTGAACAATGTACTTCGATGTTTAATGCTCAATTAATATAGACTTTAGTATAAACTACGTAGGCGTATATTTAATATACAAATCACTTCATGATATGATAAACAAATCATACAAAAGTGATACAAACATATACACACTGTTATATATCAATAAACAGTTTAAAACAAACAAAATGTTTTTGAAAATATTCAAAATCACTCGCTTCGCTCCGCGGGTAGAATAAAACGTGCATATGAGATTTATGCCAATTAAAATCCATACAACCATATCTCGAGAGTTAAATTAATAGAATATTTACTCATTGTATCGCATAGAATATATATATCTACTAATATATAATCCTATGCTGTACGGTAACATAATTCAGCCACACCTCTAAAAACATTTGCGTGTTTAGCATTCCCTGCGGAATGCCACAGTAATACCACATATGTACAGTGTTAGTGTTTTTTTTTACAGTGCTCGACGCAACTGCGAAGATCCCCTCGGGATTGCTTCAAGGTAATGGGATCCAACTGGGAGACTTCGACCAGTGTTTGGGAAGCCGCGCACGAGTTCAGTTGGAGACTGGCAGCGTTGTCAAAGTGCAAGGGAAGTACTGTTTGGCTCGATTGGATTTGAAAGCAGAACATCGCGAACTGGAGGTGCCCGTCCATTTGGCTCAGGCCAAGAACCTGTTCAAGAGTAGGATCGATGATGTGAGTTCTAGTTTATTTTATATAGTTTTTGTTCATTATTTATGTCTTTGGAATAGTAAATAAGCTGATGGCTCACCTGATGCTAAAATTTTACCATTGCCTATATTCATGAACAGGATCACGGTTCATGGCTTCAGGTGACGCCAGTGGCAGCATTTATGCGTTGCCATTTTGGAGGACTAAGATATCATGCAACCGTATCCTGTAATTTCACTATCATATCTCAACCTTCTACCAAAATACAGTTTGTAAAGTATGTTTGGCACTAGAAAGGGGTAAGACAGACTTTTCGCGAAATGATCGAAACGATTATGATGAATGACGATCGTTACAATATATTTGTAGGAATCTGTATTTTTAATGATTGTTACTCGTTCATTTAATGTGACAGCCTCGATGGTCTAGCATCTAAGCACACCGCTTTACTTCCGATAATCGCGGGTTCGATTCCTCGCACGGTGCAAACATTTGTATTTATGAGTGTGATTGTTTGAAACGGTCTGGGTATTTTCTATGTATATTGTGTATGTATTTACAAAACTCAAAATCTCATATTTATATGAGTCGTCTAGGACTCGTCGTCATAACACAAATTCTGCTTACCGTGGGACTGGACTAAATTTTTTTTTCACCTATAGACTTATAGGTGAAATAATTATTTTAATATCAGTTAAGGATTACTTGAGTTTGTACGTTATTAAAAAATCCTGTTTACATTATGACATTACCTTAGACTATATATTTAGCTGTATCATAATTTGTTCAGCCAGGTCACTTTGTGCCGCGTTTTTCAACGCTAAGTTGGGGCATCTGCGTGCCCTCCGCCTGCAATCCGCAGGATGTTGAAGTGGTGGTCAAAGATGCCCTCATGCACTATCAGCACGTCAGTGGATTGGTCATACGGGTTAAAGTGGACAGCAGGGACTGTCAAACGACGACAGGAAATGAATGGTGGGAAGAATGGATGCAGCTTCCAACACTTTTAACATTGTGAGTTGATATATCAATAATCCTTACTAACATTATAAATGTGAATCTGGCTGTATGTTTGTCGTGCATTCACACCAAACTACTGAACCGATTTAAATGAAATTAAAAGCTAGAAGCTTTAAATATATTTTTTAGGCTGTTGATTATTAATATTTATAAATATGACATACAAAGTATATAAAAAAATACCCTTAAGATGAATAAAATAAAATGCTATTTAAGGTTACGATACCGAAGTAGCGGACACTGCTAGTAATATATATAATATATATTGGGTGAATAGTCTGCGGTATATAATAGTCGACATATAAACTTATGAGGATTTTTTTGGTAATTATCGAACGGCACTGAGCGTTACATTTAAACGTTAGGAAAAAAAAACGAAATTGAAATACGTTACATAGTTTACAAGAAGTAAGCGGAGAAATACATTTTTGATAGTAAGTAAATAAGATAATTCCATCAAGTACTAAATGTTTTGTTTTTATGTAATTGCATTATTTGGTCGGCTATGATAGTACTAACGCGTTACCATTTTGGAGGACTGAAGATAGCCTCGGTACCCTTTCGTTTTAATGCCTTATCTCATCCTTAAACTTATAAAGCTTGACGGTAAAATAGGTGACAATTTTTCACAGATTCTACCTCTATAATTAGTTTTTAATTGAATTGTTTTTTTTTCATTACAGAGCCTTCTATGCTGTCATTATTCTATTAGTATTTCTGGCGACAGTTCAAGATTTCTTTGCTAGGAGACAATCTGAAGACACTGATAATCCAGAGGAATCGACTGAGGTAAAAGAGATGAAAGACAATGAAAAAGAGAAAGAATCAAGCAAACGACCAGGTAATTACTTATTTATAGGTACGTGGAAAACTAATATTGTCTAGACAACATCTGTTTTCATGAATTGGTGATGTTTTAGTAACGATAGTGTTTTTATAATGGACAAGCTATTACCCACGGATTCGTCTGCTTTATTTGAGATAAAATATAGACTGTGGCCGCCCACGTCTTCTTCATCTTCATGTGATCACGTTCATGAAGATTCGTTCTCACTTTTCATGAAAGGTTCGCAAACATACAGACAAGACACATTTTTAATAGGATATTAGGATAGGATTTATAAAATATTCGTGTAGAATAATTATCTCATTGTAGGTACTCGTAGGTACTTTAATAAAAATTACCCTGGACAACTCACACAGCGTCATCTAGTCTCAAGCAAACATAACTTGTGATACCAAACAACTGATAGAATATTTAGATACATTTTGTAAATACACATATACGCATGTTTGCAGTGGGTGAGGAATCTAACCCGCGACCATCAGAAGTAAGACAGTGTGCTAAAGCCTAATACCGCCGAGACCGTAATTTACTTTATATATTAGTCACAATTTAGGTATAGTTACAAAAAGAAAAAGATGAAAAAATATTATTTGTAACATCAATATATAATAATTTTACAACAAAACGATGTCGCAATTTGTCGTCAACATGACCGCCACTGCAACATGTGCAAATTAAATTGCTGGTATTCTGTGGTAGCCACGTGTGTTACGAATGAATATAAATCATAGCTATACAAAATATGCAAGCGAAATAATGATTGATGAATAATAAAAAACTGATCAAAATATGGCAGCAACATACATGTCCTTTGCCTATCTAGTGAGAAAAAAATAGTTTTACGTACATACTTTACTTATATGTTATATTTCCAACAGAGTAATATAACAATTTCAAATTAAACTTTATTTGAAATTGCGAGCAGACACTTAAATTTTATTTATCTAAACTATTGTTATTTATGAAACAATAATTTTATTGTGATATAATTACTATATACATAAAAAGCGGCATAGTTGCAAACTTAGCATTTGTAAAACTCGTGTGCGCTGATTTTCGTTTATACCTACGCGAGAATTGCGAAGAATACAACTTAATTATTAGGTATATACCTTAATGCCTCGTCTGTAATTAACAAAGTATATTATAGTATAGTACGGGCACATAAAAAAACAAATGAGCATAGTGGATTAGTAGTTTACAACTATAACCAGTTGTCGTGAGTTGGAATCAGGGCGACCCCATATCAAAATAGCTTCATTCGTGTAGGTATTTTTGGTTTGGTTCTGTTTACTTTTAAAGGAAAGGCAAGTCAAAATCCCGCGCATAATTTTTTATACATACTATATCAAGAAACCTATAAGAAATATGAAGTACTTATATGTAGTGTGTAGGGGAAATAGCCACAAGAGATTCTGTTTCTAGGTAGATAGTAAAATAAATGAGCATAAGTTTAAATTAATATTTTTATTAAACTTATTTATATTTTTATTGACTTTCGAGGATCTTTAGTAAAAAGATTTCGTGAAAGAATCGCCCATACCACAGATAACAAAATATTACACCATACATCTACAAGTTTTTATACAGGCTGTGTGTTTCATATCATCAAATCCACCAGTTCAATTCCTGGCCAGTAATTATAATTTTACAAAAATCTGATGTTTTATTTTCAAGTTGACGCATAATATTGTAAATCACACAATTTCCCCCCTGAGTACGCCCACGTTTGCAATGTATAAAATAAAGAAAAAATATAAAACAACCATAAAAATCAAATACATATATCAGCGACATCTAACGTCGAGTGGAATAAATTAATGTTGTGGTCATCTTCCGAGTTCACGGCTATGATTCCTGTTTCAACATCTCCGATTATATTATCGACATGTTAGCTGGGTCACGGTTACTAATTGTTTTATATGTAAACATCTAAGCAATTTAAATTCGATTGTGTAATGACTACAGCGTATTAATAATGCATCATTGTCATTTATCGTGTACACATTTTATGTATACATAATTACTGCGTCTTAATTAAGGTTCATGTAGTCATAGTTCAGTCACTAGAATAGATTTTGCGACAAAACCTCCCAATATTTATTATATAAAAATAATTCTTACTTCTTACATCGATCCTTGTCTCATTGAAACGGAACTCGACTTCATTTTTTTAAAGAACCGAAACCACCCTTTGTTTATGACGATATTCCTATTATAATCGTGAAATTCACACACTTATTATACAGAAGGAATCGAGCTCGCAACGGATTCGATTCCTTTTAGGTTAAACCGCTAGACCAGCGAGGCCGTCAATATTTATTGGTAGTACAAACCTTGTGTAGTTAATAGGACCTTAATACGAATTGTATGATATGTTTTTTACTAAGACTAATTACGGTTAAAACTGGAGCAGCACTGAATAAATACTCTATTAATGTACTGTTATATTAATGGAGCAATATCCGCCCTCAAAAGTAACTACATTTAATTTCTCCAATGGATAAGCTACTACTACTTAATAACATAATTAGTATATATTATATTATCAAACGATCTAACGAATTAAAGAAAAGATCTGCGTACTACATAGTTAACGTTTCACTTTTAGATCGCCCATTTGCAATTGGACGGATGTATTTTTTTTCTAGATTTTGAAAAGTATAGTAGGCACTTAAATTTTTATGTCAATTTATATATTATTTAATTAGCAAGTTATCTATTATCAAACTTTTGCTTATCTCACAAAACATACATAATGTATAACGTTAAGTTTCGACATTGCTTGTACATATTTAATAGGCGTTTCCAAATTGCTACTGAATCATTGATTTCTCTCGATTGGCTTATTTAACCCAAATTATATTATAAATAGTTGTTTCATAAAATATTGACGATAGTTTCAGATTAGTTACTTATATTATGAAAATTAAAAAATATATGTACATAGTAATATGGCAATTATTATATGTAATATTTGTATAATGTATAAAATTCATTAAATTTTAAATAATTGTCACAAATTTTTGCATCGCCAACAACTTGTTTATGCACCATCAATGGTTGATTGCTAGAAAATGCAACAAGATTTTAAGTCAATATTAATGATAAATATTTTTTTACGTAACAATATGTAATATTATGTTATCTGTGGTAACAACATCTACAGTGCCAATATTTCCCAAATTAATAATTTCATTTTATAACATTATTAAATTTCTCATTATCAAATGTGTACAGATGATCAATCGGGCCGATCTGAAGGGTTTAATCTAAAGTTTTCACAGATACAAACTTTAGGTCTAACCAACGAATCAACTGCCATTCAATTTAAATTAATTCTATTATTATTTCTTTTATTAGATGGTTTCGTCAGTGCCTTCTCTCTGTACCGCACTGTTGACAAGTTGATTGCGCCCGGAACTGCAGATGAGATCTCCTGCATCCACGGCATCAGGGGATTGGCCACTATTGCTCTACTGCTTGCACACAAGTTCTTGCCTTTAGCTGTTACGCCATACACAAACCGTGTGAAGATTGCTGAGGTTCGTAATATTTATTTATATTATTGAAAATGTAAATATACCTACTCCGACTTGATGGAAATTGACAATCGTGGCCTATATAAGCTACGACGCATCATTTGACGCCTATGGAAATTGACAACGTGATATCCTAGACGCTGTACATGTAATATACATGTAAAGCGTCTAGGATATCACGTTATCATTTGACGCCTATGGTATCAGATATTGATATTTCTGAGGGGTAAATAACCTCAGCCTCAGCAATAGACCTAACACCCTGTAAATTCACTGCCATATCTCGCAAAACCGAAAAAGTAAAGCCTGACAAAGAAAGATGCTTGAAGGCTGAAATAGGCGAGACAGAGATATATTCGTATTTTGTTTAAGACGTGCGCGGTTCTTTACTTTTCATCATAATTATATTCCAAGTATAAAAAAGACCAGCTACAATGTGATATATTTAGTTTTTTTATATTTACTAAAAATATATGTACTATATTTTGTTGACTTCGAAATTTATGCAGTTCCGCGTGGGATATGATTCTATCCAGAGTTGTTGTTGGTAATATAAACAGAGCCTGGTCAACTTGTCTTATAAAAACTATTGCTTATTTTTCAGAGACCTTACCAATAAAATTAAACAGGAAAACGTTATCAAAAATGAGATTTGTACGAAAGTTTTATTTATGTTTTCGAGATATGTATAAATTTACGTATATTTAGATAATTTTTAAACTAGTATTACTCAGGATTTCACTGACTGTTTCTTTTCAATGACATGACGCACATGACATATTCACTATCGCACCGAATCGCATCGCTTGCGCTATTCCTTTCTTTCCTTTTGCGTTAATTTCTTTTTTTTTTGATCTTCTGAGGACCTTAGCGTAATGTTTAATAGTCTGTAACTATGTTTTAGAATACTGTTAGCAAATGTAAAAAGGTTTTTTGATATCCGGACGTTAGCGCGCTAAAATAAACAAACTTACTTTTAATTTTTTATTCATACTAAGAAATAGTATTAGTCGTTTAATATTGTATTTTCGGGGATGTTAAGCACTTATTACTTTCACAAGATGGGTAGCTATCTACTTACTATTGAATTTATTACTTTCACTAGTCCGTCTAGACATTCATAATTAATTTATTGTTTAACTAAGACTTAAGGTTCGCAATGTAATTTATCGACGATGGATGAAAGCATTCCACTATTCAAGCATTTTAGATTCACTGTTCAAACCCACAAAGGTCATTTTAGATTAATTTAAAGTGCTTTGTTTCTGAAGCGTACGAATCGAATCCTTGCCCAGCTTCTTAAGTTTTGTTCTCTGTAAACGTACATTGTAAATGAGAGATAGCTAAGAGCATTTTTATATATTTCTTTTAATATTTTATTTCTAGTCTATACTATATATGTTGGATATACATCTGTATATCTGAAAATCCAAAATTTTATCAAATGGAAATATTAGAGGGAAAATTAATTAATGCTCTATTAATAATTTTTAATGCCTAAAAATAATTCATCAACAGCATCAATAGTTATAAGTTCGGAGGGGCCCGAAAAAAATACTAGTAAATTTTAGAACTGTAACTGTTTTATAAAAATTTATTTATGTGATAAATAAATAAACTAATGTTATTATTATTAAAAATGTTTGCTTATTCGTTAAGTTGGTAAATATTCATTTTATTTATATTATTAATATAAATAATAATTAAATTAAATATGTTAATTATGTCATCTAAATTAATTGTTAAATTTAAACCATCAATAGTAAGATAAAATTAAATTGAAAGCTAATAATGTTATTAAAATAATTATATGACGAAATGAAAATTTTGATATTATATGCAATTCTTGGTACTTAAATAAATAATACTAATAGTCCTATTTATTATTTTTCTTTCTTTCTTTCTAATAAATTCAAATTCAAACATCATTTATTCATGTAGGACATTTTAGCCGCTTATGAACGTCAAATTTTTACATTATAATTTTATTTTTTCCCTACCTAATTAATTGAATGAGTGTAGTTAAAACTCACTTTGTTCCATGTTCCAGCTATTATACTATGCTTTATGTATTTCTGGTTTAAATCCATCTTCATTTCGCCGGAAATATCCATTCCCCTGAGTATGGCGATACGTGCACATGGTACGTTCAAATGACTCATGTTTTTAATATTCTACCATGTCGGCACTGATGAAATGGTTACTGGATCAAGGTAGGATCTGATTTTAAATTGCAATCATTGAACCACGTGTCTATGTATATACTTTTATTAGTATTGTACTCCCGTCATTGTCAACTGATTGACTCCAAAAAGGACGTTTTTATATTCAACTTGGTGTGCCCATGACTTTATTCGAGTAATAAATAATTTATTAAGCAAGTGATGTTTGCGTGCTCATTATTGACTTTTTTTTAATGCATAATTACTTAGTTATAATCTTTACATAATATAAAACGAAGTCGTTTCCGCCGTCTGTTCGCTTAGATTTGTTTTACTACGCAACGGACTTCAGCAATAGGTAGAGTGATTCAAGAGGAAGGTTTATATGTATATTATATGTACACCTGTGTGAAGCCGGGACGCGTAGCTAGTGTATATTTTAAAATAATAATAAAATTATTAGCTACAATTTATTAGTTTTTTTGGGGATTACTTATTTATTCATAAAAAGTTTAATGTTCTGTAATTATATGAAAAAAAAGAAAAAAAGGAGTGAATTCCTCTATAATTATTATAGAAGAATGTACTTTTCTTTTTATTTCCGACTGTGGTTAATGATTGATGTAATTCGCTTCTGGCTCGGAGACTATAAGCACTAAATAGGAATAAGATTTTGACCGGTACATATGACGTTTATTTTTAAAACATTTTCCAGACAGTAAGCTCTGCCATTTGGTCATGGTGCCGAGCTGGTTGGATGTACACGGACTGCTTCCTACTCCTCAGCGGAGCGCTGATGGCACACCGTTTCACCAGCGCTAGTGCTCCTAGAAAACTCCTGTCTAGATATCTCAGGTAAAATAATAAATTATTAACTGTCATCGTGGAATCAGTAACTATTCATATACAGTTGATATCCCTGCAGCTCGTACCAACCGATTTGCACCGTCTTTCCTTATGCTAGCCGCGAAGGAGCAGAACTCTCTCTCAGCATCAGTGTTTCCTGCCTATTGTAAGAACATTGGGACTTTCAAATCAAAGAAATTTACATAGTAGGACAATCCTACAAATTACATTTTTTGTAACAAATTTCATATAATATAATAAACACAATGAAATTTGTTACGCACGTAAATCATATTCTAAATTTGCTAATAAGCTATACAAGATTCAGCTATTGTATAATATGACCTATTGAGTAGATAATACCAGTAGTGACATCAATTGATCAATAATATGATGAAAAAGAAAAATAATCTCCATTACCCTCTTTAGTCTCCCCAGCATACTAGCTCCATATATATATGTATTGTATATGTTTCTACTAAAGTTATCAGAAATTAATATTTATTTGTCCAATATGACAGTATCTCATTTATATTTAATGTGATGATCAATTCTTTGTTGAAATTATTTTCTTGATAATAGAAATAGTGGCTGTCTACATTGTGGCTTCTTATTTCCCATAATAATTTATATTTTTGTTACATTATTACAACATAATACTTATTTGATATAATAGGTATGATAACATTTGTTACTTGGCAAATAATTGTGGATTATTTAAAACGCCTGTAATTATCTAAGTAGCAAACTTACGTATTTGTAAATATGAATACTTTTTTCTCAAAGGTCGTATGCGACGTGCCCAATTACGAAACTATATAATATTAGATTATAATATAATAACATAATTAGAAAATTATATTACGAATAAAAAATAAAATTCGCCTGTATTTCTTATTTATTTATTAGTTTAGATTACTTTCGCGTCACATATTAGGTAGATTACTTTATTTTTTCTATCGTTTCATCGTTTAGTGTCCATTTTAACATTGGATTTTGAAATTATATGTAGACAGAAATTCTGATAGTAATATTATTTGAGGAGTTTATTTGTTTGGACTCTAATGGTTCAGCTGTCACACCGCTAATCAAAGCGCTTGACAGTTGGATTACAATTCCAACATTCAAATGATTTATTCTGTGGTTTTAACAATGTCAATGTTATTTAATATTTCAAATTATTGGACAGAATTAATAACCGGTAGTTTAGTCAAGTGTAAACAAACAGAATTATTAGCATGTTTATTCGATCTATATTAATTTTGTATGAAGAGTGATGTGATAAGGAAAAAAGAAAATCAGTTGAGTTTCTTGCCAGTTCTTTTCAATTATCTGTATACTGAACTGCACGGTAGGGAAAAATATTAATAAAAAAATATTTAATTTCATAAGACGCTACAATGAACTACATGAATAAATGTTTTTTTATTTGATTTGATTTGAGAGGTAAAATACTAGTTATTTTGACTTGTAATGAAAAGGGAAGTACGAGTAACCACTCGTACTTAAGTTGCGTTATAACTTTATATCAAGTATTTAAGTAAATACCTGATGTAAAGTTATAACGTAACGTCTGTTAACCATAATTCCATACTAATATTGTAAATGCAAGTACGCCCGTCTGTAGGTGTGTAATGTTTTCGCGGGTACAGTTGAACGGCTTGAAGATAGATTATTTTATTTTCTATACACGTAAATTAATTAAGTAATGATTGTAGAGATCTGGCTGTGACTTCGTACACGTGCTATTCGAAATAACAATAAATTAAACAACTATTTGTTTATTAATCGATTAAATTCAAATAAACACAAAATATAACGGCAAGTTGCTAGTGAAAACCATTAGACAAAACCTCATTCAAATAAGTTCACCCATTAATTTTGTAACGCAAGTACTGCGCCTATATCCTAAAAAATTAACACGCGCCACGTGATCGCTACTTGTGATGAGACACCGACACTATGTATGATTACCTAAAAAGTACTCTTTCAGACTTTCACCAGCTCTGCTAGCTGTCGTTCTGTTCTATGCTTATATTTGGGATAACATCTCCGAGGGACCTATGTGGGGTACATTTGTGACGAAGAACGCCGAGGTCTGTCAACAGGGCTGGTGGTGGAATCTACTATATGTCCAGAACTATTTCGGCTTTGAGGATATGGTAAGTTCCAGTATGCACTGTTGGAATAATTCTAATACTTGTATGATCTTCATTGATGAGTAAGCTCATATATAAGGGTAATATCATCACCGCTTGTTTGTTGTATACGAATATTATGAGAGAGGGACAGAGGTATAGATAGAAAGCGACGAGGCTTTTTTACAGCGAATTATATATTACGCTTTTTTCATATTATATTCTATAAGATTATTATACTTCCATCATCTTTAATACAAAATAAGACGTAATTATTTATAAAAGTTTTAAAATTAAAAATTAGGTACTCTTTTTAATATAAATACCATTACTTTTGAGAAATGATTACACATATATAATTTTGACTAAAAATTAGACTTTGTAAGTTTTATATCATTATGTACTGATTTTACATATGTAAATACTTAATGCATAGCAACCTTGTTTTTAGTTAGGACTGTCTTTACCCGGGTGTATAAGGGGTGCAGCCGTACCAAGGCGAGGATTCGTAGGTGTCCCGAGTGCTAGAGATCTGGTTTTATTACAATTTCTAAACTCAATCAATGTCAATATCATTTATTACTTATTACTTATATCATTTATTACTTACTTACTTAACGGTTTACCGTTAAGTAAGTAAGTAATAAATGATATTGTTTAACCGTTTATTACTTACTTACTTAACAGTAAACCGTTAAGTACAATTTGTTACGTCAAAAGCTGCCTCGGATCAGGGGGGTGGGGCAACACGGGGCTCATGCGCCGGGCACCAAGTTCTGGGAGCGCCAAATTTGAACTTGGCAGATAGTTATATATGAATACACAATTCATAATTTTTGATGCTCCTTTGATAACTTTTTGAATGAGCGCAACTTTTAGGTTGTCTCGAAAAAAAATGAATATCAGGAGCTGGTCAAATACATAAAAAAAAAACTAAAAATAATATAAAAGAAATATAATATAATCTTATTATTAATACAATAAACGCAAAAGTTTGTGAGTATGGGTGGATGTTTGTTACTCTTTCACGCAAAAACTACTGAATGGATTTTGATGAAATATTTACAGTAATATAGCCTTATACATCAGAATAACATATAGCCTATAAATTTCACGCGGGTGTAACTAATTGACAGACACTGCTTCTAATTTAACTATGATATTACATCTTGGTTATACTCGTACATACATCGAATGTATAGGTTGTTTCTGTATACTCATAGTTGCGAATATTGCATTGCCAAATATTCCACTCTGTATAACATGCATGGCATAAAGTATTTCAGTTTTATGACGTGAGTTTGCATTCATTTTAATATGAGATTTTATATAACTCCGTTTTCATTTTAAAACGTTTTCCCACAATATAAGGCTGAGGTAGAGCTATCTTGACAATAAACTCGGAGAATGCAAATAAAATGGCAACAAGTTTTATTTCAACAAAATTTTTTTTTTAATTTTGACTTCTTTTATGAATGAAAGGGTTTAATATTATATATATATATACTAGCTTTTGCCCGCGGCTTCGCTCGCGTTAATTTATCCCCTTAGGGGTGGAATTTATCAAAATTATTTCTTAGGATGATGGATGCCTACGTCATAGTAGCTTTATGCATGCAAAGTCTCAGTCCGATCGGTTTAAAATTGACAAAGTTTCATACACTCTTTAATCCCCTATTTTATCCCATTGGGGATAGAATTAATCAAAATCCTTTCTTAGCGGATGCCTACGTCATACGTCATAACGTCCAGTGGTTTGGGCTATGCGTTGATCACTATGTCAGTCACCTTTGAGTTATATAGTTTGGGTCAGTGCCGTGACCATAGAGACAATTTTATTTACAGATTTCATTATTATTTCTTATGTATGTTAGTCTATATTTATAATATGGGCCATAAATAAATAAAATAAAAATATATATAGATATATATAAAAACTGATATACTTACGTCCATAGATATATTATAGAATATATCAATAGCATGTAGTATTTATTCTTTATTTTCAACAAAACCCGTTTCCCAGTTCTTCTTATTTATGCTGACCTCGGCGGCGTAGTGGTTTAGCATACCGCGTTGCTTCCGATGGTTGCGGTTTTGATTCTTCGAACGATACAAACATTTGTATTCATGAGTATGATTTTTTAAAACATTTGTTATATCAGTTGTCTAGTACTTAACACAAGCTCTGCTTAGCTTGGATTATTATTATTTTATGCAAAAAGAATAACAAAGAAGCTGATTACCTAGTGGTGATAAGTGGCAACAATCACCAGTATATATAAGAAGAAACACATGTCACAAATTGGTCATCACTTGAAATGTGTTTGAAACCTACAAAAAAACATTCTGTATCCAGTGATGTAAGAAAGATTATAACTATTTATTTTCAGTGTGCACCACAAACGCACCAATTAGCACTGGACATGCAGCTTACTATACTTGGCGGGATTGTAGTTTGCGGCATACAAGCCAATGAAGGAATCTCTAGATTCGTACTGCCGATATTTCACGCAGTCTCCGCATATTCAAGATACACAACTGTTCGTGATCATCGCCTCACCATGCTGGCTTACCAGGGAGCCAGGTAAGATTTATTTACATATGAATACATTCACTTACATGATGTATTTTATTATTTACTATTAAAGTAATATGCTTTAATGCAAAATGTCTAAACACAAATCTTATACTAGCTGACCCCGCAAACGTTGTCTGCCATACAAATTAAAATCGCTTTTAAAAAATTGGGGTTGGTGATAGACGAGTGAAAATTTAGGGTTGTATGTTTAGGGTAGTATGTTAGGTAGTAGGGTTGGTTGTATAAATGCCACATTATGAAAAAATAATTTGTCCTAAATATAAGAAAAAATGTTAGGGGCAGAAAACCAGTACTTTTTGACTATCACTTAGGGATATGAAAAATAGAATAGTAAGCGATTCTCAGACCTACTGAATATGCATACCTATAAAATTTCATAAAAATCGGTCAAGCCGTTTCGTAGAATATGGTAACTAACATTGTGACACGAGAATTTTATATATATATTAATTTTCTGGAATAATAAGCTACAATATTTTGCCTAAGGCAACTAATATTTATAAAGCTTCTCGAATTTTATAACCATAGTCTCATCTAGTAATGAAATTCAATATTCAGGTTACCTAATTAGATTCTGTTCACCACAGATTGGTTTACCAATAATGTGTAATCGGAAACTGGTGCTCCTAAAATAATTTATATAAATATATCTGTAGGATTTAGTATACCTACATTCAGTCTATATAATAGTAGGTATTTAATTTCTTATTATGGTAGTAAATAGTTTTATTGTCTGCTTTTGTAGTGATAAAGTAAAGTTATGTTCATTCTCAGGAAGTGACCGATCTTTATGACCATATGATTCGTTTCCACCCGTTAAAGGGTAACGAATAGATAGACAGACAGATACACTTTCGCATTTGTATATGGGTCTGTCTGGCAAAATTGTTTTATGAAACGGGTTAATTAATATAACTAAATGAATTAAATTTGGTGTGCCTTTTTTATTTCGATCTTTTCATTATTCCGTGTCATTCCCAAAAAATTCTAAAATACAGTTGAACTCTTTATATAATGATGTATTAGATATATCTCAACATTTAAATTATTATAAACAATCAGCGAATCATAGAAAATCTTCGCTTCAGTTACAGATTATGTAAAAAAAGAATTATTTTAGAATCCTATTTTAATTTTGCAATGTTTTGTGAATGTTTGAATGAGAATTGTTGGATTATAAATATGTACTAAGTAAAAAACAAGAAATGGACAGTATTTTATATAAAGAAAGGAAATTTTGTAGAAGGTAGGAGAAATATTTGAATTCGCCTAGGAAAAATGTCTTCACGCTCCGAACACTGCAAAGTAACATTATACTCACTCACCTTTGCCCAAGAACTTCCCGATGCAACGTGTAGTTTATACAATAGTTTAATGATCACTTACTTTATAGTGTAGATTTATTAATAAGTTTTATATTAATTCTATATTTTTTTGTTTAAAATAACAAATTCGAAGTGTCTTTTTTGTAACAGTTCCATTTTCAATTTCAATTTTTTCTACATTTAAGTGGCGATACGCATTTTCCTGGTGGCCAGTACTTTCGAATGCCTTTTGCTCGAAAAGTAACCGAGCCGGTAATACAACCTGTTTATACTAAGGAAGTGTTCGGAATACGTAACAATAATAATATTCCGATTATTGGGTGGTAAAAATCATATTAAATATGTTCATAATATGTTCGTGCAGATCTTTAAAGCTGACAGTGCAGTATAGATATATTGTCGAAGATATGTATAAATAATATATACAAGTACAGATGTGTACACGCTATAAGAATACTGTAAGCGCAATCTGTATATCATATATGTGGATGTACATAACACAAAGATTGCTTATGTTGTTTGTAATCTTTGTAATTTACTGCTTTCTATACAGAATCAATAGGAGATATAATGATAAAGATGTATGTATGTATGCGTGTAAGCCATTTAAGTGCGTACGACAACTAGGGGAAAAGAAGTGTTAATACTCGTACTAAAACTTGATTTTCATAAGCGGCTATAATTCCTACATAAATAAATTATTTTCGATTGATTTGATTTGCTTTGACTTCTTCTCGTACTGATTATGTTTCTTTATGAAATTGGTATGGAAAGCAAGCTGACAGCCCACCTGACGTTAAGCGATCACCGTCGTATTTCTACATGAATATCACGTTATCATGTGATACTTGTGATACCACCTCATACGTTACAGACACTAAGATATCCTGCCTCTAATCTCGTTATTTCACTGCGTAATTTATATCCTGAAATAGAAAAATAGCTTACAAAGCAACCTGTTTGATAGTTGAGATAGGTGGGACTGAAACATCCAGGCAGAGTACTTTTTACAGTATATGCCTAGTTAATATTTCTATGTTTATTTATTGTTTTATTGCTATTACCTTTCAGTGTCAGCCAGTTGTATAGAACAGCTCGGCTGAGTTATACTTCCACGTTCCATCGATCCACGCCATACTTGATAGGAATCAGTTTGGGACTCGCATTGAAGAAAACTGCTTCACATGGAAAGGTACGTATGTACTTTCATAATTAGAATTACAATAATAAGATTACGAAAAATAATATTACATTTTCGTGATCCCAGATGTTGTCAAAGGTATGGGCATATCAATGCAATTAACATTACGTTTTATAAGAGGCACTGGCCTTATGAGAATTAAATCAAATATAATATATATAAAAGGTACTTCTAAAAAAGAAAATCTTGTGCTATTTCACATAAAAAATGTTTTTTTTTGAGGCAGGCTTGTATTTGTGGGCAAAAACCTTCAAATTGAATATATACAAACAAATACTTGTAAATATGCTGTGCAGAAAAAAATTGTTTTTCAAAATTTCACACAAAAAAGTTGTTTTGCTGAATATATTTTAATGAAATATGACAGGAGGCGAGTCTACCGCTGCCTCTTGGATTAGTTTGTTTTATTATTACTATTTGCATTGTAAGGTTTTTATTGTTCGCCAGTTGCTGCCATTTGAATTCACTTTTAAAGTATGTATTCTGTACAGCAGGATAGTAAACAATCAAGTCATAACTGTCGTAAAATAAATTACATGTTGTGTAAAATATCACTGATTACTTGCTTACTGGTATTTAGGTATAATGTAAACTCGGGCAGAACTCTTTGTTGACTTATTTATTGCTGGGATTGCAAAACGGCTTGGCATATATATTATTTTGATATTTAATTCCCTCATTTTTGTATGTATTGTGTATTAGATTGAAAAATGTAATTTTCTAGTTCGGTCTGATTAAAACTGTTCCCATTTACTGATGACGATGAAATATATCAACTACGTTTTTATATTTTTCGTACTAAAATAAAAAAAAGTTATCAAATATCAAGATTTCGATTATGAAAAAAAAAGAATAAAAAAATGCAGTACTGTTTACATTTGTTATCAGATTTTCCTGACGCTGGGATGGCTTTTAAGCTCCACATTATGGGGTTTGGTGCTATGGGCTGGCATGGATTCAGGGTACCCTCAATATCGGTACAATGTGACCTTTGCAGCCCAGTATGCGTCATTAGCCCCAATAGCATCAGCCGTGTCTATAGCTTGGGTTATCTACGTGGTGCATAGCGGAAATTGCAGTAAGTATAATGTTATAACTTCACGACTCATATCTCATATGGAGTAGTCTACGTCTAAGTCTACAGTCGAAGTTGAGTTAAACAGAATGTGCTCAAGTTTCGCTGGATATGCAAATACATTGGATTCAAGAATGTGGCAACCCTGGCGGCGTTTCTTGGATTTATCCAGGTGTCCATGATCGAAGACTGAGTCAGAAATATAAATTGACACAGACAGACAAAGATTTTTGCGTCCCTGAGATTTGAATTCACGAACTTTGGGGTGAAGTCCGAATAGACCACGGCACTTTAGAAGTTGAGTGTGACATTAATAAACTAAATTACATGAGTTACCTCTTTCTATAATTTGGTTCTGTACTATTTTGGAAGGGTCTTGAAATTGGCAGAATTCTATATCATTATCAGGATTGTACTATATTTATTGTATATTCTATTTCATTATTTAAATTTATATTCAGTTATATCTATGTATTTATTCGTTTAATGAGGACGAAAAATAAGAAGTGAGTAGTAGATACAAAATAATAACAGGGAATAATTATATTTTATTACCTGAATATACCTTTAATGAGTGAAATGACATTTTTAGTACGTTGTCCAGTTGGCACAGACTCGGAGTACTAAATAGTAATATATTAATATATAAATTATAGAAGAATTCATAATCATAAATTAAATTAAAAACTTACACATAAATAGTATGATAAAATCATATTACATATATGAATATTAAGAATTAGAAAAACGTAGCAATGGATGATTATTTTGATCGTTAAACATCGACCTCTTCCAGGCAACGTTAGAACGGAGAGTGTTATTGTGAATTACATTCTTCTGTATGTTCCTATAATATCAACATGAATAAAACTCGTTTATTATGCACAGTCAGTTTGCATTGATTATTTGCGAAAACATTGTTTATTCCACAAAAAATACTTACACTTATTTTTTAAATTGGTTGACAAAGTAAACATTTAATGTACGTACATAGTGGATGTATACTGTAGTATTATAGGTAAATAGGTACTGGTATAGACCTAGAATGCTGGTTTTAGTTCGCATGGTAACCTCTAGGGTATTGTAGCAATATCTATTATCGATTCGAATATCAATACTTACGCTAGCGATTATTGACTCGGTAAACACAAAGGTAGCCAATACGTATTCTGTGTAATAATAAACTGTACGCAAGACATTTTAAGTTGCTGAAAATTGCCATGCGAAATATGAGTATATTCTTAAAAATACCCTGAGTACAATGGTATTTTTGGTTGAATGACTGTTAATGCGAAAAAAATATTAATATTTTAAAAATAGTATTATTAAAAGTAGTATTATAAACCCTTTCTCAGTCTGTTTAAAATTTGTAAAAATGTGTAATTTAGGGGATATGCATATCCAAATATATATATATTCTTTGTTGCAGATTCCTTGGTTGGTTTCCTTTGCTGCCGGCCCTTGGTTCTGATCAGCCGTCTGTCGTATGCCCTCTATTTATGCCAGTTTATTGTTTTTCTGACGAACGCAGGCACTGTCAGAACTTCATCGGAGTTCACCTTGATATCACTGGTAAGAGGTTGATTAAGTGTTAAAATAGTTTGTTGTATTAAAGCTATAACAGTATGCAATATTAATTTTTCTATTATCCCATATGTAATAAGTAGTACATACTTTGTCTATTTGAGCCAAAAATGCTGTATATCATTTTAACCAGCTATGTAGTTTTGTATTAAACTTAGCTTAAAATGTAACTAAAATATATAAACTGCATTTTATTTTTTTTCAGATTGACTTCCAAGAAATATCAGGTATAATACTAACATCAATTATTTTAACATTAACATTTATTACTCCCATGCAGTCACTGCAAAAAATATCTTTTTGGCCTGAAACAGAAAAGAAAGAGGCCCAAAATTTAGATAACATAGAACCAATAGTGGAAGAGATAGATGTAAAACAGGAAGATGAAATATCAGAGATCAAACATGAGGAAAAAATAGAACTACCGATAATTAGAAGCAGACAACATCTTGTAGCTCACAGAGAAGTATTAGAAGAAATACCAGAAGTCGAAGTGGAATATGAAATTCAACGAGAAAAAATAGAGGCACTAGAGGAGATTTTAGAAGAGGAAGAGGACGAAGTTGATGAAGAAATGGACAATAACGACGAGGATGACGATTTAGAAATAATCGAGGAAGAACCAGCTGGAGAAGAATTATGGGAGGAAAGAGACTATTCTGCAGGAAGATCGCAGTCGAGAAATGATGACCAAGATATTGATGAATGGGAGTGGACAGCTAATGGCAGTGATCGAAACGGAGCTCAATATTATCGTTACAGCAGGTAACGATACATATCTTTTAAATTAAATTAAACTCTTTTCAATTTACAATTTGGTTTTATTTCTTTCACTCATATATTCTATTATTCCAATCACAGTTAATTTATTTAATAGCGATGGATGTCAGCAGTATCGCGTGGAGATTAACTTGACAGAATTATTACCAGCACTAGACTCAATAGTCGCTCCAAATACGCCTCGAATATTCTACCTGTGGTCTTTAAAGTAACTCATATAGTATGAGTGAATACTCATATGATATACTATATGATATCTACCTCTAATATATTCATATTAGAGGTAGATATTATATAGTACAAATATAGATTTAAAAAAAATTATACCTACAAAGTTTTGAATTACAGGATAGAAGTAGGGTTTAGTGAATAGGTAGTTGAGACTGCAAATAGACACTTAACGATTTGTATACAGTTCTTGGTGGTTTGCCTTGTGTACTTGTTCTTCTTGTAAGTCAGTTAAACACGGTATAGAATGATATTTGTTTTAAGTTGTTATCATAAAAATAATTGTTTATATATAGATGACCTATAATTTAATACATATATATATAAATAAAATAACATACAAAAACTCCGTGTATACTGAAAATTGCACATGTAGGTCACATAGTATCTACATATATCTGCGGCTGAATATTTATTTAATTATAATATTATGGATTAAAATTTGGATTATAAATAATAGAGAGAAATAGGATAGAAGCAGCACATTAAGTTTGTAGAGCACAATTTTTTTTTATCTTACCGACTTGCTTGCTGTGCAACTTGATATTATATTTGTCATTTATATATTAGCACTGAACATATTGATCAATACTTGACTAAAACGTTGAGATATATTTTGGTTATGATTATGCTTTAGACAAAAAAAGGAAATAATAAAAAAAACCTCAAGTGAACGTAATGTAGATTTTCTTTGAAGAATGGCATTTATTTCCGCAACTACAATAATGGCATTATGATCACGTAGCAAGAAAGTCAGATTTACTCTGAGGACGGTCAATCTTATTATTCTAAAAGTGATCTCGCGGTTGAATCTGCCTGACAGGTGGTTACGTAGCACGTGGTTTGCGTGTCGAAAATTCCCACACAATGAGAAACGGTGTAATAAATGACACGGAGTCTTTTTAATGGGGCTTTATATTAGTTTTAGTACTTACGTTTATGAGGTTTCCATAAATTCAGAATACTGATTTGGGAAAGAGATCGTATGTATTCCAGCTGTTAGTCACTGTGCTCAGAAAGGTAATATTATAAATAGTAACAGTTCATTTTTAAGTTCTTACAAAAATTACCAGATGGGTTAAAAAATGTATAGACGTGGTCTGTGGTCTAACGGTTTAGCACACTGCTTGGGTTTGTGATGGTCATATATTCGATTACCGCATGACTTAAAAATTTGTGTAGATGAGTGTATCTGTTCGTATCGGTTAGGGTTTTCTAGTATGTTAAGTACTATCTGTTATATGCGCTTAAAGTCTGCTATATGTAGCCAAATTTAATTAAAATCCGTTCTTATTCATATAGTTGTAATAATGTAACGAACACACAGATAAATAGACTTTCGTTTTTACATTATTAGTTTGTATTAATATGGATATATTTACAAATAAGTGTTTTAACATATCTATTAGTTATTTTATACACATAATTTAACCTCTTTTTTAGTTCGGGACTAGATGGCGCTGATAGTTGTCTAGGAATATTAGAATATTACATCAAATAAACCGGTCAACGTGTATAGAACTCTAAAATAGTTATTTATTGATTTGGAGTTAGTCAGCAACTAATTTACATATTTAATGTACACGAGTAGATACATATAAAAATGCATATGACGTGTTTGTTGTTTACGTGTTTATTGATATAAATGAGTTTACTAAACCGGAATCTCAATTAAGTTAATGTGAAAAAAGGGGATAATGGGCTCGGCTACAATAATGGTACATTTTAATGAAATACATACAGATATATAGTTAGATACATGTATAAAAGGGAGAGCATAATAGATCTTAGTAGGTCGCAGTAAGTTGCTACTAGGCAGAAGAAGGGGAAGGTAATTGTTCCCACGATCTCCAGCCAAGAGTTGAGTTTTTAGAGTTAGTAGGAGTCTGGTAGTAACCATTCGTATTCTTATAAAATAAAATTTAGACATCATCATCATCATCGCAGCCCGGAAGACGTCCACTGCTGGACATAGGCCTCCCCCAAAGATCTCCACGACGATCGGTCCTGCGCTGCTCGCATCCAATGCCTTCCAGCGATCTTGACCAGATCGTCGGTCCACCTTGCTGGAGCCCTTCCCTTAATTTAGACATAATAAAATAAAATTTAGACATAATAAAATCTCAATTACTATATATTATTATTATCTAAAGTAGACGACTAAATTGAAATAATTAACTCATTATCAATACAAACTTAATTTTTATTTTTTTATTATGTAAGAAGCTACGAGACTAGAGTAATATTATGGTACTATTACTCATTGTTCAAACAATAGTGATCACAATAAAGGTATCACTGCCGCTGTTTGTTACTGTGGTGACAATAATTTTGTACAGACGTGGACACTGGAGGGAGTAAAACCTAACTATATATATTTTATTATTAAAGAATAAGGTAAATACCTATTCTTCTCTTAATCTATACAAAGGTATTAACAGCACAGTTTTACATAAAAAGTAAAGGTACTATAAGTACTTAATAAGTACAGTACAAATCTATATAAATAATGTTTCAGTTTTATGTGCCAGTTCTTCTCAACTGTAGTAGCTAAATAAACTGATTGGTAGGGGTAGTGGTAAACAATTTTGACGTATTCATATCGGGAACTTTTTTACGACTAATGAAGTGGTAAAAAATGCCCGTTATGAATATTTTGTTATTTTTTATTTGACTATTTATTGATTTAATTCTTGTAAATTTATGTGAATATGTTTAATAATATTATTAGTCATACTGTAATAAAACCCAATGTTGAGACCTTGCACGTTCGTGTTTCCGGATTAATATATATATATATGTACATATAGTTACAATAACAATGTAAAAATATTGAAATAGTGATCTTAATATAAAACGATCTTACAATACGATATAGAAGATTTCATGTGAGATTAAAATCAAAGGTTTTTATTATACTCCTTTAAAAACATAAACGTAATTCCGATATACATACAAATATTAAAGTGTGAAAGTGTGTCTGTTTGTCTATTCTGGTAAAGACGAATTCAATCGTTGTGGTTTGAAAAATCGTTGCATTATTGGTGATGTGACATTAGCTATCTTTAATATATCAAAGGCAGATTAAGTCGCGTGTAATAGCTACTAGCACATGTGCTTAATATATACAATATTAAGCACATGTGCGTTTTTACGTATCTCTATATTAATAATTGAATATATTTTTTGGGTTTTGAAATTAAATATAATACAGTCAATAGACAGTAGGTACTAAAGTTAAGAGCTTAGAAATAAAAACAACAATGAACACGTAATTAAATATATAAAATTACTAATCAGAAGTAGTCCTTTAAACAGAATCAGTGTGGTCATACTACAATAAGTGGGTTTATTCATCAGTTTGATCAAAGCAAAGACTGTATCAGTTTGCGTACAGAAGCGGCGCACGCGCACGTGTTCGCCATGACCATCGCCGGGGCCTTGCTCACGATAGCGTGCGTCGTCGCGACGGCCGCCTTCAACATAGATCTAAATAATACAAACATTGACAATAACGTTATAAAGCATCTAGTATCAGCAATAGACTCTAACAGAACTTTAAACCCTAAGGATCTAGCGTTACTAAATAGAACTGCAGTAAATTTTGGCATTGAAAGCGAAATATTAACCAAATTAGCTACTTTAGTGAATGAAACTAATAAACCGTCTAATGGAGTCGCTACATCCTCTTATGCTTATGAGGAAGGAAGTAAGGATTCGTTGCCAGTTGAAGAGTCTCCGGATTACGCTTCATCTGTAGTTCTTGCTAGCGATCTGTTATCCCTCACATCTGCTGTGGCGAACGTCAAGGAAAATGTATGCAGAGAACAAGGATACAAGTTTTTAGATGGATTGCTGTTGAATAAACGATGGGCATTAAAAAGTGAGTAGACTTGTTTAGACTTATAAGATTTATATTGATGATCACACTGGTTACAAGTTATAATGGTATAACATTATTTGAAAAAAATCATTTAGGAGAAATTAGACATGAACGTACAGATCAAGTACATCATTTAGATAAATCAATTAATACTAACTAATATATACGTTTGTACTATACTCAAAATTGGTTCAGAAATGTGGTATAGACAATCCAATCCAATTTACAACCTTTTATGAAGTTGGTTGGAAATTTAAGTTTTGAATTTGGAACGTTAGTAAAGTTAGTACTTAAAATCCTTCGTTAAATAACTTACACGTTCTCCTGAAGTTTGTCATGGCTCTTGCTAAATTGGAATCATGTAAAGTTATAAAGTTCATTAATGAAGGTTTTGGTTTGTTTTGTTATAAAGGTTTAAGACAACAAAGCATTACTTGTTTAATTTGGTACAGTTATTATTATGCACATAGAGTGACTAGTAAATAAGACTGTAAGCGGTAATATATTTATAGTTTATAATTCAGTAAAAATTTAAAAGGATTTGAAGTATAATATTTAAATTTTAAAATAAATTGAAGAAAGCATACATTTAGTATATTTTGTTACATTTTCTAATTTTCCTATTATTATATATATTAATGTGGAAGATAGAGACAGCTGCATACAGATATGACCAATGTTATCTAACTTTTACCATCGGGACAATGTTCAAATGAATTTTCGTTTTTTGGCTACCAAAATGCATCAAAGTGTAATTTTGTTTTTGGCTTAGGCTCGAAAGAGTTTGATCGGAAAGGTGTTCTCAAATTATTTGATTTGCTGAATTTAGGGCGTAGTGTTAGTTATGTATATTATATTAACAAAAGCGTCTTGGATATCATGATCTTTGCTGCATGTAAATAGCTTCTTATTTTGGTACCAAGTTCAATAAAAACCAATTTATTGGCCTCTTACAATAACCTAGCAAAGCGTACATTGTACCAACAACAGCTATTTTTAAAGTGGAGTTTACACAAAATGGGATATTTGCTTTTATTAGGAAATTTTGGAAGAACCTCCTAGAAAGTCATTCAGATTAGGATTTTTTTGCAATGACTGAAACTAAAACGAACGATCTCTTATTTAGAGTGCTCGCTCTAAATAAAAAAATATACTTCAAAATTATTTTCTTTGGTACTTAACAGGTAGTATGTTATACAAAATAGTACAGGAACAGCACCACGAACATTGCGTAATCATGTGACGCTGTTAGTACTCCGTAGGCATTGCCATTCCGAAGAGCTAAAACCTTATAATTTCACTGCCTTATCTACCTCCATCCAGGCAAACTATCTCTTGTTAATAATAGTTCAATCAAATAAATTTGATGTTACTCAGATCAAGAATACACTACGTTTGTTACTTCTTAATCGGATTGCGCTGACTTAGCATACAACACGAATACAAAATAATTAGTTGTTACGTGACTTTTGTACTAAACAGTATAAATATAAACAGTATGTATAAATACAAACAGTAATGACACTAAAAAATATGTGTCGATATAATTCTTTGAAATCACAGCGGATAAAGCAAATTAATACATATATGTTTTATTAATAAATATATAGTATGTTTTATTGTGAAGTGCACTTTTAATCATTAATTAATACGTGATGCAAAAACTTTGTACCTCATTTTACGCAAATTGCGCGGACCGAGGAGTGTTAAATATTCCACACTTATTTAGTTTATATAGAGAAGGAGCGCAGAATGCTAATGTTTTCTTAAAATTGTGCATAAAAATACATTAAATGAACAAAAGAAAAATTACACACACTACTGTGTATTTGATACTTCTAGTGAGCTAGGGTTCAGAGAGAGAAATGACTAACTCAAAATCTTGTTTTCTTTTTAATTTATTTAGTGCCTGAATATTTTCATTTATGCATTTATTCCTTAAATTTGTTACTACTCTTTGTTATTATAAAAAATCAAAAGACGAGAATTACATATATTCTGATATAATTTATACTTAACTTATTTTCATACAATACACAATTTGGATAAAAAATTGTTTATGGGCAAAGTTATAAAGAAAATCGAACTTCCGGAAATATTGTATTAAATATCGGAATTATATGCCATAAAATAAATATAATAACACTACATATATATAAAGTATTATTACTCATTTAATACTTGTAACGCCTTAATAAGACAATCCTCAAACAATTGTCATAATGATAGAAAGTCCTAGATATGTAGATGTTAGATCTTATAATGTTATAGCCTATTTCGGTTCACGTAATATAATCTATCTTTATACAATTTCATTAAAATCCGATCAGACGTTTAGCCGTCCGTCGTATTTATATAGTCATTTTATAATTTACCGTTTACCATCAAATGGGTCGTATGCTTGTTTGCCAACGTCGTAGTATAAAAAAATATAATTTTAGTGTATATAACGAAAAAATATCCAATAGTAAATAATTTTGTATAAATATACTTGTTACACAAGACAAAAAATCTGCTTCCCGTTTCATTTCCATAATATGTATAAACAGGCAAGTTAAACAGACTGTGTTTTGTTTTTATCGGTCAAGCAATTTTCATAAGCTGCAGGTGCCCAGTGAACATTTCAACTTTACGGAATTCTCAGTTCATTTTAGATTATTTTGCTGTTACACCAGTGTATTATATACATTTCGTTAAGCAACTAAAGTGTAAAACAAGCTGGCGACCTACCTTACGTACGTACGGTACGTAATTATTATGTACGTACGTACGTCACGTATATACATAATAATTATATATATATATAATTTGTCATATGGCACTCGTGGTACTGTACGTGGTACTCTCATACATTTCCTTACAAGAAACTTTTTAATGGGTGATAATGAAATGGTGCACCCGTCTGCTCTAATGGTTTACACTGACGGGACACCAGTGGAGTATAATAAGATGAACACGAGGTTAGGTCAGTGAGCCCATCGTGGTAAATTCACAAGGAATTCAGAATTTGAATAATTCAGAAATAGGTAAGGTGGTTTAACGGTTTAGCACACCGTCCTCCAACAGTACAATCATGAGTATGATTGTTTGTATTGGTGTTGCAGTTTTTCCATTTATATAATTATTTCCAACAAAAAGGAATTTTATTCTGCTTAGGTCGGGACTAGATGGCGATGTGTGAATTATTCTGGGGTTTCTATTATTTATTTTTGTATTATTTCACGGTGGTATGAGAAGACTTTGTAGTATCACCTATTACAGCCGTTAAATAGCTTGCTTCATAAGCTATGTTTTTGTTAAAGGGAGTAAAATTACAGGATACGGAGGTATGACGTATTAGTTCTCAGGAATGGCAACGCACGAATATTGCAGCGGATGTCACATGATGGCATGATGTTCGTGACAGAATCACCACCATCACAAGTACTTTTATCTGTGGTACTTACCATCCGATGGGCAGTCAACTTGTTTGACATTCTATGTGCATAAATATTAATCCACGCAGAGGTATTGAGTCTACCTTTGTTAAAGCTTTTATAATTTTAAGCTAATATCCTCCTCGTTCACAACGGGACTAATATATCCGGTATTGGAATACTAATGGGAAACGACGATGAGTTTTTAGTCAACACTTACTCCGTCGGCTCATTGACCAGAAGTGGATCTTGACCTCAGCTACGTCTATTTTTTGCTATATTCCGTCACATAAGTAAATAAATGTTAAACATTTCGCACTGCGTTTTGTCGATAGGCTATGTTGAGATGACGCAGGTTTCTATCGGTACTTGGGGCTCTCAAGTGGTTTACGTCAAAGAAGTAAAAAAACATACAAATAATATCTCACCTAAAAATGATGAGACGACAAGAATGTCGTTAGAAATTTGTTTGAAAAAATTTTGCACGAAACAAAATATTTTCCTGGTAAAATGGAGTTATTTTGAGTTACATTTTGAGCAATAAATAAATCAGTGAAAACTGTTTTTAATTCTATTAGATTTGCTGTAGCTTTTCCCAGTTCCGTGTAGAAACATACTGACACACATGTATCTGTCTTATGACAGAGAGATGAAAATTCTAAAATTTGTTTTGGTATTTATTTTTATATAAGTATATTAGTTTTTATCAATATCTATAAATATAAAAAAATTACACCGTAATGTAAAGGTGTAATTTTTTAATATACATATATTATTGGCTACGATAGAAAATATATGTATCAAAAAATATTTATTTCTACATTATTATTATATTATATGTTCATTATTATTATAATATGGGTCAGTAGTAGTTTGAAATATGTTGGTACTTTGTTAAATTTATATCTAGGTATTATTAGTACAAGATAAAACTAGAATTTTATATTTAGAAATGTATTGTGTATCGATCGGTATATTTTGTGGTTCTTAAATTTTCGCTGTTGACATATTACGAGCCTTTTACATTTTACCAATCATATACATACATATTTTACTTTTGTATTTCAATATATTAACACTGCAGATTAAACCCCTACAAAATAATAAACAAACACATTTAGATAATTGCATTATTTTTAAAATATAGTTCCAATTATAATGCAAAGTTTAAGCAGTCACTTTATTATTGTACGGAGGAATTTAATCTCTTATATTCACTGGTCAATTCTTTACACTAGGTGTAATACGATTATGGGAATTCATTCCTCATTAAAATATCACAGTCATTAAATTTCAGCAAAGAAAGCCTTAAAAGCGTATAGCAGTACAGCGAGATATGGAGTTAGCTTAGAGGTTTTTAGCCGATTCGCACTGCAAATTTCACTGCGCGGTTTTTCTGCAATTAAGAAAATTCGTGGATTGTAGATCCATATAAATGTATATAATATTATCGGGTCCATTCTACTATTATACAAAACTGCTAACCGGTCTTATTGAGACATGAAGGGAGTTCTATTAGAGATAGTAGCTAGTCGGTCTAAAACTCAAATTTTTATTTGCTCATAAACGAACGTTACTAAGTAA